AAAGAGAACTTGATAATTACGTGGTCTACTTCAGAAAATAACAAATCATATCACACTCAAATGAAATAACCGAAAACGCATGAAATGGTGACATTTACTTAATAAGGATACCTCCAACCCAATGATATGTTATTGATAGAGAGCAGCCATGATTTCAAGCAGTGACAATTGGCAAACCTGACGAAAAGTTAATATAAATAACAAGAAAATATTAGCTGTTTACCTAAGTTTTATTCTAACTTGAAATGTATTAAAAGGGTGCAAAGTATGAACAAAGAAAGTTTTACATACATATACCTTAGATAAAGTACAAAGTAAATTCACAATAGGTCTGTCGGATGGATAAGCATCTTCTGCTTTGTTGACGACATAAACCATCTTGGTGATGCCACTATGTTCGTAAATGTTTAAACAGCGAATTTACCAAGAGAACTAACTAATATAGCACACATCAAACATCATATCATTCTTGGAAATTGAATTTATTAAACATTTTATAATCTTCATCAAAATGGTCAAAGTGTTAAAACCGTTGTTATTTTTCATGAATCGTTGGAATAGTCTTTGTCATATACCCAAAGCTTTGTCGTCAAGAGTTTGCAGGCCATGTGAATAATCAGCCATGTTCATATATTTTGATTCTAAGCTATCGTTCAACAGAATCGATGTCGTACGATACCAGTGTTGGCCCAATTTCTACTGGGAATAACTGGGGCTACGCGGGAACTGCTACTGGGGAGTTTCCCTTGGATGACGTCATCATGAACTCCACTACTCGGACAAGAATAATGTGTGTATCCAGGTGTTCTCAAACAGCAGACTGCTTGATCACTGCCTATGATTCACTGACACGATATTGTATAGGATATGGAAGGACGGATTTGATTGGTCCATTCAAACCCAGCGATTCTGAAGTTATGCCTGCAGATGATTACGTCACACTATTCTTCAATTACGGTAAATTGTTATTTCTGACAGAAAACACAATCCCGCAATCATTTTATCAAAATTAAATATGACGTAACAATTTCGTCAATTATGTATTAATTATGGATTTTATTGTTAGACTCGATCAATAAAGCTGAACTGCCCAGGTCAGTCAACCAAATCTGTGCACATGGCTATAAGTATATCATGCCTATAACAAATGATTCATCACAGTGACCAAGTACATTCAGCATTCAAGTTCAATTCTTCTCTATTATAACTACCCATATACATGTAATCACAGATGGTGTTTCTACACGACAGACCAATCGTCCTCTAATGTTGGACTCTCCTCTCGTTTCGGATCACAAAAAATAAATTTTAAAACGTTTTTACATTTGTAATTGATTAAAACATATATTTCTTCATATTGAACTGAAAATTTTGTTTCAGACTATGCGAATGTGTTGGGTTTCACATCCATCTTAGCGTCAGGATTGTCTGTCAAAGTATCATATGTGCGTATGGTACAACAAGATGCTGAAGAAACGTGTCGATTTTGGAACGCAGTCCTTGTGACTGTTACTTTTCCCAAACAATTGTCTGCACTTCATGCCATTATTTCGGAAAATTCATCACTAGGTAATTACCTGACCAAGTACTATATCACCGACCCAAGCTATACATACTAAGTTACCTTATCCAAAGTTTCGATCGATTCGGAGCATTCAACTAATTATAAATGACACGTGATTTCCGAAGTCCTCGTTCACTTTAAAACCACGAAGATGTTAGTTACATGTAAACGTGTATGTACAGTTGTTGGGAACGGACACAATAAAAACTGTATATTCGAGCGAAATATCATTGCGCTCAGCCACAGTAGCAACGTTATAAGAAACCGAAGACGCGATTTCGTAGACAAATGATATCAAATATAGTAGTATGACGCAAGATAATGTTTCTTCTCTACCTTGTGTTACAGCAATTCATATGACAAAGGCTACGTGCTTGATTGCAAAATAAATTCTTAACATGATTTTTGAAAAAAAAGTCTTAATATTGGAAAGGTCTATTATTGTTAAGGTACCAACACAATGTACGCTTCAGTTCAAAGTTGCCTTTCAAAACCAACACAAACTAAAGTAAGCATCACTATAGTTAAGCATTTTCCTGCTTGCTAGAATACAAGTTCTATATAACTCTGATGTTAAAAATAAGGTTAAAACAGAGTTTCGACATTTCACGAATCTTAACTGCAATGCTTGGCGAGAATATCAAAATTAATAACAGGACTTCTTGTAATACTGTAGATGTCACTTGCTGACCAAAATTTTTTTCTATACAAGAGTTTTCGGTAATGCTTACCGATACATTCGAAGATTAGTATTTTAGGATCGTGGTCGTTGTACTCAATATGTTTTATTTGAAAACAAGAGGCCCATGGGCCTTAACGGTCATCTGACAAAAAGCAAGCCAAACCTAGAAAGTGGGTTGAGGTCATTCATTTGAACAAACTTGGTAGCCTCTCCTCCAAGCATCTTACAGGCCCAATATCAGCACTCATGGACTTTTGCTTGTTGAGAAGAAGTCGTTTGTATATTTTAACATATTTGACCCCTGTGACCTTGAAAGTGGGTTGAGGTCATTCATTTGAATAAACTTGGTAGCCTTTCCTCCCAGCATGCTACAGACCCAATATCGGCACTCATAGACTTTTGCTTATTGAGATGAAGTCCTTTGTATATTTTAACATATTTGACCCCTGTGACCTTGAAAGTGGGCCAAGGTCATTCATTTGAACAAACTTTGTAGGGCTCCATGCCAGCATGCTATGGGCCAAGTATTAGCCCCCTAGGCCTTCTAGTATTTGAGAAGAAGTTATTTAAAGATTTTGACATATTTGACCCCTGCGACCTTGAAAGTTGTTCAAGGTCATTCATTTAAATAAACTTGGTAGCCTTTCCTCCCAGCATGCTACAGACCCAATATCGGCACTCATAGACTTTTGCTTATTGAGATGAAGTCCTTTGTATATTTTAACATATTTGACCCCTGTGACCTTGAAAGTGGGCCAAGGTCATTCATTTGAACAAACTTTGTAGGGCTCCATGCCAGCATGCTATGGGCCAAGTATTAGCCCCCTAGGCCTTCTAGTATTTGAGAAGAAGTTATTTAAAGATTTTGACATATTTGACCCCTGTGACCTTGAAAGTTGTTCAAGGTCATTCATTTAAACAAACTTGATAGCCCTTCATCCCAGCATGCCACAGGCACAATATCAGCAATCTGAGCCTTTTGGTTATTGAGAAGAAGTTGTTTAAAGATTTTAACATATTTGACCCCTGTGACCTTTAAAGTGGGTCAAGGTCATTCATTTGAACAAACTTGGTAGCCTTTCCTCCCAGCATGCTACAGACCCAATATCGTCACTCATAGACTTTTGCTTATTGAGATGAAGTCCTTTGTATATTTTAACATATTTGACCCCTGTGACCTTGAAAGTGGGCCAAGGTCATTCATTTGAACAAACTTTGTAGGGCTCCATGCCAGCATGCTATGGGCCAAGTATTAGCCCCCTAGGCCTTCTAGTATTTGAGAAGAAGTTATTTAAAGATTTTGACATATTTGACCCCTGTGACCTTGAAAGTTGTTCAAGGTCATTCATTTAAACAAACTTGATAGCCCTTCATCCCAGCATGCCACAGGCACAATATCAGCAATCTGAGCCTTTTGGTTATTGAGAAGAAGTTGTTTAAAGATTTTAACATATTTGACCCCTGTGACCTTTAAAGTGGGTCAAGGTCATTCATTTGAACAAACTTGGTAGAGCTCCATGCCAGTTTCCTCTGTGCCAAGTATTAGCCCCCTAGACCTTCTAGTATTTGAGAAGAAGTCGTTTGAATGAAAAGTTTACGGACGGCGCACGGCGGACGACGACGGACGAAGCATGATGACTATAGGTCATCGGACCCTTCGGGTCAGATGACCTAAAAATGATATGCATATCGGCATGTCTATGCAATCACGCTTGACATAACCTTTTTACTGAAATGTTGCTTTACCATTGTAGCGTCTGAGCCTGGTCTTTACGTGGGTGGGTGTGAGAAAGGCGGTCAATACGTTTATCAGAGAAGAGGAACAGAGGTACCTGATAATTTCTGGGATTTCGGTCAGCCTGATTTTCAGTTCAAATGTATCATCCTAACAATGTCTGGAAAGCTCGCCAGTCGAAACTGCTCAGATTCATTGTTTTTTATCTGCAGTCTTTTATAGACTGGTTGAATTGAAGGAACTCAAATTCGAACAAATTTGCGTAGAAAACAGTACATGGGTTGATAGGCGGTTTATGCCAGTTTGTACAATATATGAGATTGCATGCGTTAGCAACTGCCGGTCTCTCGTTTTCCCCATAACCTTCTTACAACGCTTTAATTCATTTCAATAGTAGCACGATACATGATTATACACATGAACTTGTTCTTTACAATTTATGCAAAACCGGAAATTATGAAATTTACTGAATTTTGAGGCTACTTCACCTCCCTCCACTTTACGATTTATTTTCTTCATTTCGACCAGTTTCTATTTTCCAGTCGCCTCAAATCTTTCACGATTTAGGGTAAACGCGGTCGGCCTTGTCATCACTAGAGTCCTAGAAGAACTTTAGGGTTTGATCAAGGTAGCATGTCACTGAAAAACGCTGAATAAAATCCGAGTGCTAGGGAATACATCACTGTTGCATGCTATCCGATTCCGTGATTTTTAACAATCTGAAATATTGAGATAAGATATTGCATTTGTACAAATTAATACCAACAATGGCATGGCATAACCAAAGGTGTAAGGAATTGTTAGCTAAACATTTCTAGCATCCTTTGGTGACGGAGATACAACACATAATGAGATCTACCACAACAGAGGGGTAGAGGCTCGAGTGGAGGTGAAAGGGAGGTAAAGAAAGTATGTAAAGCAGGTTCTTTAGTAACGAAATACATGATTTTAAAGTTAAGAGTTCTTTGAAATAAGAAAATCAAATGTTAAATGAAGAAACATTTTTATTTCAAGAGACTAACAGACTGACAAAAATATATAACTGGTTGTAAATCATAGTTCATTAAACCGTTGTTGAATGTCAAAAATAGACTTTCCTATCCAATATTTATTATTATCTACTAAATGTATAACACTCACTTTTGTGACATTCAATTGACCATAGCAAATTCCGTATAAAAATATCTTTTTTCAGAAAAGTTTAAAATTTTGCATCTTGTGAAGACACAGACAACCTGGATATTTTATGTGGATCCAAGCCTTAGTGCCCATTTAATACAGTATGTACAGTATCATGAAATAGACAATCTCAATTAACCAGAAATCGTTTCTTTACTTTAAGAATTTAAGTTGATTGTGGTAGCATATATAAGTAACTTGATAGCTCTTACCCAATCATGTTACTGACAAAATGTCATGATCATGGTTATCATGGTTATTAAGAAACATTAACCTTTTCCGCAGCAATCTTAAGTTCTAACCTTAGCTGTCAGTTTATCATTTAAACACCTTTGTCTCATTTGTTCTCATTTTAGTTACAGTTAACTAGTAGTTTATCACAAAAAATCACCGTTGCCAAAGAAAGTACAAGAGCTTTAAAGGCAAAATTAATGCTCAAAATATATCAATATGACTTGTTACAACAAATCTAGAGTGGAAAATGATAAATAATGTTCTGATATTACTGTGTAGTTCATGTTTGGAAATTTCACTATCCACTGGTTATAAATGTATCTCAGACTGGTGTTTGGACAACTCAGGTGTTCAGTAGAAGTTAAACAGATGTGATACACGTGGGTAAGAGCTTATTGCACTTTGGACAGGTAAAACAAATATGAAAACAACACATTACAAGCCATTCATGAGACAAAATAAAGAAAACAAACACTTTGTAAAAAGATGTAAAACATTAATAGAAGGATCTGTAACAGATAACATACAGATTAATTGCTTATTGCACTCACCAGTAAACATATACATCAAATAAGAAGAGTATATCAAAATTAACAGATCTTTATTTCCCTGTTTAGTTTCAAGTTGAAACCCAAAGTTTACATATAATGCATTGATTCAACAATATGTCTTTTATGTAAAAGATGAGCGTATGAGATACAATATTAGTCCAACAGTTTTGTCGTCATTATCAAATTTTCAATTTGTCAAATTGAGATTATATACTTAGGTATAATGGCACATACAGTAACTGTATTAAACAATATCAGCAATTCGGATTGAAGATGTATGACAAAAATATAAGACTTGCAAACATATACATTGTATTTATAAATCTTATGCATAATAACTATATCTAAATCCATTCATTGAGATAACTTTATATATATATATATATATATATACTACAACACTGTAATATAACTACACATCAGACCAACACCTTTGGATATGCTGTTAATCCCACAAAAAATAAACCTCATTCTAGTTGAAATACACCACCCACCGTTCTGTGTAATAATATGATCAGCTGTTACTATAAAATCATGCTAAATGAAAAATAAATCCCCTGCCAATTCTATGACTTTATAGTACTTGCTCAAATTAAAATATTGAAAAATGCTTTATTTTTATTAATTCTACAATTCAGTAAACAAAAGCACAGATGAATTATCTCTTGATTTTGTATTAATATGTTGTGTTAAGGGTGTTACTGTCATATCTTAAACATACACACACACACATATATATATGTACATACGTATAAAATCTCATCACTTTCATTAATATTTACGGAATGTTATCATTGATAAAGGTATTAATATGCAAAATATGAGTAAATCATCTTATGCTTACTTCCTTAGAAGACAAAAGCCCCAAATCTAAATATACAGAGGACAATATGTTTCTCAGAAAAATCACAAAATACCTTATAAGTACAGTTCACTCTCATTGTACCTCTTGATATGTTAATACATACAAGTTGTTATAATTATCTGTTATATTAGCGCACTATCTTTACTGTGTAATTGTCCTTCAACAACTTGTTTGCAGCACTTGTCAACATTGTCAATCATATAATGTTACTTCATATACATTTAATAAAAGCTTCTGAGAATGGAGTAGACTGAAGGGAACATCTACGCACTCTCTAGTGCATTTATTTCTGTCTATGCTGAGATTCATTTGAGCATTTTAAAAATTGGCACTATTGTGTCAAACTTTTCACCTCATAAAAAGCATTATAACTATTAAATTATTTTAAAATTATCTAAAAAACAAAGAGATCCCAAAGGGATCTTGGCGCCCACCATTGTTTAATCTTTCTATACTCTTTGAAAAGCAGACCTTTTCGAATCTTTTCTCTTGTCTGTTTCTGCTCTTAACGATAAGACATTTGAAAATTCCTTTGCATAAATATTGATATAATCCTTACCTGCCAAATCCAAAATGACCACCTGGAAGGAAGCCATTTCGTTTCATCTGATCAGTCCCAAAATCAAATGAGCACATGCAGAAACCAACGGGGACATACGTATGAAATTTGAGAGATATTCATATAGGACTTCTTATGAAATAGCAATAACAATCTTTACTCGGCAAAATCCTAGATAGCTGCCTGTCGGCCATTTTGTTTTTCTCAAGTCCCAAACTCAAACAAGCACAATTAGGAATCTAAAGATTTATAGAGCAGTTCTCAAGAAATAGCAATAGCAAACTTTTAAAAGTCAAAATCTAAGATGTCCACCTGAAGGCCATTTTGTATTTCTGATCAGTCCCACAATTAGATGAGCACAACTAGGGACCAAAAGATACCTATACATGAAATTTGAGAAAACTCAATACAGTAGTCCTCAAGAAATAGCGATAAAATCCAAGTTGGCCATCTGTCAGTCACTTTGTTTTTCTGATTACACCCAAAATCTGACTGGGACACCTAAGGACCAAGGCGAACCTACATAGGACATTTATGAAAGATCCATCCAGTACTTCTCAAGAAATAGCGATAACAAACTTTTAAAGTAAAAATCTAAGATGGACATCTTTCGGCCATTTTTATTTTCTGATCAGTCCCAAAATCACATGGGCACAATTATTCGGGTCGAGTGAGATAACCTAAAAATTCCATAGCTTTAGTCCTGCCATGAGATCCAAGCACCGTTATTCAATATTGGGTTTCCTTTCGGATCCACAGGTTTATTTGCTGGAGGGACCATTGTAGATAAATAATAATCTAGCCTATCAGTTAGTGCACTGACAATGCTAGGGTTTGAAGCAGCAATGTTGTTGTATTCACAAGGATCAGAAGGAATGTGGTAAAGACAGGCATTCTGTCGAGGGTCACAGTTGGTGCTTGCATTTGCTGGCTTAGGACCACAGTTAACCTTGACAGCAGAGACTAAAGTGATATTTTTCATAACAGCTGTAATTCTGTTGTCTGATGTTCCTGTCAACTCCTTGAATAATGAATTTTTTGCAGCAGGGTTGTCATAGTAAAGCCTTGAACTGTCCTCTGTGACCTGGTAAGGTGGGTACCAGCCATCCCATTTCATATTTACACCTCCCACCAACAACTTGTACTCGCCCACACGAATAGCCCCACTCCGCTTAGATGGAGATATATTATGCAATAGCTCTTTTCTCACAGGTTTACTGTTTGAGGAAAGCATTGTCCACATATCATAGCCATCAGTTTCACCAAGATCACCTGGGTTACCTCCAGCAGCTGAATAGAATGTTGGCAGCCAATCACATACATGCAACAGCTGTTCAGAAACATAGCCAGACTTTTTGAGTAAGGGACTATGGAGAAATCCTACACCTCTAACTCCTCCTTCCCACAGAGTGGCCTTTAATCCTCTACAACAAAAACACAAAAATGTTTCAAAATTCAATGATGTTTACATGTTGCAAAATTGACCCCATGTTCTAGGGAGTGTTCCCATTATTGGAAGTTGACAACCATAACTTGAAATTAGTGAATAGAATGAAAGTTGTCATAATTTCACTGATGAGAGACATTTCATTTAAGTCAGTAACACGAAGCTGAGTGTGTTTTATGTTTATCAATATACATGGTGTTTCATCATAAACACTATTATCACTTCGAAAAATGCAACTGATACACAAATTGACATAGATTAACATAGCAGGTTGCTTCGATGAAGCAGAGAAGACCAGCAAATTTGTTGTTCTTCTCTTTGAATTTTTATGTTTAAATTTCCATGTAACTCTTTCATTGCTTTATATTTTGTCCAACTTTTTAACAGTAAATGCATTTGAATTGAAATTTTGTTTGCACATCAGTATTATATTGTTGCTTTTGTCAATGTCCTTTAGATTCTTTGGTGAATTTTAATAGATGTATTTGATTTTGCGATGAAGGCTAGCAAATCGTCATTAAAATTTGATTACTTCCATTGGAAAAAAATTCAGTAAAACAATAAGTGATGTATTAAACAAGATACCTATGGTGCATGTAGCATTTGTTTCTAAATAATGTTAAATATCAAAATTAATTTTAATATTTTTTTTTTTTTTGTAATTATCTTTTTATTTCCATTTTAATGTACAATACATATCATCATTATCATCATCATCACACAATCACCATCCTTATCATCATCATCATCCATCATCATCATCATTATCATCATAACAATTCAATATCATCCTCATCATCATCACACTTATCATAACTATAATCATCCTCATCACACCATCATTATGTATCAATCATCATTATCATCACATCACCTCCACTACCACCGCCAACTTCATCATCTCAAATCAAGATCATTGTCATCATCACCACAACCATCATCACCATCATCATCATAATCATCATCACACCCTGATCATCATCATCATCATTACAAATCAAGATCATCATCACCATTTCATTATTATCATGATCCTTATCACCACCACCACCATTATACCCTCATCATCATCACAATCATAATTCTCATTCACTACATCACTACCACACCATTTCACACCTCACAAAATTCAGTAATCTTAACATCATACATCAACTCCAGGGAGCAGTAACCAAAGATTTCAAGAGATGGTGTATTTAATATCAGAAATGCTGACTAAAAAAAAAAAAAAAAGACACAGATGCAAACAAATTTTTCAGATATGTATTGCACATAATTTACTGGACAGAAAAAAACAGTGAGAAATAGGAAAAGCATTTAAGAAAAAAGATGAAAGAAATGGATGGAAGACCGAGAGGATAAGAATGGCCTTGTCAAGGGTTTGGAAACATCCTACTTTCGTATAAATATATATTATATATTTGAGGTAGAATTTATCAGAATCCGACTACATGTCAATTAACCTTTTCCATTTACTCCATTCTACATCAAACTTCTCCTTAACAGTATCGCCCTTACTAACAGCAATATATTTTTGGACTTTGTAATTGTCTTTAATGGAGTTTACCAATGAGTTTATATGCAAAGAATTATGCAGACACCTCATTCTATATATGTACTGCTTCATGATAATTATAATTTCATTATCTACCCTACTGATATGGGAACTTGAAAAAATTCCAAAGAAGAAAGATTTTTTATTAATTGAAAAAGGAATAAGTAATGCCTGTAATAGTATTTCAAAACTTTGTAGTAAATTCTGTACTTCATTACATTCCCATAAAATATGAGTAATAGTTTCTCTTTCAGAGTTACATAAAATACAGAGAGGTGAGCTAACCAGACCAATTCTACAGAGAAAAGAATTTGTTGTCAGAATATGATGAACTACTCTGAACTGGAACCATTGAAGTTTTGAATTTTTTGTAGTATGGAAGGGGATCTTGAAAATTTTGGCCCATTCTTCATCATTAATATCGTCAAATTCTTGATTCCATTTCAATTTACAAGATGGTGCCACATCATTCTTAATCAAGATATCATAAAACAGTTTTGTACCTCTATCTAGGTTAAAAAAGGGTTGTATGTTTACAGGAATGAATGGGTAAGCTATGTTCGATAAAGTTAAATCATATGAAGAGATAAAATCTTTTATTGAAGATATGAAGCTGTGGTACTGAAGAAAATTTGTAGCAATGTGATATTTACGTGTAAACTCATTTAAGGTATAAAAAGACACTGGAGCAACTTCTTTTAAAATATCACATATATTGATCACACCCTTCTTGTACCAATCCTTGTAAAAAATAGGTTTCCCCCCCCAATACATATTTTTTTGTTATACCAGAGTGGTATTTTGGAGATTAACTCATTATTTTCCAAATTATCTCTTTGCACAATGAATTTATACCATGATTTAAAAATATCTTTCCAGAACTGATTTTTACATTTACTTATACATAACTGTATATATTCACTACCGCAATTTGCCAGCAAATCAATATCAATATAGGTTTTTAAAATAGCCTGCCATTTTTCAGTGGTTTGAAATAACCTCCTTATCCAACTTAATTTTAAAGAGCTCATGAAGGCATCTATATTAACCATCTTAAGACCTCCATTGACATGGTGTTGAACAACAACATCTCGCTTAATTTTATCAGACCCCCCATTCCATAAATATTGAAATAAAATGGAATTTAATTTTTTAATAAAGTTTTCATTTGGATTTGGAAGTGAAATAAAAAGGTGATTAAACTGTGATATAAGCAAGGATTTGATGACATGAATTCTACCAATTGGAGTTAAAGACCTTCTGCTCCATTGTTTAATCAATGATTTTAACCTGATGAGTTTTTTGTCAAAATTCAGCTTTGGAATTTCGTGAAGATTAACACTAAAAATAATTCCCAAAAGTGTAAATTTATTCGTTCCCCACTGTAAATTGAAATCTGGTAAAAACGAATCTTCACTATATTTTTTATTACCTATCCACACTACCTGTGTTTTCTCTACATTAATTTTCAACCCTGAAATTTTTGCATACTCATCAAGTTCCTTAATTGCTTCTGTCAAAGATTGTTCTGAACCATCTAAAATGAGGGAGGTATCATCTGCATACTGGGAAACTAAAATTGGACAATTATCAATATCCATACCTTTTATATTAACATTATTCCGCAATCTCAGGGCCAAGATTTCTACACAAAGTATAAATAAATATGGGGCGATCGGGTCCCCTTGCCTACAGCCTCGTTTAATATTAATAGAAGACGACAAATTACCACCCTGATTAATAACTGAATAAGAATTATTAATTTTAATATTGTTTAAACAGTTAACTTGAACCACATTTATGACTGAAAAAGCTAGATACAAATGATTTAAACAATATTAAAATTAATTAAATATTGTTTAAATCATTTGAAAAAGCTAGATACAAATGATTTAAACAATATTTAATTAATTTTAATATTGTTTAAATCATTTGTATCTAGCTTTTTCAGTCATAAATGTGGTTCAAGTTAACTGTTTAAATCCAGCCTATCCATTAAGCTATCTACTAATAAAAACCTGAAGCTGTTTGAGGGAAAAATGATGATGGATTTTGATATGTCTTCTGGAAAAGTAAAAACAAATGAACCAACATGCATATCAAGTACAATTTGTACTACATGCACAGAGGATGAACAAGTTATGTGTACCTTAGAGGGAAGTTACTAGCTGCATTGCCATCAAAGCCATTTGCAGGTCCACCATTATCTGTTGTGAACATCAAGATGGAGTTTTCATACAGACCATTCTTTTTTAATGCTTGCACAACAGAATCTACACCATCATCTAGTGCTGCTACCATCCCTAAAAAAGAAGAAAAGTAGAAAAAAATTATTTTTATTAAGCCAAGTTGTTTTCCAAGTTATGCCATCATCAAAAAACATAATATAGGGGACATAACTCTAGTTTTATTCACTTGTGTGAGTTAAATACTTTTACTTTTGATATACGTTTAGTATATAGTGCTACCTTGCTATTAGCTGATTCTATGGTGATGATTTTTTCCCTACTTAATAAGTAATACTGCTTTGAAAGCAAATTATTGGTAATTCCTTTCAAACTTCAAAATAACATTTCTAGTTCTGAAACACTGCATACCTCTGTCGCAATCATTTCACGTTTATTATGCTTTTATACTGTAGTGCTAAAAACAAACTTCTGCAAGGCAAACAAGAGATCATAGAAAGATTTGAACATTCCTTTGCAAAAATAGCAATGATAATCTTTACCTGCCAAATCCAAAATGGCCTCCTGGAAACCATTTTGTTTCTTCTGATCAGTCACAAAATCAAACAAGCACAAAGAGAGACCAATGGGAACAAATGTATGAAATTTGAGAATCATCCATTCAGTACTTCTTAAGAATTAGCGATACCAATCTTAACTAGGCGAAATTCAAGATGACTACCTGGAAGGAAGCCATTCCGTTTCATCTGATCAGTCACAAAAAATAAAACAAGCACAAGGAGAGACCAAAGGGAACCTATACATGGAATTTGAGAGACATCCATTCCGTACTTCCTAAGAAATAGCATAACAATCTTTACTAGGCAAAATCGAAAATGGCAGCCTGTCAGCCGTTTTGTTTTTCTGACCAGTACCTAACTCACACAAGCAAAACTATTGACTTAAAGGAGCCTATACATGAAATTTGAGAAAGATATATAGAGTACTTCTCAAGAAAAAGTGATAACAAACTTGCAAGATGGCCGCCTTTTGGCCATTTTGTTTTTCTCATCAGACCCAAAACTGAATGAGCACAATTAGGTTCAGGGGTTCTAGAGGAGTTGAAAATGTTAAATTGTTTACGGACTCACAGTGCTGGTGGTTATCACAATCGGTCACAATGAGACTTTGGTGACCTAATTGAAATATCTAAAAATTGGGCTAATTGTAAGAAAAGATAACCATTGTAATGAACTAAATCTAACTCAATTATATGTAAATAGAAGTCCTTAATTAAGGGTCACCTGAGATATTCAGCATTGAGGTAGCTATTCCTCCGAGAATGCTACCGCCTCAATATCAGCATCTTCGGCCTTTGTTTATTGAGAAGTAGTCATACAAACATTTAAATAAATGTGACACCAGAAACCTTAAAAGTGGGTGAAGGTCATTCATATCAACAAACTTGGTAGCCTTTCATACTAGCATGTTACAGGTCAAATATCAGCACTGGGCCTTTCGGTTATATAAAAGAATTCTAAAATGACGGATGACGCACAACAGACAACACTTGACAGACGACACCAATGAAAAAGCGATTACAATAAGTCACTTGAGACATAAAAAGCTTACCAGCAAAGTTTTTACGTTCTTTGTTCTGTATATGGGGGTGTCTATTTATGTAGGAAGATGGAGCTTGAAGATTATTGCCACTGGGCAGATTACCACTGTGGACAGCCTGGTACGGCAAGTACAGGAACAATGGCTGCGGAATACAATGAGCATAACTTAATGAAAAACTGAGGGCAGTACATAAGTGCTGTCACCAAATCATTTTTTTTGTTTGTTAAAAGCATCCAGATCAGCAAATGAGGTCTCCATTGGTAGCTAACGCATGTGCCACATGTGTACATAACCAAATCAGTATATTCAAAATAATACTGATCAAATCATTGTTAGATAGAGCAACATGCTAAATGTGTTCAAAGTAATGCCTTGATAACAATGGTGTATGGCTTCATTATATACAAAGTAACATGAAGACACTACATCAAACATATGCCGCTTCCAACATTAAACAAAGGATTCATGATTTTGTGATTGATTTCAATGTCAAAAGGATAGATATAGTGACATGATTATAAATGAGTGTAGTTGTCGCCAGGCTTGGGCGGATTAGCAGATTTAATACATTACTAAACCATAAGACACAAACATGGAGTGTTCAAGGCCACTGCTAAGTGTACCATACCTCCTCTGAATTATGCTGATTAATGATGTCTACAGCACGATTCGTAAACACAGTAGTGGAATACTGGCCGATTGCTGAGTAGTCAAGACTTTCATTACGTCTAAAATCATATCCAAAGAAAGCCTGGAACAAACAAAAAAAATATTAAAAGCAATCTATTAGATATGGTCGGACAAGTCTTACTTCATCCGTCTCATAAGTGTCATTATAACAGCTGATCTACATTGTGATATTTTAGCTCAGGTGGGACAAGTCTTACCTCATCCGTCTCATTACTGTATCATAACAGCTGATCTAAATTGTGATATTTTAGCTTAGGTGGGACAAGTCTTACTTCATCAGTCTCATAAGTGTATTATAACAGCTGATCTACACTGTGATATTTTAGCTTAGGTGGGACAAGTCTTACTTCATCAGTCTCATAAGTGTCATTATAACAGCTGATCTACATTGTGATATTTTAGCTTAGGTGGGACAAGTCTTACTTCATCAGTCTCATAAGCGTCATTATAACAGCTGATCTACACTGTGATATTTTAGCTTAGGTGGGACAAGTCTTACTTCATCAGTCTCATAAGTGTCATTATAACAGCTGATCTACACTGTGATATTTTAGCTCAGGTGGGACAAGTCTTACCTCATCAGTCTCATAAGTGTATTATAACAGCTGATCTAAATTGTGATATTTTAGCTCAAGTGGGACAAGTCTTACCTCATCAGTCTCATAAGTGTCATTATAACAGCTGATCTACATTGTGATATTTTAGCTTAGGTGGGACAAGTCTTACTTCATCAGTCTCATAAGTGTATTATAACAGCTGATCTACACTGTGATATTTTAGCTTAGGTGGGACAAGTCTTACTTCATCAGTCTCATAAGTGTCATTATAACAGCTGATCTACATTGTGATATTTTAGCTTAGGTGGGACAAGTCTTACTTCATCAGTCTCATAAGCGTCATTATAACAGCTGATCTACACTGTGATATTTTAGCTTAGGTGGGACAAGTCTTACTTCATCAGTCTCATAAGTGTCATTATAACAGCTGATCTACACTGTGATATTTTAGCTCAGGTGGGACAAGTCTTACCTCATCAGTCTCATAAGTGTATTATAACAGCTGATCTAAATTGTGATATTTTAGCTCAAGTGGGACAAGTCTTACCTCATCAGTCTCATAAGTGTCATTATAACAGCTGATCTACATTGTGATATTTTAGCTCAGGTGGGACAAGTCTTACCTCATCAGTCTCATAAGTGTCATTATAACAGCTGATCTACACTGTGATATTTTAGCTCAGGTGGGACAAGTCTTACCTCATCAGTCTCATAAGTGTATTATAACAGCTGATCTAAATTGTGATATTTTAGCTCAAGTGGGACAAGTCTTACCTCATCAGTCTCATAAGTGTCATTATAACAGCTGATCTACATTGTGATATTTTAGCTCAGGTGGGACAAGTCTTACCTCATCAGTCTCATAAGTGTCATTATAACAGCTGATCTACACTGTGATATTTTAGCTCAGGTGGGACAAGTCTTACCTCATCAGTCTCATAAGTGTCATTATAACAGCTGATCTACACTGTGATATTTTAGCTCAAGTGGGACAAGTCTTACCTCATCAGTCTCATAAGTGTCATTATAACAGCTGATCTACACTGTGATATTTTAGCTCAAGTGGGACAAGTCTTACCTCATCAGTCTCATAAGTGTATTATAACAGCTGATCTACACTGTGATATTTTAGCTCAGGTGGGACAAGTCTTACCTCATCAGTCTCATAAGTGTATTAAAACAGCTGATCTACACTGTGATATTTTAGCTCAGGTGGGACAAGTCTTACCTCATCAGTCTCATAAGTGTATTACAACAGCTGATCTACACTGTGATATTTTAGCTCAGGTGGGACAAGTCTTACCTCATTAGTCTCATAAGTGTATTATAACAGCTGATCTACACTGTGATATTTTAGCTCAAGTGGGACAAGTCTTACCTCATCAGTCTCATAAGTGTCATTATAACAGCTGATCTACACTGTGATATTTTAGCTCAGGTGGGACAAGTCTTACCTCATCAGCCTCATAAGTGTCATTATAACAGCTGATCTACACTGTGATATTTTAGCTCAAGTGGGACAAGTCTTACCTCATCAGTCTCATAAGTGTCATTATAACAGCTGATCTACATTGTGATATTTTAGCTCAGGTGGGACAAGTCTTACCTCATCAGTCTCATAAGTGTCATTATAACAGCTGATCTACATTGTGATATTTTAGCTCAGGTGGGACAAGTCTTACCTCATCAGTCTCATAAGTGTCATTATAACAGCTGATCTACATTGTGATATTTTAGCTCAGGTGGGACAAGTCTTACCTCATCAGCCTCATAAGTGTCATTATAACAGCTGACCTACATTGTGATATTTTAGCTCAGGTGGGACAAGTCTTACCTCATCAGTCTCATAAGTGTCATTATAACAGCTGATCTACACTGTGATATTTTAGCTCAGGTGAGACAAGTCTTACCTCATCAGTCTCATAAGTGTCATTATAACAGCTGATCTACACTGTGATATTTTAGCTCAGGTGGGACAAGTCTTACCTCATCAGTCTCATAAGTGTCATTATAACAGCTGATCTACAGTGTGATATTTTAGCTCAGGTGGGACAAGTCTTACCTCATCAGCCTCATAAGTGTGATCATAATAGTCTCCACATCCTTGGTAATATCCTGTGTAAGACTCAAATCCACGGCGTGTCGGTGTGTATTCACTTTTAAAAAATCCGAGATGCCACTAAAATTGATTGAAACTATCAATGTTATAATGTTTATTTTACTAAATCATATATAAACTGTATCACCAACATATTGAGGTAATTTTCTGACTAAATAATAAAATTTATCTTATGTAAAATAAATTCCAGATTTCATAGCTTAAGTTGCTCTTGCTGTATGAAAATTTGTCTGATATTTACGAGTTTGACTGACATTTACGAGTCTGACATTTACGAGTCTGACTAATATTTACGAGTCTGACTGATATTTACGAGTTTGACTGATATTTACGAGTCTGAGAGACATTTACGAGTCTGACTGACATTTACGAGAGTGACTGATATTTACACTGATATTTACGAGTTTGACTGATATTTACACTGATATTTACGAGTTTGACTGATATTTACAAGTCTGACTGACGAATCTGACTGATATTTACGAGAGTGACCGATATTTACGAGTTTGACTGATATTTACAAGTTTGACTGATATTTACGAGAGTGACTGATATTTACGAACTTGACTGATATTTACACTGATATTTACGAGTCTGACTGACATTTACGAGAGTGACTGATATTTACACTGACATTTACGAGAGTGACTGATATTTACGAGTTTGACTGATATTTACGAGAGTGACTGATATTTACCAGTTTGACTGAAATTTACAAGTTTGACTGATATTAACGACTTTTACTGATATTCACTGGCTCCTTTCACACTTTTACCATAATTTACCAAACAATTTGGTTGAATCTTTTCTGTACGCAATGTCATCAGAACCTCTACATATTGACAGTATCTAAACACTTTGTAATAAATAAAGGATTCATATGATCAGACTTGAAATAAGTCCCATTTATCATCTGACATTAAATAAGTCCAATTTATCATCTGACATTAAATAAGTCCCATTTATCATCTGACATTAAATAAGTCCCATTTATCACCTGACATTTAATAAGTCCCACTTATCATCTGACATTAAATAAGTCCAATTTATCACCTGACATTAAATAAGTCCCATTTATCATCTGACATTAAATAAGTCCAATTTATCATCTGACATTAAATAAGTCCAATTTATCACCTGACATTTAATAAGTCCCATTTATCATCTGACATTAAATAAGTCCCATTTATCATCTGACATTAAATAAGTCCCATTTATCATCTGACATTTAATAAGTCCCATTTATCATCTGACATTAAATAAGTCCAATTTATCATCTGACATTAAATAAGTCCCATTTATCATCTGACATTAAATAAGTCCCATTTATCACCTGACATTAAATAAGTCCCATTTATCACCTGACATTAAATAAGTCCCATTTATCATCTGACATTTAATAAGTCCCATTTATCATCTGACATTAAATAAGTCCAATTTATCATCTGACATTTAATAAGTCCCATTTATCATCTGACATTAAATAAGTCCAATTTATCATCTGACATTAAATAAGTCCCATTTATCATCTGACATTAAATAAGTCCCATTTATCACCTGACATTTAATAAGTCCCACTTATCATCTGACATTAAATAAGTCCAATTTATCACCTGACATTAAATAAGTCCCATTTATCATCTGACATTAAATAAGTCCTTAACATACAATGGATAGAAACAAATTCTTAACCATTGAAATTCTTGAGGTGGCACAAGGCTCTATAAACTGCTTTTCCTAAACAAGTTGTTTTAATTGAGTTTTCACAAGAATTGTGAGGGAATTTAATATGACTTACAGTTGAACTTCATTATCTCATCGTTGACTGGACCATGGGAAAACTCCCAAGTTGCCCGAGTATTAAATTTCAGTGAGTTGGAAAGTTTAGTAGGAAATGGCCAGGACAACATTCGTTGAATTAAAACAGGATCTTCAAGTTATATAAGTTTGATATAACATGGTTTGACTGTACTTTATCAGCATGTACTGATGTTCATTAAATTCCTATGAAGGGAGTATCATTAGCAAAATATAGCTCAAGTCGATATTGTACTCACCTTTCCTACCATGTGTGTGCGATAGCCTAATTTCTGTAACCACTGAGGCATGATGGTAAAATTTAGAGGAAGACCGTAGGGCTGGGCCCCCACAATAACACTCTCTTGTAGTCCTGTCAAAAGAAGGAGATGAGAATAAGGGGACCTAACTCATAACTCACCTTTCCTACCATGTGTGTGCGATAGCCTAATTTCTGTAACCACTGAGGCATGATGGTAAAATTTAGAGGAAGACCGTAGGGCTGGGCCCCCATGATTACACCCTCTTGTAGTCCTGTCAAAAGAAGGGGATAAGGTGATCTAAGTATGTAATTTGTAACTCACTTTTCCTACCATGTGTTTGATAGCCTAGCTACTGGTTTATAATCAGCATTGCCTAATTCTCAATTAACAAGGGTTAGAGAAAAACAGTTATCAGTGTCTCTGTATATTTTCCTAAATACATAATATCTCTGAAAAACATTTTACGAAGTTTTCTTATTTCTATTTGTTATTTTATAAGTTAGTGCATTTATATGTATCTATGAACTATAAAATCAATATAAACCTTTAACATTCTCTCAAGCCAGGAAAAAAATGAACAAATGTTACAAGTATTTCCAATTCACATTTTATATTCAAATAGTTTGGATATAAATTATTCTACAGCAACATTTTTTTTTCAAACATTGGATCCTTAAAAACATTTTTAAATTAAATAATTGGTAGTAAAATCAGGAAGAGTAATCAATATATTTTAAGAAAAGGATAACATTTGAATTTGTGATCTAACCATCAGTCAAAAAAAACCTCTCATTTATTACATTTTTGCCAGTAAAAATATCAGAGAAAAACCAAAATTATTATGAGTGAGCAGTGTTTGCAAAAACCATAGTTAACTTTGTCCGTAATTTTCTGTCGCTAGTAATTTGGCTATTTTGCCTGAGAAAATGAAGTAAACAGAATATTTAATAGGGTCTTCAGTAACAAATATATATTACTTGTATGTCTAATATTTGTTGTACTATTTGCTATTACTGAAGACATTATTACATAAATATATGTGTGAAATTTTGACGGTGTAAGAAAAGGTAAGAAATGTACCGGTATGAATTGGGTGGCGCCCAGACATCAGGGCCCCTCGTGTTGGGGTACAAATTGGTGAGACGTAATAATTATTGAGAATGATTCCACTGTGTGCCAAGCTGTCTATGTTTGGGGTGGGGATCTGGTTGGAACCATGAAAGCTTATGTCATTCCATCCCTGAAAAAGAACATTTATAAGAATGAATTTGGAAATTTCTGCAAGTTTTGTCATTACTAATCCATGTTGTCTTTTGTTACACATAAGTCATACTACAACTTATCATATGTTGTCTTCAGTACATACAGTTACTACACATACTAACAAGATGTCCATGGGACCTGCTCTCTCACATGGCTTATTTAGTTATTAAGCGATTTAATAAATAAGAATTTCAAAAATGTCAATAATTTCTAAGGTAATTCCTTTTTTGGGCCCAGCCTTGTTGTCGAATAGAATTCAGATTCATTTTTCATGAAAATTGCTTCAGACCAAACTTAGATGGAAGAAGGATTTCTAAGAACTTACATTTCACCGATTGGGTCCCACTCCTCCTGTCTACAAAACGTCAGACTTCTTTTCAACTAAGGATACTCCAAGCCAAATTTGGGCAAAACTGACTTACTCGTACAGGAGAAGTACATACATATGTAAATATATTTATAGGAATTTTGAATTTTACTTTTTGGGTCCCATTCCTCAGGCCCTGATAGGCTCAGAACCAGTGCTTACACAAATTGGTTCCCCTCCACCTAAAGGTGTTTCTGACCAAGCTTGGACAAAATCCAATCATTCCTAACAGAGAAGTAGGATTTTAAAGAATTTTCTATATTTCCCCAAGTGGGCCCCACTTTCCCCAAGTATGCCCCACCCATCCCATCCTATGGGACCAGAATCCATTGTTTCTACACAAATGATTTTCCTTCAACCAGGAAAACTTAAAACTGCTATATATTTAGTTATACACTATAGATTACTGTAAATTAAATTTTGTACATATACAATGTACAGTCATAGTACAAATTATCAAGTTCACTGTAATAATCTAATACATGGAGGTCGTTTTATATTATTTACATGTGCGTATAGTAGAGCTTGTGATGTAGATTTATTATGACATAAAACAAAACTTATGAACAGGATGTTCCACCCTTTGATATCCTAAAAGGAAGACATTTAAGTATATCTACTTCAGTGAAGGACTTCAGTGAACTTTCATAGCTGTGATACATGAGAAGTGTTTCAGAGACAAACAAAACTACAATTATGTTCGTTTTTATACATAAATAATATTCATTGAGCCATGTTGCTTTCTGATACCAATTATGTATAACCTGATTTAAACTACAATAAATCATTGAATAGTTAAAAATAGTTGAAGTAATTTTGACTGTAAACCATCACTGTTTCTACACTGGATCTGAAATCAAACATCTTTCAGGTGAATTTATATGGTAGCACTGCCACCTTTCTGGTGAGTTTATATAAGTGGCATTGCCATCTTTCTGGTGTCACAATTATGTGAAAACCTAAATACATATTAATGTACATTAAAACACGCAGAAAAAAGAAGCCCAAGGGTCTGAAGAGTCATCCGAGGTCTTAAGGTCTTTGAACAGTTTAAGAACCTGTCTGTCAGTCAAAGCATTGAGGCAGACAGAACAGAACTGATATATGCATACTTACAAAGTTTTTACAGTTTATAAGTTTGAAGGCTTAATTTTCAATTAAACGGAACTGATAGCACTATCTATTGTTGTATTATAACATATTTGACCTCTGTGACCTTGAATGAAGGACAAGGTCATTCATTTGAACGGACTTGGTAATCCTTCATCCCAGCATGGTACTGGACCAATATCATGACTCTTGGTCATTCTGTTATTGAGAAGTCGTTTAAAGATTTTAACACATTTAACCCCTGTGACTTTGAAAATAGGTCAAGTCCATTAATTTGAACAAACTTTGTAACCTTCATACCAGCATGCTTCGGGCCAGTACCATGACCCTGGGCCTTTAGGATACTGAGAAGAACTTCTTTTATGATTTTAACACATTTGGCCCCTGTGACCTTGAAAGTGGACAAAGGCCATTCAATGGAACATTCATGGTACTACTTTTTCCCAGTATGCAGCTGTTTGAAGATTTTTTCACACCTTTGACCCGTAATCTTGAAAAAGATTCAAGGTCTTTCATATGAACAAATTTTGTAGCCCCTCATCCCAGCAAGTAACAGGCCAAATATCAATACCCTGGACCTTTTGATTATCGAGAAAAAGTTCTTTCATGATTTTAATATATTTTGCCCCTGTGACCTTAAAAGCGGGTCAAGGTAATTCATCTGAACAATTTTGATGGCCCTTTATCAAAGCTTGTTGCAAGCCTAATATCAATACTATTGGCCTTAAAGTTAACGGGAAGAAGTTGTTACAAGATTTTCATACATTTGACCCATGTGACCTTGAAAGTAGGTCAAGGTCAATCATTTGAACAGACTTGGTAGTCTTTTTTTGCAGTATGCTAAAGGCTCAATATCATTATCATTGGCCTTTGCCCTTACCGAGAAGAAGTTGTTTAAAGATTTTTTTTATCTTTTAACACATTTGACCTCTGTGATTTTGAAAGCTGGTCAAGGTCATTTATTTGAACATTCTTGGTAGCCCTTCATACCAACATGCTGCAGGCCTAATATCAATACCCTCTGCCTTTCCATTACTGAGAGGAAATTGTGTAAGAATTTCATATATTTGACTCCTGTGAGCTTATAAATGGGTCAAGATTGGTAGCCCCCCTTCCACCATCCAAGAATCTTACAGTTCCAATATCAGTACCCTGGACCTTTCTGTTATTGAGAAGAAGTTATTTGAGGTGAAAAGTTGATGTTGGACATGTAGAGACAACAAACGATGCACCATGGCATAAGCTCACCTGGTCCTCCTTCGGCCAAGTGAGCTAAAAAATGATCAGCTAAGAAATTATCTGTGTAAAATATGCTGACACTAATGGCATACTTACCAGATCATCTGCAACAATAACAATGATGTGTGGTCTTGATGATTTGGCTTTCACAAATGTTAAGATCACCAAAAATGTCACTAAGCATTCTCTGTTCCATAGTATTGACGTCATGGCTGATTTCTGATCAACAAAACATTAAAAAAAAAAACAGTCAACATTTATCTGAAACATTTTATATACATACCTGGGTACTATTATAAAAGTATTACTTATCATTGTGTTTTGACTAGACAAATCACTCTTATCTTTGAAAAGTCGGCTGTTGGAAATGTCAACTCATTCTTAATCACCTATCAAGATAGTAACATTACTATCCAGATTCCTCTGCCCCAACACAACACAATATAACATAATCCTATAACTCTTGGCAGCTTATTGTTAAAGTGAACACAATTAATTACATAGTACTGTAGTTTTGTTTTTTGTTGCGTTACCAATACATATTGTACTGTATATGTTGTACATGCAGACATTGAATACAGTCCATTTCTCGTATTTCTAATCCTTTTATATGGCTCTGCTCTGCCAGAGAACAAAACATATAAAAAAGTATTGTGTATATTAGTAAATTTAAACAAATAAAACATACTATCATCATAGAAATTTAGTTTTTCCTTCCATACGTTTAACTAACTCATAAACTGCCATGTTGTCAGCTATCACCAGCTGGCAGTAAAATACACCTGTGACATGGTACAGATAAATGTTGGAATGGGGTAGGTGCTTTCATATCAACATAAGATTAGCATATTGTTTTATCACCTGAATCTATCAATAGCCTAACATACTATCAGAGATAGTGATTGAATTCATGAAAATGCCATTGATTAATCAAATCCAAAGTATATATTACTATTGCAATCTATGATAGTTTGATACAATTGTTACTTCTCCAGTAATAATCTTGGGTATGCAATAATTACATTGTATCAATAGGAGAATTATTTCCGCGGTTACTATGTTAACACAACTACTTCAATAAGAATTTTAAGTAATAGGAATAGGTTTATTAATTTTATAGGATTAATTAAGGTTTACTATAAAGTCATTTGCAACACGTCTCTGTTATTGTGAAATGTCACGTCAAGTAACAAACCACATAAACACAGTCTTCAGCTCATGTGGAAATGAAATCAGCCATGTTACTGAATATTCTACTTCAATAATTGCTATAATATGTGTAAATCATCTTACTTTTTTATATTATGTACATAATAATGATCTTTCTAGGCCCATCAAAATATTCCGGATTTCCGTTAACCGTTGTACAATTCTAATTTTAATGACGGTTTTCCGACGTTTGCCTATCGCAGGATTATCTTTGCCACTATCCACTACAAATGTGTATCGAAACAGTACTCTATACTTCGCAACAAATAAACAAAGATAATATCTGCGTGGAAGTGTGAGTGTACACAGATAATTTGTCGTAATGAGCCGTGTTACTGCGATATTTACCGACAGCTACCTGCGATCATGTGACGGCCACTGTGGTTAGCGCTGTTAGTAAATGTTGAAACGAATGACGGCAATGGCACCATCCGGATTTTAAATGATACTGAGCCCCAAAAGCACGCATGTTCGACTTAACATACGTTTTGTAAGAAATCAAAAAAGGAACTGAATTTTTACTTATTTCTTCAACAGTTTGTTAAAATTTCTATTATGTATATGGCTAGATTTCATTTCATATAGAAATTGTAAATTGAAAGAAAAATCACAAATGAGGATATAATGCGTGTATCCGCCTTAGGCACTGATATATGCTATGCAATGTCGTCTCATGGAATAGCTTAGAGTCTGGAAGAATCCTTAGGGCAAATTGTTTCATTCTCTCTGTTCCAGCTGTGTCAATATGAACGGAGCTCCGCCAGCAGCGATTCTTTTCCCAATTTCATCACACACATGTTCTATCCGTGCCATATCCGGTGAAAGAGACGGCCATAGGAAGGATATTCTTCTGCGCAAGGAAACCCATATGTACTCGAGTAGTGTAGGGCAGGCATTGTCCCGCTGGCAAAATTGTAGTTGCGGCTGTGTAGCAAACAAAACAACGACGTAAGGCCTGAGACCGTCACCCCTCTTCACCACTCCTTTTACACGTTGACGGAAAACGTGAAGAGGTGTCTGATGATAGTAACTGAAGGCTCCCCAAACCATCACGCTGCACACCATCCTATCTGTTAGCCTGCAGGACACAACAATCGGCGTAACGTGTGCCATGGGAAAGATGGTATCAAGACTTGTCTGTGAAGAGAACTTGTAACGAGACGCCATCGTTGATGATGCCTTGCCCATTGAAGACGTTGCTGTCGATGGCAATAAGCCCTTCGTAAGGACGTCGGCAGCTAATGTCATGTTCACGTAGGCGAAGCTGGCAGTCTCGGCGGAAACTTGGCGTCTTCTAAATCCAATAGCAGCTGCCTTTTTGGTTGATCTTGATCCCGAGTTGCCATCCTTGGTCTCTCCGTCCGGGGACGATCAGAAACAGAACCCGTATGTTGGAAGCGTCCAGCAAGTCTGGTGATGGTGCTAACATGACATCCCTAGCGCCCGGCTACAATCTTCCAAGAGCCATCCCTCTTTGCAATTATATTCATCTTGTCATCGTGTTTCATGAGCATTTTTCGCGCTACCGTCACTGATTCATTTTTTTTTTGAGACGGACCCCATTGTGCAATTCACGATTTACGCATTGTACTTGTGTCTGTGTGAATAGTGTCTGGAGTGAACAAAAACAGCCGTATATTATTGTTATTAACAGTAGTTTACAAAATGTCAAAACTAAAATTCTTCACGTGAAAACGTTCTTGTGTTTTTATGGGGTTCACTATATTTTGATTATGAATCCTGCGTATTCCTAATGTACATACATGTATTGGCAAACTATATCTACACAGTCCATCTTTATTTTCTTTTGTAATATTTGGTATCCAGGGACATATACATCCTTGAATTATCACACGAGTCGTCTTATTGTTAAGAATTGAAGTGTATATAATATGTTTCAAGCGCTGATTTTTTTAACGAGATTATATCATAAGTAAATTTACATTTGTAAATATATGAGGCAACATGAAGTGAAAAGCATACTGTGGAACACTGCAAAAGAAACAATTTAGATAGCAGGCGCACCTCGCTATTACTTACCTATCAAGTGTCAAAAGAGCTGATTTATAGCCCAGGCTACTTGTATCAAACAGAGGTCTGGAAATATCACAAGGCACGCATTAAGGATATATGTTACAATATATACATGTAGCTATATTATACTATCATTCCTTTAAATAGTATATTTGACTTTAGGAAGGTCTGTAAGTTGTACAAAAGCGACAGTTGTTTGTAAGCTCGCGATCGGAAACCTGGGGTTAACGTTGAGATCGATCGCGACTTACGACGACGGTAAGGTAATTATAAAATGATTGTAGAATGTATTATGAAACTAGCAAACGTTGAAATTGTGATAAGTTAAATATGAATAGTATACTTTGTATATTGTGTGAAACATTTTATCTTTATTTGTAGGCGTCCACAGCTCCAGGCTCTGCCTTTCCTATCATCAACGCTGATCCAGCCAGCTTTCCCAGCGGAGCTCAGTGATCTCATTGGCTACTTCTACACCCATTGGATTCAGAGCATGGTGTGGACCCCGACGAACTGGTGTGTTTACCGGTCAGTCTATGTAGACGAACAACGACGGGGAAATTACAGTAATTAATTAATGTAAATAATTATCAGTGTGTATATATTACCTACCGTATTATTCAATTGTTTTTCTTACACTTTTTTTCTGTGAATTAATTGGTTACTGATATAATTATTTCTTATATACAATTATTAATTATGTTTATAATACTCAAACAACCTCGTTTTACAGGATGGACATGCCAACCTGCCATTCAACATATTGATTCCGTTCCTCCTGCAGGAAGGCGCCCTGATGACCATCCAGAGGCTGCTGGTGTTAGAGAACGCCCTTCAGCGCCAGCAGAGGACAATCTGATTTAAATACAGACTTTTATTTATCACTCCAATACTTTTCGTCCGTGAAGGACGACCCACCGACGAGTCCAGGGGAGGATTTCGGTGGGGCCAGTGGGACAACGGTACCGTCTCGACGTCAACATTCCTGCCGAGTGTCGGCCATTTCAATGCTCATTGATCTCGGACGGAGATTGAGGTATATGCAAACTGCTATCATATCCAGTTGTATATAGACCAGCTTCAAAACGGTGCACTTTCAAAAACAGGATTTTGAAAAAAAAAACTTATTTTTTAGATTTATTTATATTTAAACCATATTTCTGTTTTTATAATTATAAATTCGCGTGCTTTTACAGAGGTGGCCTCCACGTGGCAAGAGCTGGGCAGCAGTGAAACCATCATACCATAACGGTTACATTGTTGGCAGACACACTCAATAAAAGAATATTTTAAAAAATATTAATTGATTACTTTTAAATTGTTAAACAAGCGACCAAAATGAAGAAATAACATGTTTTCAATATTCTAACTATTTCAGTTAGGTCATTTTTTTCAGTGAGGCCGATTTAATTTAGATTCCTACAGACTAGGCCCGAAAGGTCTGCCACCGTAGTGATTCCCATAGTATCGTCAACCAAGTAAAGTTTGTTTGTGATTCAGCAGTTTAGTCCTCTGCTTCAGACTCATGATGTTCAGTTTGCTGTTGTCTATGTAATGTAGGTTGGTATGTGCTTCAGATCTTGTTCCTCCAGTAGTTGCACTTGCAATTCAATTTCGGTCTTCTTATCATTATTAATATTTTGTTATGAATTTATTTTTAGGTTATGACGTTGCAGACTGGAGGTCGAGACCACCATTAGTGTGCTAACACTTTCATGTGAAATCGAAACCAGACCCCCTCAACAGCCACCGGAACCCTCTTAGAATAATAATAATAGAAAACATCCTCGGTTCGGATCTGCCTTCAAGAACTAAGTACACAACTCTACTTTACCACAGTGAGAAGTTTATATCTTTCGTACACTGTACGTGTATCTGTACAAGTGCTGTACAGTCATACTTGTTACTTAAACATTACATTGTCGTGTCACGTTTAATTCTTACAGTTGATTTATGATTATCGATTTTTAGGGATGGTATTTTTTATCACGACACATTTGTGTCTTAAAGTAAAATTGTGTACTTATTGTATACACGTGGTGTTTCCGGAAGCACGTGCATATGATTAAGAAAGTGTTGTCAATTGATCGTCAATAATGTTGCGCAATTAAGTCATCTGTGTCGTACTTCCTTTTCTGATACGAACACTTGTAAGCGCTTTCCATTTAATACGTCATCATTATGAACAGTATACATATTCCTTATTATAATGTTTATTTGATACGTAAAAATTTCCGTGCACGAATTGACATGTGTAAGATACCTTTTATACAACACACAAACTATACAGATTCGGGCTGTCTTAGGTATGGTTTTTCCGGTTTCAGTCTTTCCTTGCGGGAATTCTTTATTTATGATCTGAAAATATTTGGGGGTGTTGGTAAAATATTGATTTACGTGGTCTCCACAGGAGGATTTTTCCGCTCTTCTGGACGTATAGTTGCACCAAACATGGATATCTACATGTACATATTCCGGTCCATCTCTCCATCCGTCCTGGTCGGTGGTTGAGTGCTGCACTTAAGATGTTTGCGAAATTTCCTTTCGATTTCGCTTTGCAAATCATGAGATTTTTCACTGACTGGAAGCAAATAAAGCTGATTCCTGGCCTGCCAATCTTGACGGACCTAAAAGACTATCCGAAACTTTTCCCGTTTCTGTCATTTTACCGTCTTTTATGTAGGTTAATGCCACATTAGTGGATCTAACATTTTAAAATGTCCTTGTTTTTACGAAAAGTAACACAGGCACTTTAAAACCAGTTCATAAATAGACATACCGTCACGACAAAGGGCAGACTAGTGACAAGGCTGGGTCTTTATTCACAGTAGCGGCGCTCAAAGGAGAAATACATGTGAACAGCTGATGCATTATTACTACATGTTTGTAGTACACCTCATATCCTTATACGCAATAAATATTGTTAAGCGTGACTATTTTCATGTCTATATCAATCTGACTGTAAAATCAACTCCAAGGATAACATAACGAGAATACTGAGCGTAAAAAAAAGAAAAGTAACAACAATTTGGACTGAGGAACAAAATTTTATACCAGTAAATTAGTAAATATCGAATAAGGAGGAATCTCATTAAGCCGCGATCTTAATTGCCGAATTTCGTGGATAGTGTTTTACTGAAGATAGTTACTGAGGGCAGACAGCTGTGTAATGAATCCATAGATTAAACTGAGACGGAGAATCGTCTTTCATTTTGTATTTAATGGATGGTCGGTTCATTTTACACTTACACGTTTTTATCATCTCCCACAAGATACATGTACAAATGTATAGAGTCATTCATGTGGTAAGTGAAATCACGCGACATAATTACACAGTTTGAAATGTGATCCACGTCCTCGTGTTGCTCACCAAGTGCTACTTGTACAAAATTCGACGTGCTCCAATGAGCACGGATGTATGTACATATATGTACGTAAGTTGATGCACCCATTTTATTGTAAACAAGTCCTGTAACCTATATAACACGAATACGTCCTTGATAGACCACAATCATGGCAGACCGAACACTGTGCGTTATTGTTCTTCTTACGAGCATGCAGACTACATATATTGGTAAGGTTTTATTTATTCAACTTCCAGTTTGTTAGATCTTTAGTTAACCTACAATAATACAATATATCAACAGGTATGAACTGAAGCTTTTCCGGATTCTTATTATCCATAGCTTTCTTTGTAAACATATGTTCAGTTTACCCGTGTAAAGCCACAATGACATGTGACAATGTTCTGATGGGGGCTTGGATAGTTTTGCCACAGTGGCAGGTAACACCAATGTTCTGGTAGCAAACTGGGGGTTGTTGGGGTTTGGGTTGGTGGTGATGGTGGATGGGGTATGTAGCAGATGCGGATGGGAGAATTGGGGTTGGGGGGCTTGCGTAGTTTTCTGTGGATAGAAGTATATTGCTTAAGCCTCCCACCTCTGTACCAAACATCGTTATATATTCGGTTTAGTGTACCGTGTATGTAATGTCTTAGGTTAGTATATACAATTGTATTAAGCACAATCCATTTTAAAACATACCACATTGTTCTTATTACTTCATATATTTTATGTGTAGTGTATCATCTCGTACAGGCTACACTAAATATTTTTGCATGTACAGTGTACAAGTTTTTTTGTACTTACAACTGATTATCGTGTATGTACAGCTTAATTTCTTGTACTTACAACTGATTATCGTGTATGTTAAGCTTACTTTCTTGTACTTACAACTGATTATCGTGTATGTACAGCTTACTTTCTTGTACTTACAACTGATTATCGTGTATGTACAGCTTACTTTCTTGTACTTACAACTGATTATCGTGTATGTACAGCTTACTTTCTTGTACTTACAACTGATTATCGTGTATGTATAGCTTACTTTCTTGTACTTACAACTGATTATCGTGTATGTACAGCTTACTTTCTTGTACTTACAACTGATTATCGTGTATGTACAGCTTAATTTCTTGTACTTACAACTGATTATCGTGTATGTACAGCTTACTGTCTTGTACTTACAACTGATTATCGTGTATGTACTTACAACTGATTATCGTGTATGTACAGCTTAATTTCCTGTACTTACCACTGATTATCGTGTATGTTAAGCTTACTGTCTTGGACTTACAACTAAAACATCTTCTATGTATAACTTCATATCTTTTACGTCCAATCTTAATACTATATTGTACGTACAACTTATATTGTACGTACAACTTATGTTTTTGTACGTATATAAATATCTTGTACATAAAACTTATCTTGCACGTACATCATAATATGTTGTACGCACAATTTATTATTTTATACGCACAACATAACATTTTGACCCATTACTTGTAGCTTTTGAGTACAATTTAATACACTATAAGAAATACTCCCTATACCCGTTAAAGAAACTCTTCCTAGTAGAGAGAGGTATCTAGAGTTAGTTTCAGTGGAGAAAATATGTCTTAAAACGTGGAAAAATATATAACCAATAGGGTAATCAGTATGTTTTGTGTAAACGATTTGGAACTTTTAGGCTTGATGTGGGCTTTCATATGGACCTAATGAAGTGTATACTTAATGCAAGCTGAAATAACATTATCTACAAGACCTAAGTGTTGGGTAATCGTTTGTATCTCAGAGTGGAAGCAACATTTGGGACAACGAAACTACAATACTAATGAGAATGGTTGAAAGTTGTCTAAGCAATATGAAAAGCATGAACGTTTATCGGTTCTCTAGTTTGACGGGGACAACCTAAAGGCAAAATAACTTTCTGTTCTTGACTTCAAATTCCGTTTGTCAAGAGTGATAATGACTGATCAGTAAATTCAGTATATCACGTAACCGGGTGACGTGCCATGGGTCCTATGATACCATTTCAGTGTGATGATACTCTAAAAACATCCCAGAGTAGTCATACCTTCCTTTGTTACTGTCTCCGTGTGAATAACAAGGGAATGTTTCGTTCGGGTTCCAAATTTCTGGCTGTTTCATACCCATAATAGAATCGTGTGATCATAGGACACGATTTTTTACTACTGATAATAGGACAGTGTGATCATGGGACACGAGTTTTTATCACCGATAATAGGACAGTGTGATCATGGGACACGAGTTTTTATCACCGATAATAGGACAGTGTGATCATGGGACACGAGTTTTTATCTCCGATAATAGGACAGTGTGATCATGGGACACGAGTATTTATCACCGATTATAGGACAGTTTGATCATTGGATACGAGTATACACTACCGATGATAGGAACGTGTGATCATGGGACACGAGTATTTATCACCGACAATAGGACAGTGTGATCATGGGACACGAGTATTTATCACCGATTATAGGACAGTGTGATCATTGGATACGAGTATTCACTACCGATGATAGGACAGTGTGATCATGGGACACGAGTATTTAAGTATTTATCACCGATTATAGGACAGTGATCATTGGATACGAGTATTCACTACCGATGATAGGACCATGTGATCATAGGAGATGAGTTTTTATCACCGATAATAAAACAGTGTGCTCATGGAACACGAGTATTTATCACCGATTATAGGACAGTGTGATCATTGGATACGAGTATTCACTACCGATGATAGGACCATGTGATCATAGGAGATGAGTTTTTATCACCGATAATAAAACAGTGCGATCATGGAACACGAGTATTTATCACCGATGATAGGACCGTGTGATCATGGGAGACGAGTATTTATCACTGATAATAGGACCGTGCGATCATGGGAGACGAGTATTTATCACCGAAAATAGGACCGTGTGATCATTGGACACGGGTTTTTATCACCGATAATAGGACAGTGATCATTGGATACGAGTATTCACTACCGATGATAGGAACGTGTGATCATGGGACACGAGTATTTATCACCGATAATAGGACCGTGTGATCATTGGATACGGGTTTTTATCACCGATAATAGGACCGTGCGATCATGGGAGACGAGTATTTATCACCGATAATAGGACCGTGTGATCATTGGACACGGGTTTTTATCACCGATAATAGGATAGTGTGATCATAGGACACGAGTATTAATCACTGATACTTGGACCTTGTTAACATTGAAGACTGATATCTATTATTGAACATGTGGTCACTGAAGACTACAGCATTGTATTTATTCTAAGGGACAGCCTTATCAGATCAGTCATTCAGTATTCTCATAAGTAAACCATTGTGTAAAAACTCGCTCACATGCGTTATAATTTTGAAGATATGGTTTTCTAGTTTGTCTTTACATGATTATTGCGACAGATTTACATGCAAGTTTAAATGTAAAGTCATCATTTTGAAGGGAATGTCCCTGAAAGTGAGACCGATAACATTAAACAGTTTCATTGCGGGTAAATTTAGCAAGGATTGAAATATAACAAATATATATGTTTAATCTGAAGTCTGACACTAAGCCTCATTGACAAAACGTAATATTTTTGAAGCGAAGTGATCTACTATTTACAAAATATATTCTATGCATGTCTAAAGTGTGTATAAATACATACATGCATACATATATATACATATATATATATATATATATTTGAATTCTCCGTGTCCAGTAAATATAGAAATATATATGTATATTTCAGAAGGAACCTTACGTCTTATTGGAGGAGATGATCAGTATGAAGGGAGACTTGAAATATATTACAATGGGGAATGGGAATCGATTTGTAATGACTACTGGTCAACAGACAATTCCAGGGTCGCCTGCAAGCAGCTGGGATTAAAGTAAGAACACAGTGACTGAAACAGAAGCAGAGTTATACACTACTAAGGTTGTTTGTTCAAAAAGGCGGTCCTTATGTATTACTTATAGATACCCACATGACACGAAAAAAGTGCTTGTAATAGTTTTAGTCATTCCTATTAACCATACATCGCCCACGTCAATTAGGTATTCAGGTTTATCTTATGATAAGTAACAAGGAAACTATGTCGAAATAATCACAATTTAAAAAAATTCAAACCCTAGCACCAATTAAACAAAGGGCAGAGCGTTAATTGAATGAATACTTATCTTTTATCTATTTTTCTATCTTTTAAAACAAAACAAGAACAGGTGTGCCGGAATAAAAAAACATTTCTGGTTCATCGACGACGCGCGCATTGTAAGAGTTCGTCACAACGCGTGAAAAAATATCGCGTTCTCAAATCCAAGGAAGTTAACATCAAAACCACCACATATACTGCAATGTAACGATAAATGATACATGCTGTGTCGCACAAGGAAATAAAAAAATTCTCTAGAGGTCATGACGACAACCAGGGTAACTCACAAATCTTCACTTCTTAATATCGTGTGTTTGATTTGATCTGTTAGCTGTCAATATTTTTCATTGAAGTCGTAAATGGAATAAAGAAAAAAACAAAGTTGTATGTAGAATGAAGGTGATATGCAAATAACACCAGTTATGGAAGCATGGTCGTTACTATTTAATATATCAGTGGTAAATTTAAATCCTCTTTAATGTATCAGTGGTAAATTTAAATCCTCTTTAATATATCAGGAGTAAATTTAAATCCTCTTTAATATATCAGGAGTAAATTTAAATCCTCTTTAATATATCAGGAGTAAATTTAAATCCTCTTTAATATATCAGTGGTAAATTTAAATCCTCTTTAATATATCGGTGGTAAATTTAAATCCTCTTTAATATATCAGGAGTAAATTTAAATCCTCTTTAATATATCAGTGGTAAATTTAAATCCTCTTTAATATATCAGGAGTAAATTTAAATCCTCTTTAATATATCAGGAGTAAATTTAAATCCTCTTTAATATATCAGTGGTAAATTTAAATCCTCTTTAATATATCGGTGGTAAATTTAAATCCTCTTTAATATATCAGGAGTAAATTTAAATCCTCTTTAATATATCAGTGGTAAATTTAAATCCTCTTTAATATATCGGTGGTAAATTTAAATCCTCTTTAATATATCGGTGGTAAATTTAAATCCTCTTTAATATATCAGGAGTAAATTTAAATCCTCTTTAATATATCAGTGGTAAATTTAAATCCTCTTTAATATATCAGTGGTAAATTTAAATCCTCTTTAATATATCAGTGGTAAATTTAAATCCTCTTTAATATATCAGGAGTAAATTTAAATCCTCTCGCGTATCGTAGAGCTTGGTGGAAGACTGTCCCTTTTGGTTGCGTTCTAAGCAACATCAAGGTAGGCGGTTGTTGCAGTTATCTGTTGCGTCCTTGATCAGATAGAAATTGTCAATGAACTTCTTATCATCGATGTATTAAAAATGAAACTGAAGGTCTTTACGACGTCTTTGTACATGTTGTGATAAGTTCAATACAGCCTTTTATGAAAGCAAAAGCAAGTCAGAAAGGAGCAGATATTGGTATATCTATACCGTCAAAATTGTTTAATGTTAATAAATATGCATTATTTTAGAGGCGGGTATCACAGAGATACCGAGCAGTCAGAACATGGTGACGGCACATTTTGGTTCAAGCGAGTAGAATGCCTGGGGAGCGAAACTCTTCTTGACAATTGTGTCTCTACAAATGACACATCTGGGGAATGCAAACACTCGCATCGGGACTATATATACCTGACATGCGAACCACCTATAGGTACAGTATATCATACATCTAAACGCCTACATATTTATGATGTATGTTAGATATCATCTCTTAAGAACCATGTATATTATGTAAATCCAGTGATTTCGAGAGAAAGTTAGGGAAACGTATAAAACATGCTTTTCACAGTATTGTTCCGGTAATAAAGATATGCAACATTGTCTTCGGTAATAAACATATTTTACGGGTGCGACTAATTATTTCATGCACAGTAACACGGGTGTGTTTTATTACTGAAAATGCTGCTATATGTCCTGCTTATTACATATATGAATTTTCTTTTGTAATTTTGTCTCAGGCTTTTTGGTTGCCCACTTTTACAATAAAAATGTGTTCTTTTTACTACTGAAAAATCACTCTTTTTTATATTGAACAATTCCACGTTCCACAATTCTATCGTTAAAAGATAGAATAAAATTCATTATCATTACGGTGTTTGTTATACTCACTAATGCGTTTTGTTGCCATTCATCTGGTTCTCAATTCGAGACATTGTTTGGACATAACGTACTGTAGATCTCATTCCTAATAATGTTTTTTTATCTATTCAATGAGTAACTGTAATTTGTTTTCACAATGAATGTTGACCTATGTTTTGCTGTCTTAGAGAAAGACTGTGCACAGCGAAATCAATGTTCACAAAGGGTTGGTGGTGTTGCAGATGGTGTTTTAAGGTTACAGGGTGGACGTATTCAGAGTGAGGGCAGACTGGAAATATATCACGACGAGAAATGGGGAACAGTATGTGACGACAAGTGGAGTGATCATCCTCAGAATGCTCAGGTAGCATGTCGCCAGCTAGGGTATAAGTAAGTAATAAGATAATTCATAATTCTAAATGCATCCTACTTTTAAAAGAAAGTCAGTCGTATTACAGTGAAATAATAAAATCGTTTTATCCACCTATTTGCAATATCATTTTCAAGTACAACTGGTATATGCATACAAATCCTCTCATTTTCTTTGATGTTTACTATAACAGGAGCGGTACCCATCGGAAGGTTTACTCCAACGAACTTGCTAGCAGTATTAAGACTTGGATGGACAATGTTGAATGTCTTGGTAACGAAACTCGTATTCAGGAATGTCCCTTTAATGGATGGGGTGATGAGAACTGTTTCCACGAAGAAGATATTTATTTAAAATGCGACGAACATAAGGGTAAGCTTTTGTGATATATATATATAATACATATGTAAACTTTTGAAATGGGACTCGAAAGAGTCGCATTGAATTTAAACAATATTTACACAAAAGTTCCAGACCGTAGTAAAACATTTTACAGACAGACACGTGATCAACACTTTTCAAAACAAATTTGGATCGAAAATTAAAAAGCGTATAGTCCAATAATGAATTAAGATATCTGTTTCGTCCTTCGACTAACTAACTCGATTAGTTATTTTCTTTCTAATCAGTTCTTTATTTCGCCCTGGATTTTATCGACTTTGAGCTGTAGTTAAAAAGGCTTACTTGTCAGTATTACCCTGACATCTTCGAAAAAGTCGATAAGTATTAGCAGACACGAAAGTTCTTAATTGACTTGGTAACTATTGACGAACTCTAAAGGTATATTATGTTTGACCGCACTTACTTTCCTTTTTCTTCGCCAATAGGTAACCTTACTCGGCTGGTAGGCGGTGTTGACGAGTATGAAGGCCGGCTAGAGGTTTATCATGCCGGTCAATGGGGTTCTGTCTGTATTGATCAATGGGACAAATTCGTATTAAATGCCCATGTAGCATGTAGACAACTCGGTTACACGTAAGTTTGATTTCCTACATAATGATTATATTTATTTTTGTAACCGTTATGAATAGTAACCATAAGATGATTTAATTGTGACGATTCGATGGCTACACTGTCATCTTCGTCAAACAAACGACTTGTGCGAAGCTTATTAGCACTGACGTAGAATGTACGAGATGGTAAGGAATTGAGTAATGTTTTCGACTGTACTATAATGCTAAGTACACTAAGGTCAAAAATAATGTGACGAAGTGGAAAAAGAATTACATAATAAAAGTCCACAAGATGGTAACAATGCACTTAAGTAGATTCGGCTGCAAGAAAGTTAAAACAACTTTATTTGATTAAAATTACCAACCTGAAGAAAATGTTTCGAAATAGAAATGTGATTTGTTTTACAGTTTATGTCTCATTAAATAAATGATCTACTGAAAATTGAGACTTATATAGATGAAATGTGGTATTAAACTCTCAAATGACATGGTTACATTCTTGCACAGACCTGTATAATCATATTGTAGGGCAGGTTCATTCAGATTAGTCACTACCACAGAGCAAGGCAAAGGACCGTTCTGGATGGACGACATTGAGTGCAATGGCGATGAAGTTAATTTGTTTGATTGCAATTTCAAAGGCTGGGGAAGTACAAAGTGTTCACATGCTGCAAACAACGATGTATTTCTTCAATGCATTCCAAACAAAGGTACAGTGTAAAATCTATCTTTACTGTAACGTTTGTATGTCATTTGTGCATTGTTTGACGGCCCTAATGACCTTTAATGTGTAGACGTGCCGTTAAGAATGTAATAATAATAATACTGATATTGTGCATTGTTATATAAGAATGGGATTTAAAAGTTTTTTTCTATCAAAAGATTGAAAATATATGTTGACCTTTTTGACTATATATTGATATGAAATAATACATAATATAAAAAAGGCCACGCCGCCAGAAAACAGCACATCATTCGCTAAGTTGCTCTTTGCTCAGGCATATTTTGTATTGGATATCTAGCAGTAGTTACCTTAAACGTAACAAGGCACATTATTATCTTTGATCACCTGGCACCCGGGTATTTTCACATAGGAACGTGTGCAGTTATTATATACTGATGAATATATGACGTGAAACAACTTAAAACAACACTTTTGATGCATTAGACGAGAGCCGAAGGACAGTCATTAAACGTTTTAGACGGTATGTGATTTCATATGCTCTGTGGTTAAGAAAAGCTGATAATTGCAGACATGGTTGCAATCTGATGTTGATGGGTTGTTACTTCCCGGTATGTGCTCACTGACAATGATCATGCATTGGTATTCTGGTTGTGTACGATTGTACTCTTTTACATATTTTATTCGGCATTTGACGTTATTACGAAAAATAATAATCGACTAGAAAACCAAATGCTTCCACTAGTGTTATGGTCTGAATGCCTTGAACATATGAACTAACATTTAGTCAATAACAGCATTCATTGCCGGGCTACACAAGAGTAGGAACAGTAATCATCAAAGTTTGGATATCATCTGATCATGTTGCAGGCATCGTGCGTACATTGTGTGGATATCACTAACCTGCCATGTTGTGGTATCTTATAACTATATAGCGTATATTATTCGTATCGTATTAGTATATTTTTAGGTAGATTATAGAGCCTCTATAGGGGCTAGCGTACATGCCCATTGGTAAATATATACCCAGTTTTGTATACATTACTAATTACGCAATATACAAGTAACGATCACGTTTATTTATGATTTGAGTAATTATTAGTATGTTGTAACTGTTTTTTTCTGGAACTCTTAAAATACACTAATTTCCAAAGGTGTGAAAATGCAAAAAGGAAAACAAGAAGAAAATCAAAAAGGATAGAATGTCTCTCTGGCAAACGAATGAGGTAAAGGATGTGAAACTGTGATGCTTCTTATTACATAGCATACAAAAACGTATTTGAGAGTGTTCAGGATTAAGAGAAAAGGTTGGCCTTTTGGTTCCATTGTTGTATACTTTGTTCTCTTTTTAGGAAAATGCATTACTTACTTTGATTGACCAAAATTTACATGACGGGTGTTGTCAATGAAGAAGCTTTCTCATCCGGACATCCTGGTCTTATACTCCTTGTACCTTTTTCAGAAGTCTCCGTGTAAATCTTGCATTTTTCCATACTTTGCCCTAGTTTTATTGAATTAGAGTTTGGGTTATGTTTATGTTGGTATTTTCTAGATGGTTTGGTATGTGTAAATTTATATATCTTTATTCAAATTACCGTTAATTTTTTTCAGGTGACATTAAACTGGCTGAGGGAACTAATCCTTTTAATGGACTAGTACAAGTATTTTTCAAAGGAAACTGGGTAACCGTCTGTGCTGATGATTGGTCAAATGATAATTTGGAAGTCACGTGCCGGCAACTTGGAACAGTGTATGTACTCGTATATGATGAAATGAATACTAGCATTATGGCCAGCATCAACAAACTGATACTTAATATCAATTCCTTGTAGATGTAGAAATAGCCAAAAAGATATATATGTGATTGATAATTATTTCTTTCTAACTTTTCAATCAAACTTTGGCTTGCAGCTATGACTTCAGTACACTATACATAGCACTATTGCTAATATCACATAGCATGTTAGGTTAAATTGTTGTCATGGTCAGTTGTGATATTCAAACACTAGATGAAGTGATGATAGGATAGTGTTTAATGACACGTGTGGCATCCATTTCATGGCTTGGCAAAGAAAATGTATCTTGGCATCAAACGTGAACTTGGGTTTGATCTGATAACCTTTTCTCTAACGATGCCTTACACGTATTCTGAGTTGATGACCTGTTAACATTATAATGATTTCGATAATGATCGGTAAGAATGTAGAGAGCATCGTGACATCATTTTCAATAATATCATTTAATATGATTGACCTCTGAGATTTTCTCCACGTCAGTGGTTATTGACTCACTGTAATTTTTCACACAGGGGAAAAAGTAGCGGCAAAGCAAATTTCGTTGGATATTACTTAGCAGGGGATTTTAAGTGTGATGGCTCAGAAGAGTACCTAGCTAAATGTTCCTATTTCACTGGCCAATGCTCGTCTGATGAAAAGGTCTTTGTGAACTGTGAAATTCCAGGTAAGTTTCTTAGAAACAAAATAATACAAATTTGCTCGACTTCCTTATTGCTTGTTGATGATTTTCAAATAAAGATGTTGGCTATTTGGTATTAGTTATGTGTTAAAGTGCTTGCAGTTAGTAGAGTCAATGAAAATGGAAAACAAGGAAGTAAAAAAATGAACGAATAACGAAAACGCTGAAGATGCTAAGCGTTTAAATGAGTGGCACGGTGGTAACAGATTAACAAAGTCTCACCAGTCTCCTTTACACATTTGTTTAGTGAGTGTTTGAGAGTCTCTGCATGTATTAGACATATTTAATTATCGCATATAGCGGGGTGCTGTTTAGTGTCTGTAAAATCATTTTTCAGATAGAACTGAAAATAGTCCCAAGTTCGCTGTGACGGTCCCAATAAAAATGATTAAGCATGCAGTGATGCGCAACAGACAATCTTAAACCGTTCATGCTTTTTTACCCAGAAAGAGTGTTTAAGGTTTGCAAATAACGGGTTGACATTAAAGCTACCTCATGGAAAGTATTGATCACCTTGGTCTTGTTTGGGAACGTGATATTACTGACTGGGATTGACCAAGAGTAACATGGCGGCGGTGTTTTTGCTTCCGGAACTGGTGGCCTTATTCTCCTTGCATCCCATATTTTGTCGAATTTGAGTTTGAATTAAGATACAGTTGACATGTTGGTGTTTCACTTGTTTTTATTTGTTTGCTGTTTTTATTGTTAAAGTTTTTTTATGTTTGATAAACATTATGTAACTTATACATGTTATATCATATGTTGAATCTTCGATCTTAAATGTTTAGTCTGGATTCTTATTTTGAATTTTGGATTGTCCAATGAATTCCTGGTGTGTTGGGCTACTTTTGTACTAAATATGGCATTCAAATATAGCTCGAATGATATTTTCTTATCTCTTTCAGTGTCCACTCTTAACGGAATGTGTGATATCAACTTACAAGACACCTGTAATACAACATTAACGTGCAAAGATGTAAATGGGTTTGGGAGATGTATATGTGATAGTGAATCTTTTTGGGATGTGAATACGAACAGATGTGAAGAAAGTAAGTACCTATTTACATCACAATTTAGCTGCCAAAGAGTCTCAAATTACGAGGTTTGACTTGTTCCCTGCCTGAACATTGTAACACTATTCCTATTTTTTCCCTAAACTACAGAAATCATATATTGATTATCAAATGCTATTTTACACAATATACACGTCTTTATAGCATATCGGAATGAGGAATCATTTCGACTTTCTGATATATATTAATATATATATATAATGAAAATATCGACAGCTCAGTGTCCGGTTCAATACATGAGAATTCGTAAGCCTGACAGTAGATGATGTCAAGCGTCTGAAGATTAATACATGAAAGCGCTCATGCTTTACACTTAAATTCACATCGTGTTTCTGATTATATATATATATATATATATATATATATCTTGATATGTATCTGAAGTTCTATTGCTAGGATTTTTATTTTTCCTCTTTCAGTTACGAACAATGTACGAGAAAATTACCAATATGATTTTTGCAGATTAAGAATTACTTTCGTATTGACTTACAGTAGGAATGTATATAATTACGAGGAATAATAATTACAAAGATACATTTTATATTAACTACGTTGTTTGCGAATTTGATTAACAATCGTAGCAAACATTATGATGGAAATGATTAAAGGGATAGATTCCAGACAAAAAGTAATAATTTAGATTAAATGATATATCTTGGATTGCCGATGTCCATAATACTTGTTTTGATAGCTTCATCTTTATTTGGTTGTAGTTGTCTACTTTCAATAACTTATCCATATCCTGGTAACTAGACTATTTACCAGTATCATTGTTGTATATTTCATAGAGATAATGTACAATGACGTGTGTGATCCAAATGTTGATAGCGTATGCTCAAGCAACCTGACATGCGAACGAGTAAACGCACCCACATCATTTCTGTACAAATGCATATGTTCTGATGAAAATGACGTCTGGGACAATTCTATAAGAGGGTGCCGTGGAAGTAAGTAATATTCACTATTAGGCGATAGAACAACCTTACCTTGCTAATCATCCTTGGCAATATTTGCTACTTATAAGTGTTTTTTTTATTGTCTGTCAACGATGGATGATTGATACATAGATAAGTTTTACATGTATAATTGTCTACCACTAATACAAACTAGCAGCATTTCAACATTTCCTACTCATTAGATTGATCGTTGGTATTGAGCGATATTCTACTCACCGGTTGCGCGTCCACAATAAGTGAATTAAATATTATCATTCCATTTGGATAACTTTGCCATATGTAACATTTTATCAACAGAGATATGGTATGCAGAGGTGTGTGATCCAACTATTAAAGATATATGTGTCAGTGATCTATCCTGTGTTGCTGTAAACGAAACAACATCGTATAAATGCATGTGTTCAGATGAAAATGATTAACATCGTGGAAGTAAGTATAAATGCATGTGTTCAGCAATATGAAAAGTGATTTCAACGATGGATGATTGATACATAGATAAGTTTTACATGTATAATTGTCTACCACTAATACAAACTAGCAGCATTTCAACATTTCCTACTCATTAGATTGATCGTTGGTATTGAGCGATATTCTACTCACCGGTTGCGCGTCCACAATAAGTGAATTAAATATTATCATTCCATTTGGATAACTTTGCCATATGTAACATTTTATCGTAACAGGTGTGTGATCCAACTATTAAAGATATATTACTTCGTTAACTATGCTTTAATTAAACTAATTTCAACTGAAGTGGCTAAGTATTCCAGTTTTCTCGATATTTATCTTAAAAAAATCTTTCTCCAAATAATGTTTTCTTATGTATGTAATTATGACACATGTATATTTGTTCCCACACAAATATCGTTAACTATGCTTTAATTAAACTAATTTCAACTGAAGGGGAAATCTTAAAAAAATCCAAATAATGTTTTCTTATGTATGTAATTATGACACATGTATATTTGTTCCCACACAAATATCGGGGGGAAATCAAATCTAAGGGTTATCCTCGCGATATGCATCATTGTATTTGAGAAGACATTATTGAAGCTCTTTATTGGATACTATCAAATAATACAATCTTTGGGAACAGTTGAGTTATATGTACACCAGAGCTGTATTGATTTTGGATTATGACAGCAAGAGAATGTGCAGATGTAACAAATAATACCTTACGCATAGTCGACAAGATGAGGTAAAGAAAAAATATCCGTGGAATAATTGGTAGTGGACAAAGAGAAGGAGACCAGAGATTCCGGTGTAACGTTGAAAAGGGACCCGGGATTCATTTTCAACGCTGGTCAATTTTCAAAGTTACGCAGTGTAATCATCTTTTGTGTCATCGGCGACACAATATAAACATAAAACAATGAAACTTGTTTCTAAAATGCGGTTGAAGAGTATAGAGTGAATATTTCATTAATCAAAATGGACTAGACGATGAAAGAGGCTTCATTTTCAAGATTGATTTAAAAGTCTTGATAATAATAATTCGTCTGGTGTATACATTGTCGTCTCATTACGGCTTGTTTGACAATTCTGAATATGACGAGCCAGAAATCAGTTGTAAGTAAATCACACAGCCGCTTATAAACTTTGGTTTGGATGTATAATCTAAAGTGGACAGGTATCATTTGTGTTACTGTTATGTCGATGTCGTTAATCAAGTTAATGGATACCCTTACGCCTTCGAGTTTGTGTGGATATACTCTAGGGGTTCAATCGGTATGATAATGTCTAGAGCGGAACCTTTTGACTTCAAATTGTTGAAAAACTCGAGTGTAATATGGCTTTCCAACATATAAACAATACAGGTTTATCGTGAGATAATATTGTTACATTCAACAAATTGGAAGTTATACACCACAGAGGAAAACTTCTTCATTTGTTATCGATTTCATGCTTATCCACCTTTATTTCATATCTTGTAAATGCCAACGAGAGATAATTGAAAACGTATGGTCAAATGCTGCTCTTTGTTGATAATAGAGACTGGTTTGCGAGGGATTTACGTTGCAGACAAGAGGAATATCACTGATGCAATATCCGATTGCACAAAACACCATGAAGGACAACTGGCGTCAGATGAACATCTTAGAAATGTATTACAAAATTGCCTGGATTTTGCAGACGACATTTGGGTTATTGAAATATCATTTTCTCGCGCAGGTATGATATAAAATTGAACTAATAATTAATCTTAAAGTTCGATGATTGTCCAATATTCTTTAGATCTACCTGTGATTGACTGCGGTCATAATTCATTTAGATAATATCTTATAAATAAAATAATGATATTTTTACTGGTCAGATAATCTCTCGGACAGCTGTGCTGAAATGAACCAAAACGGTGAATTGAAAACGGGAGGCTGTACAGAGGAACGGGCTTTTGTCTGCATATCGCAAAGTATGTGTAACTGTCTATGAAATGAATGTTAAACAATGTAGCGAAAACAAAAACAAATAATAAAAATAAAAAAATAAAAACTAAAACAATCCGCGCCTACATGTTGTTCCAATCGTTTATCTTTGTATCTTCAGTAATTAAAATTCGAACATATATCTAAGATAATATCTGCGCAGACAGAGTGAGATCTGATTGAAATAGGGTCAGGTCTCATTTAGTTGAAATCATCTCTTTTTTTATGTCAAGTAAGCATCAATGTTAAGTTATGTTTGTTATCATTATACATCGACATAGATCAATAAAGTAAGTCGGATCAATGAAAGTGATTCTTTTTTTCCCCAAGAAAACAACCAGACTGATTCTTCCTGTGCTGGATTTCCAACTGTGACCAAATCGAAATCTTCTACCTCCATCTCTGGTAACCGGTTATTGATTATTGCAACATAACTATACGAAACATCTTAAGAATGCGATACATTTTATTCTATACGTGATATATGGTAACAGGATATCATTGCCATTAGTTTATAAATAATGTTTGCGATTTTACTTTGCAGCAGGGCTAATAGGTGGAATTATAGCTGTTTGCATAATTCTATCTGTCTTTGTGATTCTTGGAATCGGACTGCTCTGTCGACGAAGAAGGTATATCATTTAAAGTGATACATAAAATGTATCGAGTATGAACATTTAATTCTGATACAAATTATAACCTGTTGTTTAATTTTTAAATATCAGTGTTTTTTATTGACAAGAGACATTACCAAGCTTAAACATGACAATGTATATACACATCGTGTGGTGTATAAATGAACTCAAATCTCATTTCAGAAAATGTGAGAAAGAGGCAGATTGCGTGTTGAACTCTGCGTATGGGCTACAAGACAGCTCAATAGTAGGTTCATTGCAAACGGAAGGAGAAACAAAACTTCAATACTCAGAGAGCTATGCCAATGCCTTGGAAAAGGCAGAAATACATGTGCGGGATTCCAAACATTCAAATATATATATAAATAACAACGCTGGAGATATTGTGACAGAAGAGCAATATGAAATATTTGGAGATAATGATCGGATGTATGCTTTATCGGATGCTACTCCAGAATATGAGAACTACACAAATGATACTAATTCCACGAAAGACGTTTTAGAAGACTATTCACTGAGTGACTCTATCAATAGTCCAAAATCAACTAATACTAATTACCGCCCTTTATCAAGCACAGACAATCTACCGGAGGAAGAATACAACACTTTTGCAAACCAACTCGATGACTTGCCACCTTCTGATACTTATGACCATGTTCATGACGTAGCAGAAGATGGATATGACCAATTTCAGCCGAGATCAAGTAACAGGTCGAATTTCACTGAAGACGACGAAACGGGATACATGCAGTCAACTTTTCCGGAGTGTATATAATAGGTTTACTCAGTTGCAATTTTTTTCTTCTATGTCTGTATATCCGAGATGAGCTGACATGTAACATGAATCATAAAAAATACAAAGTGAATGATATATGTCATTTATAGATACTGATTTACTGACAAAATTAACAGTTTGTTAACATTGAAGTATCTCTATAAAACTGATTTGCTGACAAAGCTGAAAAAATAACAATCTTTATAAAATACTGCCCTGTCATGAGAATATATGAATGCAATAACAAATGTTTGAAATGATACTATTTGAAGAAGAAATGCAATAACTGTTAATATATCCAGATATAATATAATCGTAGAATGTTCTCCCAAATTCTTATGTTAATTAATTGAACTTTAAATTCAAATCATCGACGCTCTCGTAGACAGTTCTGCGATGATTACCAACGATTTCTTTACAAAAAATGTATCATAATAGTGCTAGTCGTTGACAAATATCATTTGATCAGAATCAGATTAAGGCTAGATTATGACACTTTTCGTCTTTCACTTTTAATTGTATGCTTTTGTTAAATTGCTGATGCATTGTTAGGGGTCTCCCTGGACGTTTCTATGGCACTTTTGATACTATATAATTAAGTTCTGAGGATTTCAATGTTTATTTTAAAAATATGATTATCACATGCAGGACTGTTGAAAATACTTTAAAAGGAATCTTGTTATCGTTATTTCTGGAGAAGTATAGGAAAGATCTTACTAAGAGATTTCATTTCAGAATATTTTATTGATACAAACAACCAAAAGGATTAGACAGCAGGCCAAAGCCTATTTAAGTCTTCTCCCAAGATAATACGGTGGTCAGATATAACCATACATACATACCTTACATTACATACATACAATCATTAATTTATGTTGACAGACTTATCAATTTTAAATTATGGGAGACAACTCGATTATTTTAAGGTCTTTTCAGTTTACTATGTCTTATAATATTAAATGTGCATTACATGTACTTTCTCTATCATATAAAAGGGGTTTGGGCAAGAGTTCGTAACAAAGTTCCACTTAGTCCCTTACTGTGCGCTTTCAATTTTGAAATGCACAGAAAAAATACCATAAGGCCGACTATCCATCTTTAATTAGACGCTTGCTATTTAAAATTGCTTCTTTCTCAACCATAATCTGTAAAAAATAATTTAGAGGTTTTAGTACGTATTGATGTTGGAGGTGTATTGTATAATGAAAGGAAAATTCGACTCCACTCGACCTCCCTAATCTCTCTCTATAAATACGTACTACACAGAACTTTCGAAAAAATCCTACTATTCCTATTTGATTGATGAATTTATATGCGTAGTTCTCAAAAAGTTTTTGATCTTTACATTAAAAAAGAGGAGGAAAGATAATCGATTAACCTTGCTTTGAACCAATAATAATGATATAGATTTTAATATCGATATCTCTCGAAGATTTCTTGCTTTTGAACTTTCTTGTTATATACAATACAATTTCACGGTTTTTATCAATTCAACTACGTGTCCTATCGTACTGATTTCGTATGATAATGTTGCCGTGATTAGTTCAGTCACTAATCACAATTTTTATGTGTTCAGTGCTGTATGTTTCACCTCTGTCATATTGCTAGCGATTGACCTTAACCAATCATGTATTTTAGCTGTAATTTTACCAGTATTGATGTGCTGTCTATGTTTGTATTTTATTTTTATTTTGACAACGCAGAAAAAATGTAGCTCCATTAATGAATTGAAATTATATTTTTGTATAAGGTTTACAAGAGAACAAAAAACATTTCAAGACAAAAACGTGAAAAACCCTCCCAAAGATGTGTTTAAAGATTTTTTAATATTTTCAGAATAGTTTGAGGTGTTGTAAACTAAGAACTGGTTTCTTAACATGTCAACATTAAACACATATATAAAAACATTTGGGTTAGAACATTAACGGACACATAAAATGAGAGAGCCGCTCAATTAGGCGTATATATGATGCTTAGGTTTAAATATACATGTACATTTAGACTACCTGTGCGGATAGATTAGAGGTTCAGTTGTTTTTTGAGTGTGCAATTAAGAGGTTAAAAATCAAAATAAATTAAAAAACATAAAATTAAATAAAAAATGCGCATATAATGAATTGCGGTTAACGGTGTATTACGTGTTTTAATAACGTTTTTTTACCATTAGCATTTCAAATTACATCGTTTCATAAAGTACTTTCACACACGTTTTCCTAAGGCAAATCACACTCTTCACATGCCTAATTAACTGGGAAATGTCCCCTTATGACCTCGTGCGGGCAAATGTCAAATTCAGTTGTAATCGATGCTTTAATACAAATGAGTTTTGCGTTCTTCGCCGTTCATCATATTCGCAAAACACTTTAACAAAAGTTCCCTCTGTTTATTATCAAAATACTTAAACACAACGTCTCAAGGTTTCAGCTCAAACTTTAAAATTGATCCAAATTTGTTAAAAAGGAGCGCAAATTTTGAAATTTAGCTCTGATTGATATCCAATTGACTTTAAAAGATAAAATTGTCGTTTTACGGGGTGTTATCAACACCATCATTTGCCATCCTTTTCAATCATGTACCAGCTAATTAGATATGATTTCGATACTTGCAGTGTCGGAGCAATGGTTTGTAATAACAATAATAACCTTTACTAAGGTATTATTTTTTGTTGTCGTTTTCAGTTTTCATGCCAATAAAGAATTAAATTAATTGAATGAACGTTATTGTATTGTATATAATGTTGAATTGGAGTTCTACTCATTGTTGCGACAGTAACACATTTTCGTTTATTATTCCCGATATCAGGAAAGCATGAAAATTTTAAATTGTCTTAATTGTTTATATCGACATTACCTTATACAATGACGCCAAGGTTGTTATTAGTTAGAAGGTTATTTAAAACATCATCAAACAGGAAAGATAATAAAAAATTATTCAGTGTAGAACTTTAGATGAACCATTAAAGTGCTTATGCCCTATGATTCTTTAACGACAAAAAAAAAAAAAAAAAAAAAAACCCACCAAACATACTCACAACATGTACTGCATTACGTAAGCAGTGCTTCTTATAGATATGAGAAAATATATTTCGATCCATGATGATCAAATGACTGAATTAATCATATTGCAGGTTGACATGTATATACTGTAGTTAACACACAGTAGTGTAAAACGTACTAAACCCAATTCACAAGAAGCCGTTTCGTTCCCGTAAAAATAATGGGATTTATTTGCTATTAAACAATATGTAGGACGACCATGGATTCTGATTCTGCCAGAAGACAATGTAAATGAAAACGTATCATTCCAAAATATATTGGCTTCTTTTGTACCAAAAGCGAAGTGTGATAAAGACGTCATAACATACTTGAACTCTAAAACTGTCCTATCTATGTCTGTTTTTAAGTTATATTGCTATGAATTCCAATGGCGGTATCCTGCCTGCTTCCGACCCTCGTCTGTGCCAGCCAAATATCGAAGAGAAGTCATACATTAACCAACTAAACTCAATATTTTAAACCTGAATTCTGTTAGCTTCCACTACTTTATAAAAATCATGTATATAGTAAGTGATTTGTTACTTTTTGAATGGTATAAAGTATATGTATATATCCTTCCCTATCTTTTAGTTGAATTTATTTCGTAATTATTAGAATCTCGCTCCAATGAACATATCAATCGTGAAGTTGAAAAAAATATTCATGAACCCATATCGACGAGGTTTTAGTTCGTGGACTGAATACATTGTACATTTCAAATCAATCAAATCAGTTTAAAGAAAAATCTTCCATTTATTCGGGTTATCTAGAAAACAAAAACATTATAAAACTTGAAAACATATTAAAAGTGACTATTTGAAAAGCAAATAAGATGTATGGTCACAACATTTGCTGGGTAAAATTACAATATATGATTCAGCACTTTTTCAATGTCATTTATCTAAAGAGGAAGATCAGGATTTGTATGACCAGATATGTCGTAATCTGTTTCATTTTCAGTTCCCAAATTCAGAAGACCGTATCCGTCGGTCTCGACATGATCGTAGGGACTAGCAGCTGCTTCATCAGTCATTGCTTTTTTCATATCCGCAAACGTATTATAGATACCGGGTGGTATTTCTGGACGAGAACACAGTGTATAGCCACCATTACGCGATTCGGTATTACTCGGAGATGAGGAACATGGTATAAAACGATCATTTTCCTTTGCTAATGTGGATGTTTTATCATCAGTTTGAACCTTGGCGGGCTGTGTTGCTAGCCTACCACTCATATCGAAGTAACCCGTTGAAGTATTCCTAACCTGGATGTATGGGTTTCCTTTGTTGGCCTTAGTTTCATTCTGTTCTGATTTGTCATAACCCGTAGTAATAATGGCATAGTCTGGTTCAAGCGCAGCACAGCTGTTTATGTAAGGATTTTCGTTGAGAGGAATATTCGTATCGTATGCATTATTGAGAAATGAATGCAATCCTGAACTTGCTGTGTTGTTATTTGCGTTCCATTTCCGCTTTCTACAAATAAAATGATCAAACCTAATAAATGATAAAGATATGAAAGCCAGTTTATAACATTATTATCTTATTTGGATATCTTGATGTTTAATAATTATGTTTTACCATTTATTTTTATTAATTGATGAGTATTATGTTTATCACATATTATCCTTTATTTGTGTTTCCTCAATGTATTTAACTTTGATTTTACTAATTTACAAAAGAGCTTGTCGAATAGTGTTCGTTTATCTGACCTAAACAGTACCTTCTGTGTACAATGGCAGATAATGTAGTGCCGATGGCGAGAAGAAGAGTGAATATAGCGACTATCGTCCATATCATTGCTGAAATTAAACAAAATCATTTATGTAAACAGTAGATATTTATATTTCTACATAATAAATAGCTGTGGAACAGAGTTGAGGGAGAAAATGATAAAAAGACCGAATACAATGGCAATATACATCACAGCTGTATTCCAGCTCTAATTAGGAAACAACTGTTTTTTATTATCCTTAATAAAGACAATCTACGTGTTAACAGAAAGAAATGTAAGTTCATGGTATTTCTAAACCTATGCAATACGATATTAGTTACGTTGGATACAAGCTTACCTGCATTGGATGCTGTATCCTGTTTAAAAGTTTTTTCTAATAGGAAATTTTTACAAGATGTCCCATCAATGTCGTTACCTGGGTGTAAATATAAAATACTGTATGTATATCATGATATATAGTGTGTAATCCGAAATTCTTAAAGTTTATCATTCATAAAATGAAGGTTCTAAACAAAGAAATCATACTTAAACACGATGCCTGTTTTGCCATGGATGAACTACCATTCCAGTATTTTCTAATCAAGCTAAAAGAATATACGATATCAATATTTCAATTTCGAAGGTTGACGTATAAATTAGTAAGTGGAAATTCATTTAACTTTTTACTCATGTAAGTAGTATCGAAACATTTCATTTAGCTGGTAATTTCAATTGAATAGAAGCGCTTTTAATATAACATTTAAAAGATTCAATCTTATTTATGACCAAGTGCTAAATAAAAGACCTTGTTACCATCGTTCGTATGTCCTTTACATAATCTCCTAACCATTTTGTCACAATATTTTCCTATTGTATGTATAGAATAATAGTACTGCCGAACCGAATCAGTACCATCTCGTACACTCCATCAGCCAGTATTAACATGCTTTCGCCAGTCATTTGTCTTATGACAGTGTTGTCTTTGAAACGTCAATCTTAAATCTTCTACTGATTGTATTATATGAATTGGCATCCTTCACATATAAGAAGCTTTTTATGTGATTTATCAAGATTTCGTTCTGGTATTAAATATGCAGTTGTATCTAATAGTAAACTTACGTTCGTGTATGCAAAGGAAACGTTTTTTATTACTGCAGCTGATGTTGTATAAATCACCAAAACTGACATACTGGCAAACAATATCAGATTTATTCTGCATTTCTGTAAAGAACAAACAATATGATACATTAATCACAGGAACTCGGTAACTGAATTGTATTACTCTCACTCCAGCATTGTAATATAGAAACAAATGTTCCAAGTGTGAATCAACCAAACTGAAATACCAGATCTCATACATTTCTATAAAGAGCAGGTTGTTTAATGATTGCAATAATCCATGGGTATACATTGTCTCTATCCACCAATACTGATACGTATAAAAATATAAAACATTTCACTGTATTTTATGTTAGGTCATTGATGAAGGCTACCAGTGGTAAATGCAGCACCTAACATACTGCAGAAACTTTCATAGAAGTTTGAAACAATTGCTTACGTTTTTGATGGTTTGATGTCTGTGTCCAAATGTCGGCTACGTTATCAGTGCAATTTTCAAACAGCAGTTGAATATTGCTCCATGTTGCTAAGCTTCCTTTCATTTCATCAACGCAGTATGTTTTAGCATCATTGTACGTCAACTGTAACCCCACGTACACTGCGGACAGCTGCTCCACTGTTCGATCAAGACATAGACAGCGAAGTCATTAGCAACTTAATTCGTCATATCGAGTTTAAGTAAATATGATTCACTGGAATTGTGTTGGAGTATAAATACCTATATGATATAATGTACTAATCTTCTCTGAAATCATTTTACCATTGAAAAGAACTGATTTGTAAGCAAGATATACGATAAATCATAAAATACCCATACACAGGTTATAGCAGTATTCTGTTATCGTTTAGAACATATACATACAATTGAAAATCCAAACAACAAATTGTTACAAAATACTACCAAAAATATATTGAATTACCTGCAAAACAACGCTTGTCATCAGTATGCCATACAGTGTAACCTTTTTCTTCACAAAGACATCTGTTTATGTAAGCTTCTGTCCGACATACAAGGTTACTTTGACATTCACTTGAAGTAGCACAAGCGCTATTGAATGATTTTTCTGTAAACAAAAACAGTACATAAAAAGCTAAAGTAATTTATCTAGTAAATCATGCTGCAATCACGTCTTATATGGACAAATGTTTTTACATACCTACATATGTCAACGTAATTGTATCTGCTATAATATAACCGAAATCCTTCATTGTTTTTTCCATTTCTGAGTATTAAAAACATTCTTTACATTTTAATTGAGATATTGAATGTTTCGATAAACTGACAAATTCTGGCTTTCCTTTTAACCAAAACATGTGTAATCTATCACTAATTTCTTGGTTACGGATAATGACAATATCGAGTAAAAAGAAACGATCTTAATTTCATACATCAGATATGGATGAACATAATTGCTTTCTGTATACATTATCGAATACTTTACAAGTGTATTTTTTCTTCCGAGTTTTGTCATCACATTCATCTACATGCAGACATATGTTATATGAGCAGTATGAAAATGAACGGCTACTTCAGTGCGTACTTGTGTGACAGGTAGAGGTTGAGGAATCCAAAAACGTGTTATTCTCATCCTTACATTGACAAATCCTTCTGCCAGTGTACTGTTGGCTACACACAAGGTTACCTCTACAACCTTCTGGTATGTCATCAAAACAAGTATCGTTGTAACGGGATTCTACAAAGAGAACATAGTCAGTGAAGTAATTTACAAGCAATACGGTGGTAAATCTAACAAAATACAAGGAAACACCATTAATATAGAATATCATTCAACAAATTGAATAACACAATAATTCTGCGAATTCAGAGAGCTATAAGTAGATATCCTTGTGCATGATTTTTGTTTTGTTTTTTTATCTGTCTCAAGCATAAAGATGTATCATGATACATGTAAACCACAATAGGTCAATCGAAATTCAGACAAAGTTTATCGTTGCTAATGAGATATAAATCAAAGATATGGGCAAAAATAACAAAATATTGTCATTCACCAGTGTTCTGGTTAAACACGATTTTAGTTTTGATTGATCGCAGCTTTAAGGAGTTTTAATGATTACTGCTGATAAGGGCTAACAATTACCAATAGAAAACGTATTGCAGAAAACATATCTGCAGAAAATGATGAGTACCGCTCATGCAAGACCTTTCAATTTAAAATATTGTTCTTAGTTAATATAATTATTTGACAGCATCTGTTCTAACTTTGAATAGAAATATAGATCGAATATATATTTATCTAACTTACTTGTCTTACATGCTGATGCTGATGGATCCCAATACATGTTTTCCTCTTCGTAACAACGACACGCAGTGCCATTGTTCTGTTGACGACACACAAGATTACTTTTACAGCTTTCATGAGTGTTCTCGTAACATGTCTCGTTGTAATCAGATTCTGAAATGAGTTGTATTACTTCATTAATGTCGTATCTAGTTTTCAGAAGCGCAACCCCTTCGTTGATTTCAAATAAAGATTCAAATGAATTTTTATCTGAGATTGCGAATACAAACACATCTATTAGAAGCAATGTAACCAAATGACTAATTAACTTGCACTATGCAACTGTTCCGTCCTTCTTTGATTCATTGGTGAATCTAAGGCCTAAATTTTGAAATCTATGTGAATCTGAGATTAAGTCAAAGTTAAGAATGGTAATACTAGGAAATTCTTAGATCTTAAGTTATCGTTTCCACCTTGAATATCAATTACAGTAATGTAGTAAAAATTACAAAAGTACAAAAAAACCCCACTATTTTCTTAGTCTTCTCCCAAGTTATGAAACCTCTTCAATATAAAGTCTTATATACTTTCCTCTTATTTGAATCACTCTCTCTCTTATGGTTATGCAAAATAGAACACATCAATTAATCAGGTGTTTCAGGATTCCATGCATTTAAAACCGCTTTGTACTCAATTGTCAAGTATGTATACGTATCGCATGTATATATTATTAGCTGTTAATGATGTTAGAGATCGCAATCTTTCAAAGCATCTATGTTGCTTGATGTTTCCTGTACTACTACGTGCCGATGTTCTTGCGGACAGGTGGACAGACTGACAAAATCATATACATACACAGTACGTGGTAGACTCATCTAATCATGTTTTTAATCTGAATGCTTGATATTGACATGCTTAATTATTGTGTAGAAGAGAATGTTTTCAATGGGAGGCAATTTTTCAATGTTACATCACTCGGCCAAACTTAAAAAAAAACATAAGACACACAGCTTCAAAGATGCAGTAGAAATAAATGGTAATCTAATCTGTTTTATACATCTATTTCGTCCTCTTTGAAGTATTACCTATATACTGTCCTCATTAAGCTACTTACTAGGTTTACATTCTGTTTGTCTATCGTCCCAGAACACGTCTTTTGAACATAGACAAGAGCTTGTATCGTTATCACAAACGAGTGTGTTTGCACAGTTGTTTTGTATAGTAAGATTACAAGACGCATTGTACCTCGACTCTGAAACAGGCAAAAACACCGTAAACATTTAAAAGTAGTTATCAAAACACCGAGTTATCATCAGACATTAAGGAATCCTAATATGGTAAACAAATATTTAACGATTGGACTGGCTTCACAAATAGACATATGATACATATACGTATATTATGTTACACTTTCATAGTATTATAATATACGGGGGAAAGTTCTGCATTTGCTTTCATTGGCAGCATTTATTAGTAGAAGATATAAATGTTAGAAAAAGAAGGCTAACTGTTTTTACATGTCGATGATACACTGTCCCAGAACATGGTCGTTTCGTCAGAACAAAGACATGTTTGTTTCCCCTCTGACGTGACGCATATAGAGTTCCCTTTACACTGTTTTGCAGGCTCACATGATGATCCATAAGATACTGATTAGAAACAAAATACATGTGTAAAGGTTATGTAGTTATTGTTTATATATATCCAGATATATATATATATATTTAGAAAGTTTTGTTTATCAGATTTATATTTAAATAAATACATAAGTATATGATTTCCAAACGTCATCTGATAACTGTATGAAATAACAAATATCACACAAGTTGAATATTGCGTAAAATGAAATAACAGGTTATGAGATGTTATTGAAAAATTACTTGAATCAGCAAAGATATGTATCAAAAACCATTTCATAACAAGACTGAAATTTCTGACATCGTTATTCTGAAATAGAGTAATGAAACCATACAATTGGCAAATAATGCCATCAATGGCAACAATTAAATAACTTAATAGTCCTTACAACAAATTCTCTGTTTTCATTTATAATATATATGAATCAAACGTTCCTTGTGGAGTGTTGATGAAATACCATATGTATACATACTAACCAGGTGCTTCACAAACAACACCTGCTGTTTTACTCGGAGTGCACGCTGTAGCCAGTACATCACAGTCGATCAATCTATCCTTGGAGCTGTCACATAACAACGCCACTCTCCATGGACCGGCATAACCTTTACCGAAATAGGCATTTAATTTGGTTATTCCTCCACTGAAAAATAGCAATAGCAATATATATATCCAATGAAGGATTGTCTCTTTTACTATCTAAGTTTACTGATACACTGATTCCAGTCAGGGATAATGGTGAAGAGTTATGAAGATATATGCATTGCATTTTGTATCAATTATTCGATGTCATTTGACAATCTTAATAGCAAAAGTCTAATTATTATTTTTAAATGATAGCATAATATGCTTTGGCTTCAATATATTACATAAATTATTGCCTTATATTAACTAGTAAATGAACCTACTTGAACCCAAGTTGCTTGCATGCAACCCTTGACTCCACTTCTCCCCAACTGTTTTGACAAATAGATAACCAACTGTTTTCTCTGTATATTTCAACTCTTCCTTCGAACGCATCTTTTCCATTCTTGAGTCTAAGGTCACCTTAATTATAGATCAAAAAGCTAATAATGAGAGTTATGTTACATCCTTTAGAATATTTTAATACATATAAAACAATCTAAACTCACATGATATATTCCTCAAATTCTTTGGTATTGTACATAAAAATAGACGTGAAATTTGGCGCCAAAAATATTATGAGGAATGTAAAGAAATTATCTCCAACCTTGTTTCGGTAAAGTTGTAGAGGGGGGCCGTTCACAAATAATTTCCACTTCAAAGTCAATGCGTCCGGCACAATTACTGTTCTTGAGTATGTCGAATTGACATGCACTGATACTGCTTTCTTTGCCGTCACACATTACATTGTCTATCAAAAATGTCTTCTTCCTGCCCCTTTTTCTGCTTCTATAACTCCCAGCTCTGTAATTACGGAAATTCTTCCACATAAAAAATATCACATGGAACCGATTTTAAAATCAAAAAAAAAAAAAAAAAAAAATACGCCGAGAGCACTTATCTTTCCGAATGTCCTCATTTTCATAATAAGATATTATTGGAAAGGACCTAACATCAGTTGGATGCTATTATGTCGGTAAACGATTAGACTATACTGTTAGGCTTTCGTTTTCGTTTCGTTGTCATACGTGGTAGAATAAATCTAAGTCGTTTTCAGTAAAGATACAGAGGCCTTGATTATGAGTCATGATTTTTTGGCGTCATTTGCATAGAAATATTGAGAACATTAAGAGAGATTAAGTTATTGCATTCAAAGTATATAAGTTATGTGACATTTTCCCAAGTTAAAACAGTGTCATTGAAACTTATTTTTTATAATATACACATGAACTAGAGTTTCTCTGAAGTTATCATACATTAGAAATTGAAAGTCCCAGAAGGACGAAAGCGATGCGTCATGCAATTTACTGTATTACATTGCTCTATTTTATCAAATAATATCATTTTGTATTGAAAGATGCTATGTATTCGTATGTCTCTTACAAGAAACCGAGCTGGCGACAGACGACGATGACGTTTCCATGATGATCATGCCATCCGTTATTACAAACAGTACCCCATCGATCATTCTCATAAACCTCCAGTCGCCCCTGGAATTCGTTGATTCCATCCATGAGACGAATATTTCCGTCTGTAAAAAAATTTTTCACTGCAAATATCCAAGTCGATTGTTTAGATCGCCTATTAGTTTATAAAATTTATGATAATTACTAGTTTGCTTTTCTGCCCTTTAATGAATTTATTTAACTGATGTGACCCAACAAGACTATACATCTGTTACAGACTTGTTTCATGATTATTTCAGTAAAATACTGTCAAGGCAGAGTATTCAATAGAGAGGTAAGACAGTATACCTATATAATGCATAAGTGATATGTACTAAGTTGACACATTAAATGTCTTTGTATGCCGGAGTTCAATATCATTAACTCTCACGCCAACATAATGGTAACTCTTCAAAGACAACAAAACAAGATGCGTAATCTGCTTTCATAGGAAGGATCAAGGATGTTTTGGAGTAAGATCGATCTTCTGTCTCAAAACTCTTAAATGAAATATTAAATTAAATAATATTAAATTTAGAAATTATTCTCGAAAAGACACTAAGTATTTAAAATGCTAATTCTGTATTTGCTCAGAATTGTGAAAATAAAACAAAACGAGAGGGGACAAAACACACTCACACAACATCAAGAACATAATTACATGTAAATGTATGTCATCAAGTACAAGGGAATGTATATCTATAGAGGTGTGACAAAAGATCACAAAGGGAAAAACGACAAACATTAGGGAATGTTCTGAGATATAATGTAATTATTGGTGAGGTTGAAATGATGTAAGTTTTATTTTACTCACCACTCCACTTAAAGTTTGACCTGAAGGTATGTTCTGTTTAAGTAGGTATATCCGACGAGATAAACTAGTGCGCTGTTGGTGTAATATATTTGTGACGATGACGTGTCCTCATATCTCGACAACGAAGTCTCAAGATATTCACTAAAAGTAGTCTGTATTCCTTGGTGGATATTTATCAGTATAACTGTTGCAATATGACAATTATATGGTCTTTATAAAGGACAGCTTTAATGGAAAACCTATTAATTACCATCATGAATGCCAAAACAAGACAAAAATGCTTATGTTAACATACTACGTCGAAATACTTCGTAATCATCAAATTTCGTGGGAAATTATTTTCGTTAATAATTTTCATCTTCAAATTTACGTCTCCACGAAAACAGATGAAAATTGTCAGCAAATATAAATCTATTCATGAGCAAGATTTATTTCCGAATCGCGAGTCAACGGAAATGTTTATTTATATAAAACTACATGCCCAACGAAAATAGAGGATTTCATAGTAAAATCAATGTCGGTGATGAAATCTTGTGTCAAGTAGAGCAGCTAGGTTTTGAAGGTGAATGTCACCATACTAATGTCAACAATTATGATGTGGTGATGATCAGGGCTGTATATTACTTCTCGTTCTATAAAACAATACTTTTCGGCTAGTTTTAAAAGAAATATCGAAAATATTTTCATTCGTAATACCTTAATACTATATCATGAACTTACTTTTAACTTTGGTATTGCTTTTTGCTGGGTTCCTGGGCACAGGGGAATACCAGGCAATGAAATAGCAGATTGTGCCGCAAAGTAAGCTTGATCGCTACCAACAGTTGTTTTTAAAATTCATGTTACCGATTTTAAACCATTTATTAAACAAATTTTAAAAGCTCAGTGGCAGGAGGACTGGAATATTTATACCAACAACAAATTGCACTCCATTGAGCCTGTTATCGGTGAATGGTCTCCAGGCTATAGAGACAACCAACGAGACGAAGTTGTCATTGCCCGTCTTCGGAAGGGTCATACATACCTTACACATTCATATATGTTGAAAGGCGAAGATAATCCTTGGTGCATAGGATGTGATGAGCCATAAACCGTTAAACATTTTTTATTGGATAGCAATGACCTTCTGTCTACTCGAGAATGTTTCTATCGTAACATTACATGTCTAAAATCCCTTTTTGAAACTGTTGAGATTTGCAAAATTCTACATTACCTGAAAGATGTTGGTCTATATAATAGACTATGACGTACCATTTTAATCTTTTGTGTTAGCGTACCCACTTAAGATTTTTAACATTTGTCTTTTACCTTTTTGTTTGTTTAATGTTATTTCCTTTTGGATCTCTGTGTGTTTTACCGTTTGATGGCCCTAATGACATTTTACGTGTTGACAGGCCGTTGAGAATGTAATGATAATAATATTTGAATTATTTCATGGAATTTACGTCATTTTTATTGGGACATAAAGTAATGAAATATTTCAATAAAATTATAATTTGTGAACTATAACAAAAACACAAAATCCTTTGCAAACAATAATTAGGTGCGTTTGATTGACGTTTTTGCACATATCATAAACAAACCACGCAATATATAAGTATAATAAGATGTATATATACGTTGAATAAAAGCAAGTAAACCATTTCTTGATATTGAAGAGGATCATCACAAATTTTCAATCAGCTGCTAATGTAATTTCACAATAATAATATAGCAAAGTTATCTGCAAATTTTCTGTCAGCTTGTATCACACTAGGAAAGAAACAAACAAACAGGGCCTAAACGGTCGGTGAAAACGGCGAAAAAAAGTTGCGGCAGAGTAGACAGAACGGGTTGAACAATCTGATAAAAGTTACTGTTGGGGTCTAGGATTTGCGTTGGAAAGACAAATAAAAGTGAAAATGACCAAGAATATCTGCAATTAAACGAAAAGTCGACGAAATCTTGCGAGGAAATTCTTATCAATTAAGGTCGTACAATCCAAAATGTTTCGCAAATGTTGAGAAGTTTATCCATGTGCCAAAACAGGTGAAATGAACATTGTCAAAATCTCCATTTTTACTTTCCTGCTAATTAATTACAACGCGTATAGTAAACAAATAATTAGAAATCAGCCAGAAAAATAAACTTTCTGGTATGTTCAAATCAATTGCGAACTGTGTGCTGAGAGCTCAAAACTTCTATAATCTGACGTTGTACCGACGACGATCAAGTAGTTGATTTTTAGCGTCATTGGATATCACACACACACACATCCACAAAAGACAAAAAAAAAAAAAAATAAATAAATAATAATAAAAAATCTATGTCATCAAAAGCTGCATCATTAACACTTTTTCGTTGAGTAGTAGGTTATTCCATAAATGGAAATCTGGGGAGCACCTACCCCAACTTAAGCGATGCCAAGGTTACCTGGAAAATACTAAAAACTGGATATGTCTTGGGGATAAAACTAGCTTAAAAGATAACTGAAGTAAACATACCTACTGGGGCCGCAATTATCCCGAGCTGTAGGATGAAAATGTAGTAAACTCGGTACATCTTGAGCGATCAGCGGATAATGAGTAAGTAAGGCAGTGTATCAACGGTAGATAGTCAATAGGATACGGAAGTACTTAGCCCAACATTGCACTCTAGCGAATTTCGTTCCTTTCTTTATAAATATAGTAAGATATCACGTACTTTAACAATACACATACTGCATCATTTGTATAGAACAGCATTACACTGCTATTGTATCATTTGATTACGTTAAAGATTTTCCAACGCATGTGAGTCTTATTTTTGTAAGCTTGGCTACAGGTGTGAAATTACTTCTGATTTTCCGATTAGCCATTGGTGGTTTATTTAGTTATGTTTATTTGTGTATTGTTATTTATTAGACATATTGTTGGTACCGAAATTATGAAAATCAACTGAGAATTGGTGTTTATCACAATCATCTGAATGTAAATCTACATATTTTGAAATTTTCTCTTGAGATTTATTATACATTTTTGGAAGTAATCAAACAACAGCACACTATACTAAACTTTTGGCAATTCACACATAATTTTATACGACTGGACTTCTAGGGAACACTTTGAATGGGCTTTTGTGAACTGACTGGTACGCAGTAAGACACAGACTGTGATGGTTAAACTGGTTATATGTGTATAATCCTGAAATAATGATAACACATCAGTATTATTGACAAAAAACATAGCATATATCATATGACAGAAATCCGGCTATAATGTTTTACAAAAATTGGTTGATAATATATATCAATTGTAGTTAGTCAAGCCAAGGAACCCAAGCACCGCCATGCAGTTTTGGGTTGCTGGACGTATCCGCTGTTCTGTTACCTACATGTACCATCGTTTCAGCATAATATTTGAGTCTTAGAAGCAGTCCTCGTTATCAATAGCTATATTGTGCAACTCACATGGATCAGACGGTATATGGAACAGATTAATACGATCAACTTCGTTATTATTGAATCTGTAATAATCATATTTCTGTCCACACTCCACACTTATAGGGCAATGTCGACATTTCCCCGTTGTCTTTCTACGTGAAATATCTCGCAGAAATAAATGAAACATAGCTGCTCCAGTTTCGAACTTGCTGAAATGTAGTTTGGTACTGTCATCGAGCGTGTGATAAGGCGGATACCAATTGGCCATATCCGTTGCATCATTATGCAATACGACTAATTTGTAATCCCCAACACGAATCGCCCCTGTAGAACCATACGGCTCCAGGTTATGAAGGATCTCGTTACGGACGGGTTCACCGTTTGTTGATAACATTTTCCATATGTCCAGGCCATCAGTGTCTCCAAGGTCTGTAGGGTCACCACCTGCTGCAGAATAAAGTGTTGGCAGCCAATCGCAGACATGTATCAGGTTTTCAGATACATATCCAGTTGTATCAAGTAGAGGACTGTTAATGAATGCTACACCTCGAACACCGCCTTCCCACAAAGTATTCTTCATACCCCTGTATGGAACAATCATCATCGAATAAAAACATTATCTATATGTCTTTACGAAAATATAAGATCGGTTAACAAAAGAAAAAGGAAAAGGTTTGATAAAATAAGATAAAAATATGAACAAACGGAAAATTTACACAAGGGCGCCCAAACAATGAATTTTGATCATTTCAAGTGCATAATGTCACGTTTCCAAAGGAGAACAGACGTCTAACTGTATATCGTATAAGAAAATAGAATATTTCTTAATGAAATCATTATGGCGACCAAATGAAACCTTCCTAGTTCTTTATCAACCTGCATCTCTTTAAACCCTGTGTTGTTAGTTTATCTGTCAGTGTTGTCGACATCTTGCAAAAGCGTTACATCGTTAAATAGTCCTATCGATTCAACTACGACATATGATCAACATAGGTTAAGAGCGCTGGGTTGTCTCTATCCACAAATGAAAAATTCACTATAGGGAAATTTTCTTGTGTGAAAAGTTCGACATAAACGGCTAAAGGGGAAGAATATATCATGTCATTGATTTCCAGTGGTATGCGCAATGGATATGGTCAATATTTATTATCTATTATCATTTATTAATATCTATTATTTATAGTTTGGCAGATTGTACCACGCGAATTTATCGATAGATTACGATAATGATTATTATCATGAACACATCAAAAATATTCCTCAGCCGTATCTAATTGATGAGCGCATATAAGAGTATAATTACGAACACTATGTACTTAATTAACGACACAAGAAATGAATGATTCAGGTAGTCTTTTAAGAAAGAGATTGAATGTTGAGGTTTGTTTTTGAAACATAAGAAATTATACGTGTGATTTTGTTTACTATAGTAAGCATAGTGCACAACCTCATCATGAACACCTCTTAAAAAATATATTGGATAATTCGTTATTCTTTTGTGTTATTACTACTCTGAATACCATCATGGTAATATAATTGAAATGGCGAATATTCAAAATAAAGTTGTTTATGAGCAGACCACTGTGTGTGACCTTACCGTAAGGGAAAGTTATTCCCTGCGCCTTCCATATATCCGTTTGACGAACCCCCATTGTCTGTTGTAAAGAGGATGATAGAATCTTTGTACATATCACGTGTCTTTAGAGCATCAACTACATCAGCAACACCGTCATCAAGTGCAGCAACCATTCCTAGTAACAATGTTTAAGTTGATCATATTTGAAATTTGTCGAATATATATAAACATGTACGACAGGTCATTGTATCCACAATTGTATAATGTTCCCTGTGTGGGGCCCTAAACATAGGGAGCAGGAATTCTACCTGTTGACCCTATTGCATGACCTTAAGAGGCCACTCACTTAGAATATTTCGTCGGGCTTATATCTCACTTGACACTGCCAGATTTGTTGGTATTTAATTGAGCGTTTGCCCCTGTGTGGAGAGCTTTCTGTTCTATCCTCTGTCCAAGATATACTAGAAACTAAACAAAGGGTAGAAACTAATTCTTGCTTGGCATTCATTATTGTTGTAGTGAAACGATCAGTTTGCCGTTGTTAGTATGATGTGATCGAGTGGGATGTCTTGAAGGGGGCCACTGCATTATACCATGTACCTAGTGAGGTAGCACAATAAAATTGGTGTGAGTTTCGTACTGTCATAATAATGCTGACACGAAGCCTCCAAAACACCAGAATTCAACATATGCCCAAATTGGGAGGCTTTCCTCAAATGACTGGCTGTTGGTAAGACTTTAAGCAATATAAACAAGTTCTACATCAGCAACATTATCCTTTCAGAAAAATGTAAACAATGTAAATACACTATGAACATTGAATGTTATATCTGGATAATAAGTATACATTATCATTGATAGATATGTGCACGTTTATCACATAATGTTTTATGGCACCTTCTTTTAAAGTCATCTTAACACTCACCTCCGAAGCTTATATTTCATAAACATTAGTGGTATTCTCCTATCATTGGAGACATGTTTAACGATACAATAACTTGGAATTAATCTGCGTTGTTTATGCTGTCCATTTACTGAGTTACTATCTTTGAACACTGATTTTCAGAACAACATCTTTGGAAGGTAGGTAGTGTCTGACTGACATCACCGTATAAACGGAATATGTTCTAATTCAACGATGCATGCTTTCATTTTATCACCCATATCTCTGTATAATATACAGTATGTCATATTTAAAGGAGAAATTATAACAATACTTTCTTGGCATATGTACTTTCGAGTTTATAAAATTTCAAACGGGAACATATTCAGTAACAAAACATTAGACTGAATGGCATTGACATGATACATTTGACAATTAAATTGAAATTGCTATTTTTGCCAATCCTCGTTCTTTTGTGAAGTCAATGAATTTATTCTTAGTCTAATTATGTGATAATTACTCGGACGGTTAATTGATTGGGTAACGTTTTGAATGTAAGACGCGCATTAAACATAATTGTACCTGCATAGTGTCTTCTCTCTGCGCTCCGTATGTGTGGATGCCTATTGATATACGCCGATGGGGCTTGTAAAGGATTCCCACTGGGCACATTCCCAGTGTGAACGGCTTGGTATGGGAGATAGAGGAACAGGGGCTGCAAGAAATCATTCAGTGTTCCTGAATATGTAAACGTTAATGGAGCTTTATTGTGTTACACAGGAACCGTTTCTTACATCCACATTGGCGAAATTATTTATGGAAATACAATATTTGTTCAACCTTTATGGTATACTTCTATCAACAAGGGATTACCTCCTCTCTGTTATGCTGTTTCACGATGTCCACTGCTCGCTCTGTAAACAGCGTTGTTGAGTACTGTCCGATTGCTGTGTAGTCTAGGCTAACATTGCTTCTAAAGTCATAACCAAAGAAGCCCTGCAATGATACATAGTTAGTGACGGTCGTTTTTATATATTGGTTTAAAGTTGTGTGACAATAAAAATCGTACATTTTTACATATTTATTTTTATACTGACATTAAATGGTTATCAAGCTGACATTGTTAATCAGCCTAGTAACAACCATAGCTAACAACAAAAATGAAACAATGCTAATTTGCAGCAATTTCATGTTCAAGTATGTATTTACCGCATAAGGTATCCACTGAAAGTACTTAATCTGTTTAAATGATAAGGAATAAAAGTACTTGTAAGCTTACACATCAATTTTGTAAGGTAGGTTGGTGCATATGTGAACCGTTCACGTTCTTGTTAATGTCCCGTCAGCATTTCTAATCAAACAACGTACGTATTTTAAAGCTGCGCAATGACTCTTTAGTCATTAACGTATTCATACAAAATACATTATGAGGAGAGTCGTAAAATTATATCTCATATCTTGCTTTTTGTCAAAAAGGTATGAAGAAAGATGTTGAAGGTGTCAAATAATCTAGCATAGAAACTATCCGAGAGCCCAAATAATCGTTTATATTACATTCTGTTTATTGGAGTGGGTATCCCGAGAGCAACTTCATGTGTCTTTATAGCAGTTTGGTGTTGTAAACTTTAATTCATAGTATATTTCTAGCGTCCATGATTTTTCGGTGTCTTTTTTGAAACGAATTTCGGATTATAGCTATAACTGAATACAACTTCTGTTGCCGCAGTCGTTGTCATATATTTGTGTAAGAGTTTAATTCATATTGCGTGACATTAACATCAATGCTGATGCACCCTTGTAGTTTATATAGAAGTTGAGAAAATGTGTCATCAGTAGACAGAATCAATCCAACAATCTGAATTCTAGAGTCCAGCTGAATAATTCAAATAATTATCATTTTGCATGCAAATAATGCTGAAACCGCGTGTCACCACTTGGTTAAGTCGTCTTTTGAAATTAAATAATAAAAAGCATTCAGATTGGAATCGAAGTTGAATAGCTTAGACAACGCTTTCACATATCACAATTTGCGAAATTCTACGTCGACGTTGCTTCATAGTTTCGTCATGTGACTTACTGGAATTTGCACATGAATCCGAAATGTTAATATTGTCTGCTGCAATACATATCAGCTATATCAGTGTGTATGGAAGCTGCATCGGGTAGGAAATAATGAAGATGAGGTGTGAAGTGAATATTGAAAATCAACATTAATCCTGATGATAAGTCCATCTGTACTGTGAACCGTTTTCTTTACATGTACACTACCTGACAGTGGTGCCTGATCGAGCTCTGAATGTGACTCTATACCGTAATAGTATTAATGATACAATACATTCATAGACAAAACTAGACCGAGTTACCTCACTGTCTTCATATGTGTGATCATAGTAGTCTCCATGTGAGTTGTAATATCCGGTGAAAGTTTCAAATCCTCGATACGTTGGTGTATACTCACTCTTAAAGGAGCCAAGATGCCACTGTAATGTTGATATCAATGATTTGTTGGAAGCATATTGATAAAAATGACAAAGAAACAATTCTTGAACAAGTGTTAAGTGATCATTTGTAAACAGATAAATCACAAATGTACGTATATTCATTAGGTACAATTAATAAGCAAATGGAAAATGTAATATGAGATGCTGGATGTGAAATACTTTCTATATTGATGTTTACATTAAACAGCTAGTTGTGACGTGATGTACCTACCTTGCCCACTATATGCGTTCGATATCCAAGATTTCGCAACCTCTGGGGCATGATAGTGATGTTCAATGGAAGACCATTTGGTTGGGCACCTCTGATCACACCTGAATGTAATCCTAAACATACGACTTTGTATTTATATCAGTATAACACACGAATCATTTATTATCGGGTATTCAACATAATATTTCAACGTGAAGCAAGGAAATGATAATAATTTAATAAGTTCTGGTTTTAAAAAAATAAGTTAAGAACATTAAAGATCCATCGGCAAGCTGTCACTGAGCAAGTGTCCGATTAGATACAACACAGTGTTGTAGCACCAAATGCGACTGCTCTAACAGGGCTTTGGTACACTCAAAACGCAAAAAGGTATGAAGTTTGTAAGATTTCACGCTGACTGAGATTGAAGTACTAGTTTAAGGGCGATAGAATCACGATTGACAAATTAATGGCAAAAAGTTATATAAAGAGACAACGGCATTTTTACAGGATGATGTCAATAGCTAAAAGAGTCAATTTGTTAAAAGCAGATTCTAACAATAGATCGCTACATGGTCCAATCGAGTCTACTGACCTAAATATAATTTTAAAAAATGTGGAGAGAGTTGGCCATTTAATCTTGGACTGAGCATGTTCATCAATACTCAGGGAAAATTGTGTGTCAATAGTGATAAGTTTGCCAGTTGAAAACTTTCGAATGGAACAGGACTAAATGACACTTACCGGTATGGATTGGATGTAGTCCTGACATAAGCGCTCCTCTTGTTGGGGTACATAATGGGGAGACATAGTAGTTATTAAGTATGATTCCTCTGTAAGCGAGACTATCTATATTTGGTGTAGGAATTTGACTGGATCCATGGAAACTTACATCATTCCAGCCCTATAAAACCAAAACGAACGATTAAGATGTTATTTTTGCGAGTCAATAAAAACATGAAACAATTCATCTTATATCACCACTATTGGTGATATAACTTTTCCAGTGATGATGTAATTTTTGTACTTTTGGCCAAGCGAAACTGTGCTTTCTAGTAACTGCAATGAAAAACAATAAGAAAATACAAACATTTTAACAGTCCTAATCATAATCCAAACACAAATTTAACCAACAGGCAAACTAACCAGCATCAAACACGTCCACCTTCATATCGAATCAACTGCGACATATAAGCACCATACGTTAGTAGTGTTGGATTGTTGCTATCCAGAAACGGAAAATCACAGTAGGAAAATCAAAATCATCACGAATATCATACAGCTTGGTGGAGCGCTGTCCAAGATAATTTCGTTGTAGAAAAAATTCGAGATAAGCGGCTGGTTTAGGAGAGTCTGTCGTGTCATTGATTTCCAGTTCTTATGAGTATATATATATTGGAGGTGGTCAATGATTTCTTGTTATTTAGAGACAGGACGCTATCAGTGTATCTGAAAGTGAAATTAAACGTCCTTGTAACCTGTTTTGATAAACTCCTTGATAAGTTCAACAAGAACAAGTCAGCCAAGAGAAGTGCACAGTTAATTCCCATAGGTATGCTAATACTCTGTTGGAAGATCTTACCATTTAACTCAACGAAGATGTCGACCAGAAACTCAATAATTTTTATTATTTCGTCCTTCGAATATTTCTTCTTTGACTTGGCCGTATCTTTTACGGAAAAAATCTTCAGTATAGTTTACAACCATATATTTGTACCGGCGTAGTTGGAAGTATAAATACTCACGTTTTCAAGTTATTGGACGCCTTATCGCCAGAAATGATTACATACCTATCATGTAAGTCTTGAAGTGTGGATTTAATATCGATTGCCAATGTTAGGACGTATATGAAGCGTAGGTTGAATAACTTTGTTTTACATCAAACGATTCAATTTACATTTTTGTTTTTCTGTGATAGGTATAACTTTTTTGTTAACGATTCTTTCCAGCAGATAAAACATGAAATGGAAGAAAACAACGTAAAACAGCATATTTAAAATGGCGTTATCTTGTTGGCAAGCGTATTGACGTTTCAGATGTAAAGAAGACACCAACATTTCCCATTTTTTAAATGCAAATGCTTAAAAAAACCCAATGCATTGATGCTGTAATAACAAATATAACTAACGGTTCGTGCTCTCTAGACTGCCAGATATTTTGTTTAACTGCGAAAATATCTCTCTACTCCTTTTATATTAGATTTTAGTCTTGCTGTATTCCTGTATGTCAGTGGCTGTCGCGATAGGCTGAAGCTTTGCTCGAATATTTTTTTGATCTCGCGATACCATACGTTACGTCAACAGTGATCTACATCTCATATATCTTATATATATACTCACCAGATCGTCTGCTACCACAACAATTATATGGGGCCGAGACGTTGTTTTACATATGCCCATTTTGACAGAGTGACACAGAAAAGAAAGACACCAGAAGACTATTTTTGTTGACAGCATTCTTCTAATGTATCCGGAAACAAAAGGTACAATACATTTGTAGATTTTCAGTCTAATTTTAAATCACCAACTTATATTCATCAAGGGTAATAGAACTTCGTAAAATTCATGTGTTGTATCCTTCACAGTATCGTCCGAAATGAGAGGAGGCAGCAAATGTTTCATTTGTGTTAAAACACAAAGAGACCATTAAGATATTCATTAAAAAATATGTATTAAACCAGTCGTAAATTCAATATTAATTAGTAATAACAATGTTTTGTTTTAGATGTTGCATGCATATTCACTATTAGCATTGTTATTATATACACGCGTTGGTAAAGTCACAGATGTACAAATGTTAAAACAGGTATAAAGTATGGATTGATCTATTATAAAAAATGTGATACGACCAGGACAAACGGCGTTAATGGAAATGAATGCATACATATGTAGTAATTGCAAATTTATGGTTATGTCGATATTATTCGGCTCTGTAAGATGTAAAGAAATACATTGCTAACAAAATCGTTCTCTTTTACTTCTCTCTAGATACGTCCTCAGGAACTGATGGATAATATGTCACCATTTTGATATTATGATATGATAATATGGTGGTTATATGGCGAATGTCAGTGACGAACTAGCTGTTATCATTGTATCTTCTTTCCCATGTGTACCAGTAAATATTGTTTGAATTTTTAAGGATCAGTATATTGAAGAATTCGCGTGTTTCCCTTTATTCCGTTTTACACATTCCTACAACATATCGATAACGGTACTGTGGTTTCGCGAAGATTATCTTAAAACTGATATATTAAAAGTTATTTTGTGGTCTTTACAAAAACAAAAAATATATAAATAAATGAATAATTTGATAAATGAATAGGCATATCAAAACAAAACAAGCCGACGCTTAAAGCAAAGTTTGTCATATGATTTTATGCGGACGTGTGCATTTTTGCTTTAAATTACGGACGAGCTGGAAACACAATCTGTTATCTTTAGTCGACCATGTCAAGAGCATGCGTAACTGACATCTTCATTCCAGTTCTTCAGCACAAAGCGATATATGCTTTTACGCTTGACCAGTTTGTATGTATATGCTGAAAATGTTATGAAGTTATCATTTAATTGCATGCAAAATTTGCGTCTATAATCGTCATCGTAATATTTGATACAGGAAATGATATTTATCCTCAATTATTTGACTGTATTACTTTACGAGAAACAGCACGATAAGCTCTTGGGCATTCATTGGATTTTTCTTTTTTTCTCTCTCTTCATGTCCTCTTTCCTGTTTCTTGAGATCATTTCGTATTTAGATGGCGTTCCAGGTTTTTTATCTTTCTATTAGTAATTTCTATTTTGACATATATAATTCAAAAGTTAACAATTTAAAGCAATATCTAGCGTTACATTTTACCGATATTCCATCATGTTTTCACTTGTATTGGGTAACAGGTCATTGGGTTGAAAGAAACTACTCTTTGAGGGAAGCGTATGCATGCTTGTCGGAAATGCAAGTTCGATCCATTTACAAATTAAATTACGTATACAATTAGGCACTTCTCGTGTCTTTCTCTTTTTTTGTCGTGTCTTAACGAGTGTTTTCCTTCTAAGAAACCGTATTTGGTAGGTCTTCGTCCGCTATTCCAATACATAATTTATAACAGATAATTTTCTTGACCTGCCGATTGGAAAGATTGTTTTTCACTAACATGCTTTTCATACATGATTTGATACCTGCTTCTGTTATGTTAAGATTTACAGAATACAATTTCCAATCAAAATGCACTTCGTAAAGTAAAAGAGATCTGCATATTTATACAGGATTGGTTGACCTTGTTCTGTACGGTGGCGTTATCGATGCCGGAGTTTGTTGGAAATTGACAGAAACATAGAGAGATTCGAATTTAAGAAATATGACAGGAAAGCGATGTGCGCATATATATTTACGGTATCAACAGGGGACAATTCGCTAACGACATAATAGCATCCTGGCCCAAGCCTTGCCATCGGTGCTGATCACATATGGTCAGGATTATTTTGGTTCCATTCACACAGAATCAGGCAACAAAATAATGTATAACGATCTTTGGATTTACTGACGAAATATGTTTTAACATATAATTTACATACACTTAGCGAAAAATATTATTGATGTTGTTGTTATATACAACTTTGATTTTAAGGTATGTTTTTTCAGTGAGTTTTTTTCTCAGCAATAAAGATTCTCATGAGCTTCGTCAACATACATGTACGACAGGTTCCAGAGAGATTGTATAGCATTGTATTATGAAAATAACGAAATATAAAGATAGCCTGAACAATGAGAATATTAACAGAAACGCATCTGGCCGAGTACGGATTACATCAGGAAATGCACACTGAAGGAAAGAAATGCTGCAACTGTACTTGTTTATCTTGTATATCATTGGTTTAGAATTTCAGAATTTTGAATTTTAAGTTTATTAAAAAGGCGACTCGACCCAGCAGATCATAATTCGATCTTTTTTTAAAGATATACGCCGATGAACAGTCAAAACTGGTTTGCCTTGTTGACCGCTTTCTTACATTTTTTCAGCAATTACGAATATTAAGAGCACAGAAAACGTCATATTCAACCTTTATTTTGAGTGCAATAACTTTTCAACCAACGATGATTCCGCTACCGTCGACATCCCTGGAAAACATAATTACATGGTAAAGTTAGTATGAGACTTAAAGCAACAAAAGAATAAATTCATGCACTTACTTAACACTGTAAATACGAATTTGCTTGATAGATATGCAAACTTGTCAGTGTTTGGCAAGAACATAAGTTTAGTGTGACATAGTGGTATGTTATTAGACTACCCCACCTCTTATATTTTTGTAGGCATAAACTATAACAAATACGGTTGAATCTTACAGTGGCGAGATCAATTTCATATCAAATGGATAGAAATTTCTTCTTTCTTTCTTTATTCTATTGATTAATTGCTTTGGAAATAAACAGAAAATCGTATCGATGCTAAACTTGAAGCCATATTAGCTGTACGTATTTGACTCCATTTTGACATTACAATGACTTGTAATAGTAAGAAGTCATTTACCTGGTTTTATATGAAAAATAACGAACGCGACAATCTTGCGATAAAAGGGTAACATTATGTTTTATATATATATATATTACGTACCAATGTTTTTTGTATACATAATTTTATATTTTGATACTATATCTATAAAATTACACATTGAATGCATTAATGTTATTTTGCTACATCACTAAAACATCACTGTAGCAGTTGTTCCCGTTCAAAAAGTTATCATAAAATAAGAAGTCACCACAATATACATATTGAGACATACTAGTACCAGCCTATGGACACATACTCTGATTGACAGATGTAGTAAAGGTGAATATCACAATCATCATCTGCCATCTTGAAGCCACCAGCCCCATAGAGGTTCATACAGTTGCCAGACAGGGCATTATTGGGTTCTCCATCAGCCCAGTTGATATAAGTGAGTTCCTCTCCTGTTTGGGCCCACTTCCATACATTTTCTACTTCCAAATCTGTTCCATCGATCCAATACAGAACATGCGATGCATCTGTGTACGAAAGAAAGATACCAGGATAATTACACACCATGTGTTCAGTCTTTGATATTCAATCCTAATACATAATCATTGTGTAAACGTTGGTTCGACTATGTTATTCTGAATACAAAGTAGGTCCTAATTATACCGTATTTTAACATACAGTTGTTTACGTTTGCTATTTTATGTTCGTTTCTGCACCTAATCCCTATTGATATGCTTGTTGACATATTCGTCTTTATGTTCTAATGCGATTTTCTTCTGTCATGACCGAGCTAAAAGTACTTTCACATGGATACATAGAGTTATAAACATAATGTTGATTGTAATCGTCTTCTTTATGCAGCTGTCGATGACATTGTTATTTACAATATGAATATTTAATCCCAATTATTGCATAATATCAAATTCAAACGTAAGAAAAACACAGAAGTAAACCCCTCATACATTTTCCCCGTGGCTGTAACACAACCATTCTGAAGGAACAGACTTATCAAAGATGGGTGGTATGAAAAATGAAATAAAACAGCATGTAATATATATATTTATGATGATTTGACAAAGATATATAAACGCAATGTTAGTGTTAACCTTATTGACAAAAACAGTTGCCAGAATCAACACAAGTTATAGCTAGTTTAGTTTTGAGGGTTTGTTATGTCAGAAAGTTAGGTATTTATTTATATAAGCCTTTATAAAAGTACAACCCGATTTTCATGGTTCAATTCAGGAAAATACATTATCTTTAGCCACGGATCGAATAATTTGTACAATCCTGAAAACACAGACTACATAGAATATAGGTGCAAACGATAAATATACCAATGCGTGAGTGAGACGCCAGAACGGAACTATCTAGTCATTAGAACTACAAACGTAACGTTGGAAATGGAACCTACGAGCCGTGGCAAACTTAGGCTGCCGTTTGAAATGGTCTCCAGAGAAAGGTCCATTTTCCACAGGGACGTCGTTGAAAGCGCTGACTGTGGATAATGGACCCAACTACCATTACGGCGATTGTCACATTCGGATTATGCAGTATAGTTATTGATCAAAGATTAAAGAAATCTTCTGAATTATACTATTACATACTATCATACCTGTTATCCTTCAGTTTAAGCTCACACAATAAGAATTATATTATGTGAACACGATTAGGATGACCTACAGATAGTCTATTAAAACGATTAGCTGCACAATATCAATATAAAGGAATACAATCGTAAGTTGATTCAGGGTATTGTTTAAGCTCATAAACGTATTTGCCAATTTATTAAAGTCCTCGTACATTTTTCTTTAACTAGTAAACAATTTGTATATTGTGATGAATATTGTTCTGTATGACCAAATGTTTCTGTGGATATTTTGTCGTCTTCTGTGTAATTTATGGTTATAAAGACATGGATTGAATACTGGAGATAACAATAAAACCAGCTCTTCTCCAAAATGGATTGTCTTACTTTCCATGACTCCTATGTGTACCTGCAATCACTCCTATATAATTGACAGCTCTCTTGACCTAAGGTGAACCGTCCGCTAAGTCGAGTGCCAGTAATACACGTATGTAACAAGAGTCAGTTGTATAGAAAAACAAGACATTTAAGTCAAGATATTCCGCGGTTCCTTTTGCCAAGTTGTACATGAAACAGGAGTAATTTTTATGGCACAATAAACATGTGACATTGCATTCTGGGTCCAGTTTCAATGTGGAATATAGAACCGATGTGATCTTGACAGAGAAAACGTCACAGATTTTTCGGTCGGTTTTCAACGTTCAATATGAAAAAAAGTCTAATGGGTCATACTACAGTAGATCATTGATATTCAGCGTAAATTTCAATTTCAATTTATGAAAGGCTTAAATCCCGTATTATAATACAACGATTAATTTTAATCGTTATACATTATTCAAAAACCGAATCTTGAATTTGCGGAGTGACTTGACACTGCAGTGTTAGCGTATTTTATACAGTTTACAGTGGATGCACTGGCGTAGTTGATTGTTAATTTATAGATTTTAAATAATTATTCAGTTTATGGTTAAAAATTATGATTTCCGCCCAATCAAGGGAGGAAACTCGAACAAACTTCATCTGGTTTTAATCGACGTTGATAAAATGTGATTGCGAATATAAGTAGTTTAACCTCTTATATAAGCAAACGTTCATATTTTCCAAAAAGTACAAACCGATATGAAAACGGAATAGGAATAATGAAAAATATAAGTATTCTACAGACTGCTGGTGTTCATTTTAACCTATCAATCAGAAACATGTATGCATTTGCATGATTCAACAGGAACTGGTAACAACATATTTTCAGAAAATTTCAAACATTCAAAGATCCAGGTTTGCCTAAAAATACTACACACCGTGCCTGTGTATATGCTTCAGTTCCGATATAAGAAAGTTCTGTTCATCTGCTGAAGTGATGACTGCCAAATTCGAATGGAGGGCTAAACACGTCGCCTACAATAGCAAAAGGGTTAAAAAATGTAGGCAATTGTTAAGAAGTAGTGCATCATTTCAATATATTGCTTTATTTATCAAAACGTTTAAGGGTTTGATTTGGGTCGTCACATAATCTGAGTAAATGTTGACATTATATCAAACAGTGTGAACCCTTATTACTACCTTACATCCACACACAATCAGTACATTATCTTTTAAAAAAAGAGTAACTATAACTCTCTATTTATATAATCTTGTATATTTAATCGGATCTTGAAGTAGATGCTATTGATAATTGCTTTAACGGCACTTGTGAAACAATTGATTATGCAACAAGTGATTCTAGACTTTGTCCAACATTAAACACTTCCGTCAAAAAACTTTACATAATGTGACCTTTCAGTGGGAAAATTTTCAGACTTTCAACATTCAAACTACAAATGTTTGATAATAACCAGAGACTGAGCCTAGTAGGGTGATATTCTCTATTTATATTTGTATTTAATTTCTTGACTGCCTCTTCGAGGGATTGATATTAGTTGTATTAGCGTAGCAAATATTACATCCAACATTCATAAAAATGAAATACTATCAGTCATGATACTTTGATTTATGACGTAACACAATAATAACCATTATGTGCTGACTTTCTGTTATGCTGTTCACTTTAGTTATAAAATATACTTACAAACGCTTCTCCCCATGTTGATTTACCATGGGAAAATAAATAGCAGTTGTTCTCAAATGACACCCATCCGTTCCTACAAGATGCTAAACCTGAAAATATTCTACATTAAATTATAAGATAAAACCGGGAATAAATCTGGAATAAGTTCAAGCTTTCTCGGTTTGTTCAATATCTATAATGCGTACCATTTACCTCACCTGTGTTGTTGTTCATCATACGCTTTTGAATAAAAACTCCTTTTACTACTTGTCGCCATATTGCATGTGTATCATCAGTACATGTTTGTCCCTAAAATTATACGAAATATTAATATTTACCCTCCGGGATACAGCATACGATCAATGTCAAGAGAAGAGAAAGCCGGGAGTCCATTTTTAATGATGTCATCTACTTTCCCAGGTGAAGTAGACAAGCAGTTGACCTGAGATAGTGCTAATCTGAAGCGAGGTTTACGGCACCAGTTGCCACACATATATAGTACCTGTAACGTTACACACGGTTACAAACGTGTGATTACTGGGCTCAAATGGTGCTCTTTATGATATATAATACATCCTATCTAGCTCTGTAGAACAGCTTTGTTAGTAGGTCTTCTTATGATCGTGTGGACAGGCAATCCTAAACATTATATGTTACGAGGAAATTATTTGCCAGGTATTTACCAATGTTTGAGCACGCATGCATTGTATTTAATGTCCACGTCTATCTAATGTAAATAACATATCAGGTTATGCAAGAAACATTGATAACCGATATTTGAATACTTGAACTTTTGAAAACTTTTCTTAACATGTGAATTAATATTTAAAAAATGGTCCTTTGAGGTATTCCTCTGTTTTAAGCATCAAAAATATGACTTTCTCATTGCAAGCTTTCATAAAGCGTATAACATGCCGCTATCGCATTGTATGATGCTTCTCTGAATTTGATGCATTTTCCATAATACCAAGAAGTTGAAGTCAGACATATCCTTCCTTGAGATATTGTATTATCAACAAAATTAATTTTCTATATTTACTAATACGTTTATTCAATAATTTCCCAATATTACTGACAAGTTTCACGATATATAACTTGGCAATGATAACATTAGGTATTTGTTTCCCATTTTGTTTTTAAACAACGAGTGGAGAAGGGATGACTTAATGAGTTTGTGAATTAAACAGAATAAAACAATATTTTCTTTAAAAGAGCTAGTATTTTAAACAAAACTCCTTGCTTGAAACTACATCATAAATAGATATTTATTCAATATTCATGCTTACACTATAGTTGTTTGCTCAGGGAAGATATCTATACAAAATAAGAGTTATATTAATCGGCTTTTGCAAAGTTTATCAGAAACAAAATACAAATTGATAATTAAGTAGAATAGTTAGTAGTGCTTTAACGTATGTATAAGGACTTTTCCACATCATCGCCTTTCAACACTGAGCAATCCAAGTATCAGTTTCATTGAATTGCACAGTGGTAGTCAAATGAAGTCGATAGAGAAATCAAATTTATTCGCTTTATTACACTATTATCAATCAACCGATGATATTTCCAGATTCCTCTCTATCACTGTCAATGAAAAAAGACAAAACATTACTTGAAAAATAAAACATCACAATATCAAATCATGCTAACATTACACGAATAAAGATTGAGTTCGTAATTCCTACTGGACATGAAGTTAATACATAAGTTCTCTGGGGTATCACCTTTATAAGATAAAGCTTAACGATGTACTGAATTGATAAGAATGTAATTTAATATACTGATAACAGTAACCCTGATAGCATCAAACGTTAAGAACATTTAAAGAAGACAAATAATTGATATCAGTGCTTCTAATATCTATGCAAACAATCTAGATATCTAATATATTATCTTACGTTTCTTGGCAAATGTAGTTGAGATGCAATTCGCAATCATCATCCGCCATTAGAAATCCACCTCTACCCCAGAGATTCATGCAGTTGCCACCTTGTGCGTTGTTTGGTTCGCCGTCAGCCCAGGCAGTGTAGGTAAGCTTATCTCCTGTTATCGCCCATCTCCATACGTTTTCTACTTCAAGGTCTGTACCATCTATCCAATACTGCACGTGAGGTGCATCTAAAGGAAACGAAACCTTTAATTCGTCAATCAATACATCTAGCGAAGATGAGGATTTGAATTCGTGGATAAATGTACCGGACGAAACTAATTATTTATTCATAACCTAAATTCACCGGTATCTGAGTTTTCTAGTAAGCTAGATCCATTTTGTTATGGTAGGGCAGAGCAGCTGCGTCGACCAATCCAATGGGGTGACAATGTCTATTCTTAATCATCACTTAATATTGACGTAGTTTTGGGCAACAGGCTTAAGTTTATATAAGTCCTCTCCATAAGGCAGATAAACGGTTACATTAAATAAAGTACATATGATCACACATTCACTGATTTATAGATAATATTAGTATAAGCTCCTATCTTGTTAAATTAAAGATATTAAATTGTTGAAATTTTTTTTAATAAAAATATGGTTTGAATAAGAAAACAGAGTCGATGTCTTAATGTCTAAAGAAGAATATATCGTGTTTGTGACCTATAATAAATGATAACTTAGATAGGTACCATTTTGATGAAGTTGATTAAGTTCACCAGTCAGGAAGGTTTGCTCCATGTCTGAAGTAATTACTGCCAGATGCGAATGAATTGCTAAACATGTTGCCTGAAGTAATATGATAAACACTGATTACTAAATATATGTGGCAGTAGAATTGAAATCCCGAAGCTGAATTACATTCCCATAAAGCAAAGAGATTTATTTGCTCATCTATCGTAAATAAATCGATTATCTTTTCAAGAAAAAAAAGGTATAAAACATGTATTTTCTTAGTTACGCGTGAAAAAATAAAGAAAGCGATAAAATTATTCTTTCTTATCTACTAATGTATATCCCTAAACTGCGTAAGAACTCTTTTCTTTTGTTTTCTTTTTTATCAACGTTATAACAACTTTTTCACACTTTTCTTTTCTTTTCAACATTTCGTATATTTCATGTTATTTGGTATTTTGTACTTTATGGCAGTTATAAAGAGCTTAAAAATACAATATTGGACATTTTTGCATTTATATATATATATATATATATATATATTTGATTTTAAATTTCTTTTCGGGGAGACCTGTCCACTTTTGTTTCATCTACAAGAAATCGCAGTTATTTATATTGTTTAACATAAGTATTTGTTCACATGTGTTGACCTTCATAAGGGGTGTATAAAAATAAAGCTTATCTTTAATCACCATAAGTACGTGTATGAAAGTGTATCTTCATCTAACTCGGAGTATTTATTTTATTGCTTAGGGGGTTTATCAATATATTAAAGTAATTGATGTGACGTTGTATTGTAATACTAACTGCTATATATCCGTCGGTTAAAAAAATCAGTAGGGCGTTCGGTTAGTTAGCCAGAGGTCCTAGGAAATCTCGGAGGCATTAATAAAGTAAGAGCGTTATGGAAGGCATTATGGATTTCCCGTGTGAAAAAAGTAGCACAAAGTTCCATTCGATTCGGTTAGTAGCCTCTCTTGAGGCGTTATGGTATAAGTATACAAACCGACGCCTCGGCCCAAGTGGATTTCCCGTGTGAAAATAAGTAGCACAAAGTTCCATTCGATTCCCAGCCTTGCCTGCATGCAAACCCTAAAATGAATAAAATATTTGGCAAAGTGTAACAATGTTTTTTCGTGTAACGTCTTCAGAGCAAAAATATACCATAAGACAAACATATGATGTATTCTGGTGAATAATTCAAACTAATAAGTATTAATAGCAAACTGTTTCCCAATGCGATTGAAAAATAGAAAAATGATCGAACAAATTATATTTTAATTCACAACATTTATGTTGTAATGTGGTCGTGTCTCGTTCGAATACTCAAAGTCACGCGTGAAACATGACATTGTGTAAGAATGAATCACATGACACAACAAAATACAAGCATTATCACTTGACACACACATTACCTCTTCCAATACTCAAAGTCACACACGGGAAACATAGCATTGTATGAGAATGCATCACATGGAACAACACATTCCTGTACTATAAACTTGACATTCATATTATCTCTTTCAATATTCAAAGTCACACGTGTGAAACATGACATTGTATAAGAATGCATCACATGGAACAACACATTCCTGTACTATAAACTTGACATTTATATTATCTCTTTCAATATTCAAAGTCACACGTGTGAAACATGACATTGTATAAGAATGCATCACATGGAACAACACATTCCTGTACTATAAACTTGACATTCATATTATCTCTTTCAATATTCAAAGTCACACGTGTGAAACATGACATTGTATAAGAATGCATCACATGGAACAACACACACTATAAACTTGACATTCATATTATCTCTTTCAATATTCAAAGTCACACGTGTGAAACATGACATTGTATAAGAATGCACACATGGAACAACACATTCCTGTACTATAAACTTGACATTCATATTATCTCTTTCAATATTCAAAGTCACACGTGTGAAACATGACATTGTATAAGAATGCATCACATGGAACAACACATTCCTGTACTATAAACTTGACATTCATATTATCTCTTTCAATATTCAAAGTCACACGTGTGAAACACGGCATTGTCTAAGAATGAATCACATGACAAAAAAAAAAAAAAGAAATACATGCACTATCATTTGACACACACATTACCTCTTTTAGCACATAGAGCTGAAATAATAAACACGATTACTATCCTAACGTCCATTTTCGAACAAGTGGATCGTCTGTTCTAGAAAGAATAGATAACGCCTTCCTATCAAAGTGAAGGACAGAAGTCTTACCTGTGTATCCGTATGCTAGTGTAAACGTGACATCAGCCTTTGTTTTATAAATTGAACATTACCTATAAAACTAGCAGGATATAAAATCAATTTTTCAGTCAACCTCTTCCACATTGTATTTCCTCTGAATATGTGTGGCGATAAATAATAACTTTTAACCATTTCTATATATCAATAGTAGGTAAAATGTTTAAGGAACAAAGTAAAGTGAATTCTCATCTCAGTGACAATTCGCTCTGTATATGCAACTGTACATATACAACAGATATTTATCCCTCTATTTACTTCTGTCTTCTCCTTCCTTCTGGTATCTCTCTTTACATCCATCCTCATATGTCTATTGAATGAATTTCAATCAGTGTGACCTTCAGTAAATATTTGCTGGATGGTCTAGCTGAACAACTAAATCTCTATCGAAATGAAATTCTTTAACTAGAGCGTATTTTGCAAAACCTACGTATTAAAAAGTGGACATACTCGATTTGTGGTTGACGATATTCACCAATGCCGAATCTGGAGGTAACAGACGTTTTAACATAGGAACATAACTGTACTTATTTATTTTTTTATAAAGGTTTAGCAGACAACAAACAACAGAGGCAATCCATATATTGTAAATAACGCAAACAAAATAGAGACATTTCCATCAAACGGTATACGTGTTATCCTTATGTGATATTTTTTATTTCTATATAGCAAACTTCATGTCTCATTATCCGACATTCAGGAGCTTTTTCCTAATATTTGATTGGTGTAGATTATCTTAAAGACATATGATCTTCATACTGATTTCTTTTCTATTTCCTTTTGCAGTATGAAGAAAGACATGTTTTCATTCGTGGTTGTTCCGTTATCGATCTTATTTGGGAACGTGGTGATATTTGCTAATATTAACGATGTACATTTTAGAGGTATATGTGTAAATATTTCCGCTGTTCATATTTTGCTCAAGATTAGCCGAATTCGAGAATGAATTAAGATAATGTTGACATGTGGGTATTTGAAAAGAAATCCATTATACTGTGCTACCTATAAAATTGTGTGATGTTTTACCAGATCCACAACTTGAACACGTGTACAGAAGTAAAGTTATTATATAGAAGGGAAAGTATCTAGGAATAGACAAGTTTTACTTGAACGTATTCGTATTGAGGTTTTCGTAAAAAGAAAACAAATAAGGGGGGGGGGGAGTTAAAGGTATTTTCATGTACGAGATGGTGTCATCTCACTGATGTATAATTAGATAATTTAACAGGTCCAGTACATCAACACGAATTTACCAAGGTTTTCTTCCAGGATGGAGAGAAAGATATTTACAATGAGAACGGCCGCCTTATTTACGTGTCACTGATATTGAATTAGATTGACGCGTTTGAAAATATCTTATCAGCTATAAACGTCCAATCCCTCTATTATCTATTTCAGAATTACCAAGATTGTCCAATACACTGCGAGCTGGAATGATGAAAAAATTACCTTTGTTCGTATTTGTACTAATATCAGCAATTCCTTACTCGGGTAAGCGTGTAGTGTATACATGTAAATATTGGTGGCGATAGATGTTCATGGTGTTTGTGCCTGGTGTTTAAAGAATTTCGATCGCGCTTGTGTCATTGTTCGGTGTACAGGAAATTAATTTTAAATTCCATATGTTGTAGATAGTTCGTTGTAATGACAAATGATCCATTCTGAGCACACTATGACTTCCTAATGTATCACAAAAACAAATTTAAAATCTTGATTGCAACATACGGTCATTTAATCCTCTGAATCTAAAAATTGATAATGTTGTAGACACATGTATCCTAGTTAAAATATATTCTTTCAAAGCTGACAGTGCAAGACAAGATTAGAATGCTTCCGAGACTTCCACTCTATGCTGTCGATATCTTACGGTCATTGTACATTTGTCTAAGAAGGTGGCAGACATTTTAGTCCAAACTGATGCCGGTATAGATTCTAATGACCATGTCAATTAACAAATCAAAGATTTTTAACTGTTGTCCGATTTTTTTTATTAAAGTTACTACATATGTGTAGTCTAATGTAACGAACACAATGGTGCAATCAGTTTTTTTTTATAAAGCACAACCATGGCTGCCACATATGGTTAAGGTGTAGGCTATATTGATAGCAACTTTAAGTTATATCATTACAATATCTCTATTGCCTAGTGTCACCTGCTAGAGTACTGGTTACTGACCATGACCTTGTACCAGGTGTCATGGTGTCATGAATAAGTTTTGGGGTATTATGTTACGGTATATATATATTTATAAAGCGTATATTTTCAGCCGCTGCTCAGTGTAGAGGAGGATGGATTGGCTTCAGGGAATCGTGCTACTATCTGTCGCATGGAGTTGCAACCTGGGTTGAGGCCGGTGTAAGTTTAAAAACGTTACAAGAATGGTACAAAAGACACACAAGAGGTTATACTTTTCAATATTAATTTGGATTTATACACAGTATGCAAGAGCGTCATACTGCCATTTCATCCTTCTAAATCCCATGAGTTAAACCACGGACATAAATTATTAAAACTAGATTAATGAAGCTAACATCAATGAAATAGATGATTTGTAGGGCAATCATGAGAAGAACAAATACGTGCATATATTTATTTGCTAATTTTCCTTCTTACCAGGAAATTTGTAATATGCTCGGGGGCTTCCTTGCCATGATAGAGACAGCAGAAGAACTGACATTTCTGAAATCTGAATTAGTTCACCTTCATCAACATGGTAAGTACACGTCCGAATACTAATAATTAATTCATTTGCTTGACGGCTATTCAGATATTTGTGTTGTGACACATGGAATAAGCGTATGTAGAGCTGAAATTACCTGATTAGTGATGTCATAGCGTCAGGTGTCATATGATTTGTGTCATCTGCAAAGAAAAGGAATTGAAATGTAAATATCGATTATTGAAATGCTCTAGCGGTCTAATTAACTGACTTATTATTAAAGTATCTACGTTATGTAATTTTGCACTTACGCGTTTCGATAGTGTTACATTAACTGAAAACCATGGAAGGTCCTCTATTCATCAATGCTGATATGAAACAAATTTTTAATCGGTTATTACATATTTTATGTTATTGTCGAGAACATCATGTACACTATTTTATAAATAAGATAAGAAAATTGTTATGAATTGTTTCCATCCTAAATTACTCTCCCAACATAGTTAAGGAGTGCATGAGAATCGTTTTGGTATGTTAGCCTTTTTTGTCTTTTGTGCACTGCTTTTGTAATGCGTTTATTACATTATTATCATTTGACCTTAAATTCACAGAATATTTTATATTGGTGGCAATCAACCAATGTTAAAAGGACAAGGTTTGCACTTTACCTCTTTTAAATAAAACATACGTGTTGGAGGTATCCTGTGAGATTCCTCAATGGATTAACATTATATTTATTCCATGTTATCATAATTACAAGATACTGGTTGGCATTTGTCTATTTACAAGGCAACGGCATCTGATGGTCAATGCACTTATATGTTTACATTTGTAATATACCTTTCCAACAAGTTACACATATGGTCGCTTGAAATAACATAAATAATAATAAATGAATACAAAACAATATATACGGGTGAATATTTTCTAAATATCACAAATACCAAGAACTTCCCATCCGGCTGTCACCATGGCATGGGTTAAACGTACTTTCCTCAACATAGTGCAATTTCTGTATCTGTAAATCTGCGCACACATACAATAATTATATACCGCACTCAGTGTCACACTGATCGGTGGCTCTTCCATATAAATACATCATGTTCCTAAACAATCTAGTATGTATTAATTGTCGGGAGAAAAGCTTCCAAAAAAGGAAGTGTTTGAATTCCTCATTTTCAAATATTGCCGTACCTGCGACTCGGTAACGTGGAAATTGAGATGATATACCTATATCCGACACGGAAAAGTTGATTCAGTCATAACTGTAACATTGTGCTCAATAGTTCTGGATATAACGTGATATTTGCATGTCCATTGAAAATTATATGCAACAGTATAACAACGATTTACCGACAGCAACATTCGCCATCTGTATACCTAACCGGAGGACGAGTGTCAATGGCGACAATGACACTGGATAACCATGATACATAAGAAAATGACGTCAGGAATAATAGGGTGACCCAAAAAACTAGATTTGTTTGACTAGTCACTGATGTCATTAAATCCTTATTCTAATAACTGAAATTATGCACAAAACCGGAACTTAATTATCACTTAATTTCAAAAGGAATTGACCTTGTTTATACTGTTCCAGATATCTATTGCAAGTTAAACTCACTTTGTTTCAGCATAACCAAGCCATGCCATAATATAGCTTAACCCTCTCTTTACTAAGCGCAAGTCCTTTTCTTTGTTGGAATTTTAAGGCTTCGCTTGTAGCTTTTCTTCGTGAGGCGACCGGAGCACAAGTTACACAAAGTGACTCAGCAGCCAAATGATCTTCTGACGATATATTTCACATTGCTTTATGTTCTTCTCTTTAATCAAATAAAACGCTGAAACTTGCCTTGACATTTTAACATTTTACATCATACACAGGACAGGAAATTTGAATGCACTATTGAATATTATTCACATAAATGCTATTTAGCATAAAAGAATACAGGAATTCCAATGTGAAAATAAACAATGATAAAAAACATCATTATAAAATCAATTGTGGCATGAAGAATATGCTACAAGTCCACTTGTAATGATATCAACTATAACATAGTTTACAGATCAAAGCTGAACCACTTTTAAAGCAAAACGAATACGAGTAAGTGAAATCAATGTAAGCTCCTGCGGATTTTGTACCGAATCTGTGGTCAGGAACATGAAAACATACATCATCAGTGACTTTTAATAATTGATACGTTTATCAACATCTACACATATTCTTGTTTCAATGAAAAGAATTGTCGCTTCAGACATTGTATTTTTTTAGATGCTTCAACGAAGCAATATTGGATTGATGGCAACGACCTCGAGATCGAAAATGTCTGGAGGTGGATAAAAACTGGACAGACTATTACCTTTACGGACTGGGCTCCTGGAGAACCTAATGCTGCCGAAAATGATAATTGCTTGAACCTTTGGGGAAAGAGTGGATTTCGCTACGCTGACAATCCTTGCGAAGAACATTACAACTATGTGTGTGAAATAAGGTATGTTTCTGTTTTGATGATGATGATGATGATGATGATGATGATGATGATGATGATGATGATGATGATGATGATGATGATGATGATGATGATGATGATGATGATGATGATGATTGATGATGATGATGGAAACAGTTTCAAACGAGAAACGGCGACATTTCAGGGCCAAATTGAAAGAACACACAAAGGCAGGCCATGATGTCCTATTCATTACTGGACAGGAATATACGATTTCCAGATTATCGATGCAAGTGATTATCTTTCATGAACCCTTTCTGTGACATCTCATAGTTTACTTAACTATATAACAATTTTAGCTAGTCTAAGATTAATAGAAAATATAGCTAAAATTGTACAATGCAATGCAAACATGATACAGATAAATTTACAAACAGCATATTTAGATCCTAATGTCATTTTTGACGAGGACAATAATGCCGGTGAATGGCAGATATCTTTCCACTACAGAGTCAGTAAATATCATCGAAATTGAAGGAAATCGGTCCCTATAATTAAGGAATGGATTGCGAAGTTTCCAGACTACCTTCATCGTACCTGTCAGTAGTAGTAGGTGTTATATAACATTTAATACATGATGTTACATGTAATTTTCATTTCTGTCAGATAAAATAAGGGGGGGGATCAATCTTTATCAACATAGTATTTTGCTACTGTTTCATTACAGAGATTCTGAGATGTCAGGGATTGTGGGATGATGACATTATGCTGTCAGGAGGACGATAGAGAATACTTCAGCCATACGAATATAACAATTCATCCAATAACAGCATTTTCGTATCAACCGGCGACAGTGTTTATCTATTAGATAATAAACACACATTATTGTACTAAATAGGAAAGGCTTTGATATTGTAACATGCAAATAATGTGAAATGTTCCCCTTATATATTCAGGGGATAGTAATTGTTAAAACCAAACCTCATCACCATATATCCAGTATATGCATGTAACAACATAAATGTATATCAGTACTTAGGTAATGAAATCTAAAAGAGATGTGATCATCACAATACTAGCGAAATTCTACAAAAACTAGGACCTGCATAATTATCTTCAAGACGGTTTATGACATGTTGTTAGCCAATCAAAGCGTTTCTTTCAATCCTTAATAACGTAGAAACTCTGTCCACTTTCCAGAAAAGTTGTGAAGAGATTCGGGTCAAAATGTAGGTCGAGACATGAAAAGTAAAAGAGAAATCCCTGCATGGGTTATTTACCTAAATTGTTGTTTATATTGATTTACATACCTAAAATTCGTAATGTCTACCTCTGAATGACGAAGTAGATCAATAAACGACCATCGTGGAGAAGCATCGACAAGTGACGTGATGAAAGACTCATACGAGATTGTCACTACGTTTCTTTCAAATGTAGATAAGGATTTATGTATAAGTGGGAATAGAATCATCCAGTAAAGGTAGGAGACAATACCTTATCATATATTTATATATTGGATGAAGTCGATTGATACTATCACCTACATATTTATTGACATCATGACCTTATCTCGAAGCAAACTGAACCGGAATATGTTACAATGATTACCAAAATCGTGCTTTCTTCTTCATATTTCGATAACATATTTGAGCATGTCGTTATAACAAATGTATCGATGTCGATCATCTGTCTCAGGAAAGATGGTCGCCATCTTTACGCTCTAGTAAAATTCCTGAGTATATCGAGGATTAGAACATCAAAATTACCCACTAAACAACTAATGACCGGTAATTCAGAAAATGGATTACATGTGATGCTTTCGTTAAAATACTGACGTTTCTGATGCAACATTAACATTAAATCTTTGCCTGTGTGAGTGTGTAAGGATGTATCAATATATGTTTGTAATGTGTAAACAAAAACAAAATAAATACAAAAACCCATACCCTCAAGTTTGAGAAAATAAGTTTCTTAGTTTTTAATACGAAAATCTTTCATTCATCATAACAGGTGAAATTAGATTTGCATAATTTAAATCTCCAATGAACTGCGAATACTAATCACTTTGAAAATTATGATAACGAAACTAGACCAAAAAATATTTGAAAAGAAATGTCTAAAAATTCAGTATGGGGAAGTTCTTATGTCCATATATCATGATAACCTTGGATGTCGTATTGTGGTCTCTAATCTAAATAGTACCAGAGAAAATATAATCCTTCCTCATTGTTTTTCAAGAATCTTTGCCTAAAAATACCGTCGCTAGAGGTGTGGCTCTATTCGAGATAGGATGCAACGGGACATGAACGGACACAATGGATTGTAAGATATGGGGGCCGAGTTGAAGTTTAAATATTACTTTTTGTAAACAAATGCACCCCTATGGTATATGTTTTAACTTTGATCTGTCGTTGTTTGTTTGTTTGCCCTTTCGAGTTTTTGTTATTTGTTGATTTAAAAATCATTATAATTTAGGAATCTATGCCGATTCGATTTGAAGCAACCAAGTGTTCTGTCACCGGCTTACTTGTTTGACAATAGAATTAAACAGATAAGTGTTGTTTATTATGAAAACTTATGTATGTACGATTAATAAGCGATTATCAGATATGTTTTGAATAAAATACTATTTCATTCAGGATTACATGCCTTACGCCATATTTTAAAAATAAAAATCGTCGTACATTATGTGGCTTGACAGAGAATATCGATGTTATTAATCACCATGAAACCAAATTGACCGATCTCGAAATGTAAACATAAGGAAAATATAATTTTTCGACATACATTACAAATACTTAAGAACCCAAAAATCAGAAAAAAATTATCCACGGTTGTAATGATCAGGATCTGAGTTACTAGCTCTGAGACAGAGAAGGGATACACATTTTATATAAAATGTATAACTGCTTTGAATTAAAATCAATGTCTAGGGCAAACAGTTCGATATACGGGTTCTTCATTACAAACACCTCTATTTTGTGATAGGAAAGTCCCAGTGTTCTGCAATATTGTTTGTTTGATAGTTCTTAACTACAAAGAATAAATTCAAGATTAATTTGGTATCTGGAATCCAAGCGCATAATATCACCCCTACAAAGCAGTTTTAGTTCTATGCGAGGTACCAACGATCATTTGGTTAGACTTGAAACCTTTGTGCGTGAGGCTTTTCTAAAGAAGGAGCACTTGGTTGCTGTTTTCTTAAATTTGGAAAAGGCTTACGACACAACATGGAAATACGGCATAATGAAAGATCTGCACGATATACGTATTAAAGGTAATCTACCAATTTTTATTTCAAATTTTCTATCAGATATAGTATTTCAAGTCCGAAATGGAACGACCCTTTCCGATGTTCATCAACATCAAATCGGTGTACCACAACATAGCATTCTTTCGGTTATACTTATAATTAACAGTATTGTCAAAACATTATCCCCTTCAATGGAGGGTGCTCTTTATGTCGATGACTTCATCTTATGCTATCGATTTAAGCATATGAATACTATCGAAAGACAACTACAACAATGTTTGAAACGACTACAAGTTTTGGCAGATGAAAATGGTTTTAAATTTTGACAATCAAAACAATTTGTATACATTTTTGTCAAATTCGGAAACAACACGACGATCAAAATCTGTTTCTCTGTGGTGCACCCATTCCGGTTATTGAGCAAACGAAATTCTTAGGTGTAATATTCGACAGGAAATTGTCGTTCCTTCCACACATAAAATACCTTAAAGCCAAATGCCTTAAGGCACTGAATATTCTAAAGGTTGTGTCCCACACTGGGGAGCTGAAAAGTTTTGCTAAGACTCTATAGAGGCCATATTAGAACAGAAATTGGACTACGGTTCCAATGTGTATGGATCTGCTAGACCTTCATTTTTGAAATTATTAGACATTGTTCTTCACCAAGGTCTCAGACTCGCTTTTGGAGCTTTTAAGACCACATCTACAGCAAGCGAGAACGTTTTTATCGTAACATTACATGTCTAAAATCCCTTTTTGAAACTGTTGAGATTTGTAAAATTCTACATTACCTGAAAGATGTTGGTCTATAAAATAGACTTTAACGTACCATTTTAATATTTTGTGTTAACATACCCATTTAAGGTTTTTAACATTTCTTTTTTACCTTTTGGTTTGTTTAATGTTATTTCATTTTGGATCACTGTGTGTTTAACCGATGGCCCTAATGAATTTTTATGTGTTGACGTGCCCTGAAGAATATAATAATAACAAAGAACATAGCTATTTTGTAATAGGAAGTTCCCAGTGTTATGCATTATATTTGTTGTTTGATGATCACTTATCCTCCCCCTCCCCCTGCATGTGATTTCAAAAACAATTACGGTTTCGGTGTGAAGTGTGTTATGTTGGCACAGCATCAGAGATATGACTCGATAAGCCGACAAACGGAGGTTCGAGTTAAATACAGTGTTTGTCTTTTTCTTGTTTAATAGTTCACTACAGCCGATACTTCCATCACACTAAAATGACGTTTTGGATTCCCTCATTGTCACAAAATGTCATAGTGGACACCGACAGCTACCAAATAAAAACATTATCAGCGCGGTCTTTGAAATATGATTGTTTGAATTTTCGCTTTATAACAAGAGGATGAAATTTCAAAAAGCGGTATTTTGTATTCTATTTTTTTGTTTGCTGTTAGTTGGTATCAATCGCTTTCAAACTGTTTTAATATACTAAATAAGAGAAAAACAGCATATGGGAATTAATTGATGTAAAACCTTCTGACGCAACTTTCGCATTATTAGTTTAGAACAGGGAAATTGATCAATTTCTTTGCATTGACTAGAATGTACTGTTTTAGTTGGTCACAACTGAAAATTTATATCATTAGGGGAAAAGTTAGTGCTGATGTAAATCATTCTTAAATCATTACTTCAGTTTTTATTTTATTGAAAATTTCCGATATTTCACTGGCAAACTGAAACAAATGATATATATCTACCAGATCCAGTGTGTACATACGTGTTTAACTGTTATTCATGGAGTGGAAGGTTTCAAATATCATATATAGTTTATGCGAAGGTACACTTACTTTTATGGACGATTATGGCTTTAAAATTTTATAAAGCAAATAACATTCGACTTTACACCTTTGTATGTGACCATATCGCTATTACCTCATTGACCTATCATTCATATATCTTGTATTACGTATATAATGAACGGCTCCGGTATCAACAATCTTATCTACCACATGTACGGACGCCAAACCCTTTCTTATCGCCAAATTAAAGAATTGTCTTTATTTTCCAGCACGGACTGTGAACTGGAATAATGGTTAATCTACCTGTGTTAACATTTGTATTTATTTTAGCGATTCCATACTCAGGTAAGTGTGAAAATGTAGTGTTGTCTGCATCGATTTGTTTTATCGTTATTTGTCAAGAGATTGGTTTAGTGTCACAGCCTGATAATCTGAGTTTTGTCTAAGTAAGAGTTTTTGAATCTCTATGTTGGAATTTCAACTTCATTGTGTTCTATTCGCTTAGATCATGTAGCTATGTTTTCCACTCAAATCCCAATGTACACAAAAATCATCCTCGAATATAGACTCAACAAAAAAAGAAAGGTTAACATGTTTCCTTGGCGAATACCTGTAAATGAGAGAAAACAAAATGACGTTTGTGCAATATAAGAAAATGGTAATGTTTTACATTACAAAATCCAAGGGGGTTACCAAAATCATTCAAGCGTGAAAGTCTGTATTAGCGAAAGAGCTGCACGAGGTTTTCTGCGACTAACTTGTATCTTCGCTTGAATTTCATAAACATTCAAACTGACAACTGTTCCTTAGGTCCTTAGGACTTAGAAATCACCGAATCTTGCTATCTATCAACTTTATCATTATGCCCCGGCTGTCACAAGTACAGAGAGAAAAGGCTGTAGGCATGATCCAGGCTGGGGAGTCTCGCCGTCGAGTTGCACGGCATTTTGTTTGCAGTGTTAATACAATTTGCCAGTTGGTAAGTCGTTTAAACCAAACTGGGTCAACATCCAATCTTCCCTGAAGCGGCCGACCCCGTAAACCGACCGCCAGGGATGACCGTCGTATACGATTGATACACTTGCGCAATCGATTCGTAGCCGCAGTAGAGACTACAAGGACATTGTTTGAGCGTCGTGTGTCTCCCCAAACAGTCCGCAACAGGTTAAGGGTCTACCAATTGAAAGCGCGGCGCCCCTTCACTGGACCCAATTTGTTGCGACGTCATCGTAATAATCGGCGTAACTGGACCCGTGTTCACCGTCATTGGGCCTTACGACAATGGAACAATGTTCTGTTTTCAGATGAGTCCAGGTTTTGTCTGCAACACGGTGACGGAAGGCGCAGAGTGTGGAGGCGCCGAAGGGAGCGTTTTGCGAACTGCTGCGTCGCAGAACGGGACCGCTTTGGCGGCGGAAGTGTAATGGTTTGGGGTGGTATTTGTGGGGGGACTTGGACCAAACTTGTTGAGTTAAATGGCAATTTAACAGGCATTCGATATCGGGACAAAATTTTAAGACCAGTGGTTCTGCCATTCTTAAGATGCCATGATGTTGGCGCCATTTTTCAACAGGATAACGCACCAGCGCACACCAGTCGCGTCAGCAGAACTTTCTTGCAGCAAAATAACGTACAGGTGTTAGATTGGCCATCTAAATCACCTGATTTGTCACCGATTGAGCATGTCTGGGACATTCTTGGGCGACGCGTGAGAGAACGTCAAAATCAGCCGTCAAACTTGCAAGAGCTGGCCCAAGCCTTGATCGCTGAATGGAACAACATCTCTTTTCGAATTATTCGCCGATTTACGAGATCCATGCGACGACGCTGCAATGCTGTTTACTTCGCAAACGGTGGCAATACCCGTTACTATTGGTGTTACCTTTGAAATTGACTCCAACGTCCTTTACAGTCAAATAAAATCAACTGAACGCAAAGTTTTATAATGAACCATGACTGCAGTTTTATCAGAATTTATCAATTATGTTATTCGTACATTATTGGTAAGGATTTATGAAGGGGTTAATTAATTAATCACAGAATAAAGTAGTGTTACCTTTCTTTTTTTTGTTTAGTATATGTGTAAAAACATTTTGATTAGATACGAAACCATGATTTCACGATATTTCGAGTAATTTTGTTGAGGTTTGTGTTAGGTATATGTTGTATTACAGCGGTTATAACGTTTGATGACTGAATTGTTCCACTTGTCTCATGACGGTGACAACAAAGTCGCTTATCCTACACATGACTGTTATACATAAACATGTTTTCAAAATAACTGCAAGATATTGTTAATAACCTGGTTTAATTTAATCTTGTTGCCGGTGGTGTTCGGCGCAATGATATATATCCTTAAGCCAAAATAAGATGAACCAAATTAGTTTACCGAAAACTTTGTTAAGGTAACTTCAAATATAATCCATTCTTTTATTGTCTCCTATTAGGACCGAACAGGTTCATGTTAGGAATCTTCATTGAGGGAATGGAATCCAAAACTTAGTCAGGATGGATGTTTCACTAGTTGATATGCTGCGTGGAAACATGAGAATAAGTAATGGGTAACGTTGATGTTTATCGTAACCTATTAGTTTCAATATATAATTCATAAATGGTCTATTAACAGCCGCCGTCCAGTGTAGAGGGGGATGGATTGGCTTCGAGGATTCATGTTACTATCTGTCTCACGGAGTCGCCACCTGGGCTGAGGCCGGAGTAAGTTTGAACAAATGCCGTAAATGAACGTGAATATGATAAATGCAAGACTCTTTGGAAATAGCTGCAATCTAAAAAGAGACAAAAATGTACAAGAATACTTTTTTTCCAAACAGGGTGTTTGTAAGATGCTTGGAGGCTTTCTAGCTATGATAGAAAGAGCAGACGAACTGACTTTTCTGAAATCTGCGTTAAATAATCTCCATCATAATGGTAGGTATATGTGTAAACCTGAATGATATACGCTATTGGAGGTATTTCGCTAGGTATTGATACTTAACACCCATTTCTAGAATTAAATTGTAACGATTACGCTAAAAGTAAAGAAAAATATGATTTATTTGTTTTAGATGCTTCAACGAAGCAATACTGGATTGATGGCAACGACCTCGAGATCGAAAATGTCTGGAGGTGGATAAAAACTGGACAGACTATTACCTTTACGGACTGGGCTCCTGGAGAACCTAATGCTGCCGAAAACGATAATTGCTTGAACCTTTGGGGAAAGAGTGGATTTCGCTACGCTGACAATGATTGCGAAGAACATTACAACTATGTATGCCAAATAAGGTATGCATAAACATAGCTGACAATGAACACTTTTATTCTTCACGCATTAAGATAGCTGTTTGGTTTTATCACTAACATCAGCGTTATATTTCAATGACGATGACAAATGACGGGACAAAGCTCCGCAGAAGCACAGTCCATATTGTCAAGGTCTTTGAGGAAAACATTAATCAGAACCGCCGTTTGCTTATGTAAAATACAAGTCACTTGTTTCCTTTCTTCATCAATCAAATAAAACGTAGCTGGTATTTTACATAGCTTTATAACATGTATGTTACTTGCTTTTATAAGTTTTTAGCAGCAGTTATTCGATAAAAGTTAAGAAATCAATATTTTTGTACCAACTCAGTATTTTTGCCATTGTATCATTTCAGAGATCCTGAAGAAACTGAAATTGTTGGATGATGACTGCCTTTACCAAAAATAACATCGCTATAGAGAAATAAAAATAGAACAATATACAGCATATGAAGCTGTTCCGGTGACATTGTTTATATTTTAGTACATTAGCACATAATTTCTTCTAAAAGCTCTCTTAAAATTACTTTTATACAATGCCGATCTCTCTCTCTCTCTCTCTCTCTCTCAAACACACACACACACACACACACACACACACACACACATCCCCCCACACACACAAACATAAAATAGTCTCAACTCTGAATGAATTGTTTATGTTTTGGTTTATTTAAAAATATCATAAAATTCGGTGTTGATACGTATTAATCAAGATTCATTTCCTGATCGCTTTGTCACGAACGAATTTTCCATCATCCGATCACTTGGTCGCCCTCGCCATTGACGCTTCAATGAAATCAATTAATATGCCTTTTGATAAAAGCAAACAAGAAATCAATATACATATATACATATACAACAGCTATTTCATCCACTAAGTTATTATTATTGTATGTATGATATTCTTTCCAAATATCTCAAACCATATCTTTCTTTAAGTACAAAATATAGTTTATAATTTAAGAAATGAGCTGCTTCTTTTTCAATGCACATAACCGTGCGCGGTACAGTCTGTACTACACGAAATTGAGCAATATCAAAATGTATATATACAATGATATTTTCTTTATATACATCAACAATAGATAGTAGTTATAATAACCATGAATATGTATCACTGGTTGTAAATAAATAAGTTCAATATTCTTTTACAAGCTACTATGTTATCGTGTATTTGTTTAGATAGCGCAAATACACGTATATCACATTCATATATGTTTTTTTAATAAATAGATGAATCATCGATTTAAAGTACATGTATGCATAATAAATAACTAAGCTCATTTCGCAAAGGAAATTATATATACGTCTACAACCTTCATCAGCCCATTGATACGAGAAGTCTCTCCAAAGCACTAGGCAGTTCGCCGATGTTCCTGCATTGGGGTCATTACCTCCCCAGTCAGTAAAGGCAAGCTTGTCCCCATTTGAAGTCCAACGCCATACATTCTCTACCTCTAAATCGGTTCCATCTATCCAATACCCCACTAAAGTATGAAATCGTAAGTGTAACAACATAATTTATGTATTTCCGAACAAAAAATTATATATCTACACTATGTTACTCTGCTTCTTTGGATCGTTACCGTAAGACCTCTTTCGTGACTGTTTTTATTCTCCTTTTGATTCTGACACGGCGTTGAAATCTTAACTGTGCTCATAAGTAGTTTTTTCCTACATATACTTGTGTATTTGTGAAACGCAAAAGAGTAGGATGATGTTTTATCTAGTCGTAAAACACTTATCTCAGTCGTGTTTACCACATCCTTCTTTATTTTGTACAATTTCATATTTTGGCTGTGGCTAAAAATTGAGCGCAATGAATATATTTCAAAGACTACTGGACTGGCGTGTGAAGAGTGTCAAACCTTTCTCTTATAAATAACTGAACAGCTAAACAAATCTGATGCGCACTTTTTTGTTTTGTTTGTTTTATTTAATCATAAAATTATGTAAGCTTTGTAATATGCAATACGTTTACTCGAAAACTTCGGTATATCGGATCAATCTCAAATTGTAATAATCTTTGACAGATAAATTATTATTCGGTAATGTCAACACTGTTAGATATAATTCCGGTGTGGTGACAACAACTTTCGTTTTATAGAAATGTAAACTCTGCCTCTTACCAATGTATTTTGTGCATTAAGTATCAAAGCGACAAGAGGGATTTGGAATTGTCATTGATTCACATCTGCTGGCCTATATTAATGGAATAATGAAGAAAACAACCTGCATTAAAACGATGTGCCTCCGCCTTCAAGAAGGTATTCTCAGCAGTGGACTCAAGAATGGCAAGATGGCTGTGCAGATCCGTACACATAATCTGAAATGTATAGTTTGGCGGAACATATCCAAACAAATAATCTGGAATATTAAGTTGGCCGACCAGATCCGTATAAATAATCTGGAATATTTAGTTGTCCGACCAGATCCATATAAATAATCTTAAATATATAGTTGGCCGACCAGATCCGTACAAATAATCTGGAATATTTAGTTGTCCGACCAGATCCGTATAAATAATCTGGAATATTTAGTTGTCCGACCAGATCCATATAAATAATCTTAAATATATAGTTGGCCGACCAGATCCGTACAAATAATCTGGAATATTTAGCTTGGCCGATCAGATCCGTATAAATAATCTGGATATTTAACGTAGCCGACCAGATCCGTATAAATAATCTGGAATATTTAGTTGGCCGAGCAGACCCGTACAAATAATCTGAAATATTTTGTTTGGCCGAGCAAATACTTATAATTAATTTTAAATATTTAGCTTAGCCTAGCAGATCCGTACAAATAATCTGGATTATTTAGTTTGGCCGAGCAGATCCTTATAATTGATTTTAAATATTTGGTTTAGCCAGGCAGATCCGTACAAATTATCTGAAATATTTAGTATGGCCGAGCAGATCCGTATAGATAATCTGAAATATTAAGTTGACAGAGCAGATCCGTACAAATTATCTGAAAGGTATAGTTGGTCGTGCAGATCCGTACAAATATGTTTTGTTCCAAAAACAATCTCTCACCATTGTATGTCTCAACAACAGCTTCACACGCAATTAAATTAGGCAATTCAATTATATTTAGAACCATGGTGAGCATACATTAGCGGTCAAAAAACATATAAATCAACATTAAGAGTCACACTGAAGTTATGTGATACAATGGACTTTTCCGACTTGTATCTGTTGGGTGAGGTAATTTAATAACACTAAATGTTTATTCATTAATTTCTAATAGTTTTCTTCTCTTCTTCAATTAAATATTATATTTTTACTTAAAGAATTATACTAAAAGGTTGAAAAATGAAATCAAATGGAATTATATGAGAAATAGATTTAAGTAGTTGTCTCCCCTACTTCAGCATTCTGATTTATTTATGTTTGTATATGTTCAAGTGTCTAATTTTGTATGCCTATGTTTGTACCACTGTTTGTTACCATATTTGGAGAGGGCTTAAATAGGCTATGACGGCTGCCCAATCCATTTGTCAATTTGACAATAAAATTTGTTGAAATTGAGTCACAGGGAAGTTGCTCGCAGTAGTTGTAAAGCTAGCCTAAGTAAACACTGGATGAATGGATACATGCATACATCCCTAATGCTGCATATGTGTAACGCCATCGGGTGTGAAACAGTTCAGTCAAAATGGTTTTCACAAATTGTCACTATCCGAACTCAAATTAATAGGAAATAAGAAAATAGAAACTGTTAGAAAAAAACTTATGAAAGACTTCGTTATCCAATGAGAAAATGCGAATTTTCTTTCACATATAAGCATGTGTAGCCGGTAAAATATTAAAACGGTGAACGATGACAGAATCTTGACAGGGAAGCAGTGATAACAAAGGTTATAGTGTTTAACGACATCTGGTCTTTTTTAATTATCAATGAATCACATACCGATGCTTCAGCCCAAGTTTCTGCGTCCTTCGAGAAAAAGTAGCAAGAATTTTCAAATCGTACCCATCCGTTTCTGCAACCAGTTGCTGAAGATAAAACACGTTTTAAAGGTACAATCTAAATATGCATTTCAAAATTCAGCATTTTCATTAAATTTTACGACATATAATGAAAAAGTACATATAAATTATCTACACTTTTTTGTCAGAATTTTATGTTGTTGATTTACTGATATATATTATTGCGCCTGCACTACATTACGATAGCCGATTAGTACACATTAGATTGAAAAAAGCTCGTTATTTCGGCTTACGTCATCTTGGTATTATGAATTAAATTGATTGGTGATTACGAGCTACACTATCTCGCTATTACGAGCCATGTCGTATCGTTATTACGGTTTAAGATATCTCGTTACAAAGAGTAAAGTGATCTTGTCATTAAAGCTGTAGCTATTTCGTTATATTAACATACGTCATGTGTTTTTGCTGTGATTTCATTATAGATTCTTAATTTCCAGTGTCATGATAAGACTATTGGATAATAGTATATAAATATATAAAGGAAATACATTATATCACAATATAATGACATACATTAACACAGTATATTTCAATACAATAACTTACTAATGCATATTCAATACTACGCTGTGCGTTATGGGCTAAACCAAATTACTATATCAGATAGAAATATAAAGGAAAACATATTTTTGTAATATGATATTTGAAATATAATCAATGTCTTTAGTTACATCAACTCAATTTCACTATTGAGGCTGGAATTTTTAAATATCTCCTGACTGCATATTCTGTTTATTATATCAAAAAACTACCACGGATTGCAAAGCGACAACCCATATGTGAATATATGCATATGTTTATACTTTAAATACTTTTAATAAAGTACGCCAAAATTTCTATCAAGACCTTTGTTATTTGGGAAACGTCTCTACATATCAACTCAATCACAGCATGTGTTTGATGTTTTGAAACACCGAATCTACAATGGTTGGATGTATAATAATGTAGAAAATGAAGAACGGTTTTTATCACTTATACTGAACTTTTTACTTTCACTTTCAGATGTTGTCTAATTCAAATTTTAAATTTATATATATATATATATTGTTCTGGCAGAAGACTTATATAGGCTCTAGCCCGCTGTCTAATCATATTGATTATTTTTATCAAAAAAATATTCTGAAATCAAAAATGTTGTGACGCAGTAAGGATCAAGAGTGCAGAGCCCGTATATTACCGTGAAATAACTAATAAAACAGAACTCCATTTACACATGTGTGCATACTTATTGGACAAACTATCAATATGAGTCATTTACTTATGATCACTTTTACTTTGGTCCTTCAACTGCCTTGGTAACGGTAAAGCTAGATGAATTCGTAATAACGCAGTAACTTGACTTTTAGCAACGAGATAATGCAACTCTTAATTACGAGATCATAAAGTCGTAACAATGATATTGCACAACTTTTTATAACGAGATGACGCAAGTAGTATTAACTGGATTTCTTTTTTGAGTTAAGATATGGTACTTATCGGCGTTTTTAATTTTCAATGATTTAATCTGTATCGAGGTTTAGGTCCCCAACGAGTATTTAACCAATCTTCGACGACCTTTTTAAATAATTCTTTTGTAAGAACTTTACTTTTTATCCCATTTGGGACAGCATCATGTCCCCATTCTTAGAGGATTGATCACCGTCCTTCTTCATTTTCCAAGAAAGGTGGACAACGGCTGTATTGTTGTAATAAGGAAATGACGTGACTCGTAATAACGATAATAATGTATATTTGTAAAGTATATTTTAGCATATATTGTAAGAAATGCATTAAAATTAAAGAGGTAATATACAGAGGACGAAAGCATAAAGCGGACCAGGTCGACAATACCATTGTCAAGTAAAGTGGTAAAATCTCACAACAGGCTAATGGAAACAAACTTTGACTCTCTTTGTTGACATGAGTTCATCTAAACGAGTATCAAAGATCTTAAAGAAAATCTTCAATTCACCTACAAATCATTTGATGACGACATGTCATTGAATAATAAAATAGTTATGAATTATGTTTATCTTTAATACCAACCAGAATATCAAATTAACGACAAGACACACTGTTCTTTATCATCCACTTAAAATTATTCTTTCATTGCAAGATTTTCTGTACTTACCTTGTATTGCGGCTGGTTGTAATGTCAAGCAATAACAAAAGACCACCGTATTCCATAAGACCTTCATGATGGAAGAAACCTTTTCCTACTGCAGTTTACACAGATAATATTTACACCAATACGTACACAACAAATGCCTTGAGAAATGACATATGTGAAAGCCAACGCACGAATACACAAAACCTGACACACATGAAAGATAAGAAATAATAGTGATACAAAAAAAGTGCCACATTTTAATAAAATAAAAAGCAACAGATTTTCAATTCAATCTCAAATTCGAGAAAACGAGGATAAGATACGATCAAAATATCTTTAACAAAAACTCTTGATATGATATGAATGGTTGCTAATTTATATATTTTTTTTCAATTGAATTTGTTTCTTAGTTAAGTATTTATAAGGTAAGAAAGCTACATTAAAGTACTATCATGAGAACGTCATCATAATCCAACCTCATATTCAATAAAACTAAGGTAAAATATGAAAAAAAAAGAAAACGAACACAAGACACTTTAGAAAAAAAACGAAAAGTGTAGTCAGCGTCTTCTTCTTTATCGATGACAAATACAATAAAAATATTTTTCAATCCAAGCAAATTATGTTACGTGCCTAAATAAGAATACGGTACAATGAAAATAACGGTATCACCAAGTTCAGTAACGAGCGCAAAATACGTCCAATTTCATATCACGCGAGAAAGTACAACATTCCTAACAAGCTCTTTAGAGCAACCATAAAGCTTTCCAGTATTATATGTCCAACTGAATCTACAGAAATTCTGTATCGTTGTTCGTTTGATAGCGAGTTGCCGATATCTTGCAAGGACTTCGTGATGCTGGGAAAATATTTTCAAAAGATACGCAAGTAAATAGCATCTTTAATAGGAATTTAGAGTAGAGCCACACAATGAATTAAACTGTACCACATAATCTAGATTTAGAAGCCTAGGAGAGGACTGAGGAAAATTCGCAGGATCAAAACAATTGCCTTAATCTAGATGTCATGGTGCATTAGCCCAATAACTTAATAATTACTTAATTTTCATGTATCTGACAATTTTAGAAGAACGCAAAGCATATTGTCTATTCTGAACCGTGGTACTATACGAATAAATTGATACGCGACATGCAAGTTACGGCAAATACCAGGAGACTTATTATTCACGAGCGGAGTGCAAGGCCAGCAATGTCGAAGATTGCACAAAAATACACACAGTTGAATAGTATCTAATAATCAGATAAAATAAGATACGGTAAGGTTAAACATTGAATTACACAAACACAAACACACACACACACACACCTTCTCACACACACACACACACACACACACACACACACACACACACACACACACACACACACACACACACACACACACACACACACACACACACACACACACACACACACACACACACACACACACACACACACACACACACACACACACACACACATATATATATATATACGAGATATTCTCAACTCTGAATGCATTGTTTGTGTTTTGGTTTATTTAAAAATATCGTAAAATTCGGTGTTCATACGTATTAATCAAGACTCATTTCCTGATCACTTTGTAACGAACGAATATTCCATCATCCGATCACTTGGTCGCCCTCGCCATTGACGCTTAAATGAAATCAATTAATATGCCGTTTGATAAAAGCCAACAAGAAATCAATATACATATACAACAGCTATTTCATACACTAAGTTATTATTATTGCATGTATGATATTCTATCCATATATCTCAAGCCATAACTTTCTTTAAGTACAAAATATAGTTTAGAATTTAAGAAATGAGCTGCTTCTTTTTCAATGCACATAATCGTGCGCTGTAAAGTCTGTACTACACGAAATTGAGCAATATCAAAATGTATATATACAATAATATTTCCTTTACATACATCAACAATAGATAGTAGTTATAATAACCATGAATATGTATCACTGGTTGTAAATTAATAAGTTCAATATTCTTTTACAAGCTACTATGTTATCGTGTATTTGTTTAGATAGCGCAGATACACGTATATCACATTCATATATGCTTTTTTTAATAAATAGATGAATCATCGATTTAAAGTACATGTATACAATATAAATAACTAACCTCATTTCGCAAAGGAAGTTATATATACGTCTACAACCTTCATCGGCCCATTGATACGAGAAGTCTCTCCAAAGCACTAGGCAGTTCGCCGTTGTTCCTTGATTGGGTTGAGAACTTCCCCAGTCAGTAAAGTCAAGCTTGTCCCCATTTGAAGTCCAACGCCATACATTCTCTATCTCTAAATCGGTTCCATCTATCCAATATCCCACTAAAGTATGAAATCGTAAGTGTAACAACATAATTTATGTATTTCCGAACAAAAAATTATATATCTACAATATGTTAATCTGCTTCTTTGGATCGTTACCGTAAGACCTCTTTCGTGACTGTTTTTATTCCCCTATTGATTCTGACACGGCGTTGAAATCTTAACTGTGCTCATTAGTAGATTTTTCTACATATACTTGTATATTGTGAAACGCAAAAGAGTAGGATGATGTTTTATCTAGTCGTTAAACGCTCATCTCAGTCGTGTTTACCACATCCTTCTTTATTTTGTACAATTTCATATTTTGGCTGTGGCTATAAATTGAGCGCAATGAATATATTTCAAAGACTACTGGACTGGCGTGTGAAGAGTGTCAAACCTTTCTCTTATAAATAACTGAACAGCTAAACAAATCTGATGCGCACTTTTTTGTTTTGTTTGTTTTATTTAATCATAAAATTATGTAAGCTTTGTAATATGCAATACGTTTACTCGAAAACTTCGGTATATCGGATCAATTAAATCTCAAATTGTAATAATCTTTGTCAGATAAATTATTATTCGGTAATGTCAACACTGTTAGATATAATGCCTGTGTGGTGACAACAACTTTCGTTTTATAGAAATGTAAACTCTGCCTCTTACCAATGTATTTTGTGCATTTAGTATGAAAGCGACAAGAGGGATTTGGAATTGTCATTGATTCACATCTGCTGGCCTTTATTAATGGAATAATGAAAAACAACCTGCATTTAAACGACGTGCCTCCGCCTTCAAGAAGGTATTCTCAGCAGTGGACTCAAGAATGGCAAGATGGCTGTGCAGATCCGTACACATAATCTGAAATGTATAGTTTGGCGGAACATATCCAAACAAACAATCTGAAATATATAGTTGTCCGAACAGATCCGTACAAATAATCTGGAAAATTTAGTTGGCCGAGCAGATCCGTACAAATAATCTGAAAGAAATAGTTTGGCAGTGCAGCTCCCTTACAAATAATCTGAAATGTTGATTGGCCGATCAGCTCCGTACAAATAATCTGAAATAGATGTTTTGGCAGTGCAGCTCCCTTACAAATGATCTGAAACGTTGATTGGCCTAGCAGATCCGTACACATAATCTGAAATGTATAGTTGGCCGTGCAGATCCAAACAAATATGTTTTGTTCCAAAAACAATCCTATCTCTCACCATTGCATGTCTCAACAGCAATTTAGAAAAATGATGAGCATACATTAGCGGTCAAAAAACATATAAAACACAACACTTTATAGAGTCACAGGGAAGTTGTTCGCAGTAGTTGTAAAGATAGCCTAAGTAAAAACTGGATGAATGGATACATTCATACATCCCTAATGCTGCATATGTGCAACGCCATCGGATGTGAAACAGTTCAGTCAAAATGGTTTTCACAAATTGTCACTATCCGAACTCAAATTAATAGGAAATAAGAAAGTAGAAACTGTTAGGAAAAAACTTATGAAAGACTTCGTTATCCAATGAGAAACGGCGAATTTTCCTTAACATATAAGCATGTGTACCCGGTAAAATATCTAAACGGTGAACGATAACAGAATTTTGACAGGGAAGCAGTGATAACAAAGGTTATAGTGTTTAACGACATTTGGTCTTTTTTAATTATCAATGAATCACATACCGATGCTTCTGCCCAAGTTTCTGCGTCCTTCGAGAAAAAGTAGCACGAATTTTCAAATCGTACCCATCCGTTTCTGCAACCAGTTGCTGAAGATAAAACACGTTTTAAAGGTACAATCTAAATATGCATTTCAAAATTCAGCATTTTCATCAAATTTTACGACATATATTGAAAAAGTACATATAAATTATCTACACTTTTTTGTCAGAATTTTATGTTGTTGATTTACTGATAAATATTATTGCGCCTGCACTACATTACGATGGCCGATTAGTACACATTGGATTGAAAAAAAGCTCGTTATTCCGGCTTACGTCATTTTGGTATTATGAATTAAATTGATTGGTGATTACGAGCTACACTATCTCGCTATTACGAGCCATGTTGTATCGTTATTACGGTTTAAGATATCTCGTTACAAAGAGTAAAGTGATCTCGTCATTAAAGCTGTAGCTATTTCGTTATATTAACATACGTCATCATGCGTTTTTGCTGTGATTTCATTATAGATTCTTAATTTCCAGTGCCATGATAAGACTATTGGATAATAGAGGAAACAGAATGATACATATACAATGTTACACACCATAAATGTACAACGAATACAATATAATCATACAATGTATATAAATGAAATACATTATATCACAATAACATGACATACATTAACACAGTATATTTTAAAACAATAACTTACTAATGCATATTCAAAACTACGCTGTGCGTTATGGGCTAAACCAAATTACTATATCAGACAGAAATATAAAGGAAAACATATTTTTGTAATATGAAATTTGAAATATAATCAATGTCTTTAGTTACATCAACTCAATTTCACTATTGAGGCTGGAATTTTAAAATATCTCTTGACTGTATATTCTGTTTATAATATTAAAAAAAACTACCACGGATTACAAAGCGACAACCCATATGTGAATATGTTTATACTTTAAATACTTTTGATAAAGTACGCTAAAATTTCTATCAAGACCTTTGTTATTTTGGAAACGTCTCTTCATATCAACTCAATCACAGCATGTGTTTGATATTTTGAAACTCCGAATCTACAATGGTTGGATGTATAATAATGTAGAAAATGAAGAACGGTTTTTACCACTTATACTGAACTTTTTATTTTCACTTTCAGATGCTGTCTAATTCAAATTTTAAAATTTGATATATATATATTGTTCTGGCAGAAGACTTATATAGGCTCTAGACCGCTGTCTAATCATATTGATTATTTTTATCAAAAAAATATTCTGAAATCAAAAATGTGACGCAGTAAGGAACAAGAGTGCAGAGCCCGTATATTACCGTGAAATGACTGATAAAACAGAACTCCATTTACATATGTGTGCATACTTATTGGACAAGCTATCAAGAGGAGTCATTTACATATGAACACTTTTACTTTGGTCCTTCGACTGCCTTGGTAACGGTAAAGCTAGCTTATTCGTAATAACGAAGTAACTTGACTTTTAACAACGAGATAATGCAACTCTTAATTACGAGATCATGAAGTCGTAATAATGATATTGCACAACCATTTATAACGAGATGATGCAAGTAATACTTATTAGATTTCTTTTTATTGAATTAACATATGGTACCTATCGGCGTTTTTAATTTTCAATTATTTAATCTGTATCGAGGTTTAGGTCCTCAACGAGTATTTAACCAACCTTCGACGACCTTTTTAAATAATTCTTTTGTAAGAACTTTATTTTTATCCCATTTGGGACAGCAACATGTCCCCATTCTTAGAGGATAGATCGCCGTCCTTCTTCATTTTCCAAGAAAGGTGGACAACGGCTGTATTGTTGTAATAAGGAAATGACGTGACTCGTAATAACGATAATAATGTATAATTGTAAAGTATATTTTAGCATATATTGTAAAAAGAAATGCATTGAAATTAAAGAGGTAATATACAGAGGACGAAAGCATAAAGCGGACCAGGTCGACAATATCATTGTCAAGTTAAGTGGTAAAATCTCACAACAGGCTAATGGAAACAAACTTTGAACCTATCTTGGTTGACATGAGTTCATCTAAACGAGTATCAAAGATCTTACAGAAAATCTTCAATTCACCTATAAATCATTTGATGACGACATGTCATTAAATAATAAAATAGTTATGAATTATGTTTATCTTTAATACCAACCAGAATATCAAATTAACAACAAGACACACTGTTCTTTATCATCCACTTAAAATTATTCTTTCATTGCAAGATTTTCTGTACTTACCTTGTATTGCGGTTGGTTGTAATGTCAAGCAATAACAAAAGACCACCGTATTCCATAAGACCTTCATGATGGAAGAAACCTTTTCCTACTGCAGTTTACACAGATAATATTTACACCAATACGTACACAACAAATGCCTTGAGAAATGACATATGTGAAAGCCAACGCACGAATACACAAAACCTGACACACATGAAAGATAAGAAATAATAGTGATACAAAAAAAGTGCCACATTTTAATAAAATAAAAAGCAACAGATTTTCAATTCAATCTCAAATTCGAGAAAACGAGGATAAGATACGATCAGAATATCTTTAACAAAAACTCTTGATATGATATGAATGGTTGCTAATTTATATTTTTTTTCAATTGAATTTGTTTCTTAGTTAAGTATACATAAGGTAAGAAAGCAACATTAAAGTACTATCCTGAGAACGTAATCCAACCTCATATTCAATAAAACTAAGGTAAAATATGAAAAGAAAGAAAACAAACACAAGACACTCAAGAAAAAAAACGAAAAGTGTAGTCAGCGTCTTCTTCTTTATCGATGACAAATACAATAAAAATATTTTTCAATCCAAGCAAATTATGTTACGTGCCTAAATAAGAATACGGTACAATGAAAATAACGGTATCACCAAGTTCAGTAACAAGCGCAAAATACGTCCAATTTCATATCACGCAAGAAAGTACAACGTTCCTAACAAGCTCTTTAGAGCAACCAGTATTATATGTCCAACTGAATCTACAGAAATCCTGTATTGTTGTTCGTTTGATAGCGAGTTGCCGATATCTTGCATGGAATTCGTGATGCTTGGAAAAATATTTTCAAAAGACACACAAGTAAATAGCATCTTTAATATGAATTTAGAGTAGAGCCACACAATGAATTAAACTGTACCACATAATCTAGATTTAGAAGCCTAGGAGAGGACTGAGGAAAATTCACAGGATCAAAACAATTGCCTTAATCTAGATGTCATGGTGCACTAGCCCAATAACTTAATAATTACTTAATTTTCATGTATCTGACAATTTTAGAAGAACGCAAAGCATATTGTCTATTCTGAACCGTGGTACTATACGAAGAAATTGAAACGCGACATGCAAGTTACGGCAAACACCAGGAGACTTATTTTTCACGAGCGGAGTGCAAGGCCAGCAATGTCGAAGATTGCACAAAAATACACACAGTTGAGTAATATCTTTTAATCAGATTAAATAAGATACGGTAAGGTTAAACATTGAATTTCACTTTATTATACCTCTTTCATCCATCTGGAACTCGTCGCTAATGTTAAAGGCCAAATTTGTAAAGCCTAAGAGGTTATTGAAAATCCAAATAAATCGAATCGAATGAAAAGTCTGGATTGGAGAATGCACTCACCCCTTCAGAAAATTTTTGAAAGCTTTATCAACAAATCTTTTGTTGTTTAAAGACCCTGTTTTGAGCCTAAAATTGAAGAGCATAATAAGGCCATTGATACAGTAAACAGATGAATTCTGACTTGTTTGAAATGAGAAAGATACCAAACAGAGCATTGCTAATTCTTACCAGGTAGCAGAGGTTGGTAGGGCAAACTGTTGTCAGTCTTCTTTTCCTTATATCTAAAGTCAGTTAAAATAGGTTGATGTACATGAAACGTCAGCACGCAAGATCAAAATTTGAATGCAGAACAAGAACATGAACAAGTATCATAAATGGAATGTTCCTGTAAGTATGAAACAGTATTTTCACGTCGGTCATTATTTATGAAGAACAATATGAAATGTAGTATTTTTTATGTTTTATTTTAACAGTATTCTTGGAATTTACATGAAGGCGTCCATAGTGTAAGATTCAGCCTTGTACAGAACTTGCGTCAAAAGAACTGCAATTAAAAAAACATCACAGTCACATTACATATAACAACACATATTATCGCATTTTTCTACATGCTTAACAACCAACTATTCAATACCTGCTTAGATATATATCTGTGGTTGATTGCCGCTGAGATTCATTATATTTAAACTACTAATACGTCAACCATATGATACCGAACTTCTCATAATTACTAATTGCGGACGAAATTGAAATCGAAAATTAAAAGATCTGAAAAAGACTCAGTAGTGTACAGTAGTTTGGTAACTATCACGAGCGAAAATTATTCATTATTCATGATATGATGCTATATCCTATAAGCAGTCATAACCATCATATATTCAACACTTCTAAATTGTAAGCACATATATGAAACGTTTTATAAACTGACAACATTTTTTTCTTTTAACCGATCTCAGAACATATCACCGTAACGGGGGATTTTACAACAACAAAAGACAAACACCTGATGTTTGCAAACTCATTTCAGTGGCATAATGTTTTCATCAGCCTGTTGGTAAATTACCTCATTTGACATATATAGTTGTAGCTTGTACTACAATGTTCGTCAGCCATATCAAATGACAGGCCCCCAAACAGACACATACAATTAGATGCATTGCCATTGTTCGGTTGGTAGGGAGCCCAATGCAAGTATGCAATCATTTGTCCAGTAGACGTCCAACGCCATGTATTTTCAGCTTCAATATCTGTTCCATCAATCCAATACGCAACACGGTTTGGATCTGAAAGTTATTCCATTTAAATTTCCATTAAAATATTTGTAATATGTAAAATATTGAATATACATAGTGTGGATCTTGACACTATTCCATATATGAATTGATGGTTTGCGAGAATAGATAATGTTTACATGAAGCGTCAGTTACATCAACATTACAAAAGTATATATGCATTGTGTAATACCTATTTCATATGCACTATTGTTTTTGTTCCGTTGTGAGCTAAAATGTATGTAATTGCCATAATAAACAACTAAATGAACTCGATGTTTTAAGCGATTTGTTTGAGTTAACAAATACCGGCACTTGGAATTGTTGCATGATGTCATGTATCACGTCTTAAATTCAATCTTTCTCTAATTGTCACTGTGATAAAGATAATTAAAATGAAGTTTATAACTTGTTTGTAAAACGTTTAATTAAACTTTGTAAAGTTACGTTGATAGTTACGAACTTCGATTTATTTAGTTCAAAGCAAACGGGATTTACAAAAGAATATAATCATATTGACGTCCTGTCAATTCTGTAATGCATCACAATGTACATGTACAACAAAGGTTTACCACTTGAATGATATCGGTTGACTTCCATCTTCAAAAAAGCATAGTCCTCTGCAGAAGAGACAGTTGCAAGGTGACTCTTGAAAGCATTACAGACAGCCTGGAACAGAAAAACAAAACGATGTCATCATAACATTAGCAAAAATGAAACTTTATTGAATATTCTATTTTGAAGACAGTATTTTACTTTAAAAATGGAGTATTTACGTATTTTGAGTCATAAATATAGGGAATAAGAAAGTGCATATTTCAATATCAACAAATTTTCTTGACAAATGTCAAAAGGAATTGGACATCAGGTATTGCCTATTTAAGTCCTCTCCTTCAGGTGACAACCTGTGGTAAACAAACAAACAGACATATATATAAATACAATTTTGTTAAAGAAAGACATAAGGGGAAATAACTCCTTATTGTAAACAAACTAGTTCAGGATTATATTAGGAAGTAACCCAATGTTATGACTATTGAGTTTGAGCATTAATCAAGATTATCTCATCTGAGATAGTTTCATAGTCTTAATTTTGGCTTGATGAGTTTAAATATTTGTAGAAATTAGGCTTTTCTCCCAGCAGATAAGGCCACATAAAGTCCATATGCACAACACACTTTCCAAACTGTTTAAAACCCAATTTCAACAAATAGATATATAAAGTTTGTAAGTAAGGTTACAACAAGTGCTATTTATAATATGAAGATTGCTTTTTTAAATACGAAGGAGTTACTTCATATAGTTACTTAAGTGAAAGTAATACATTTTGTAATATCATAAATCTGTGAAAGCACTTACCGCTGATTCACCCCAGGATGCCCTGTCTCTAGAAAACAAGTAACAACTGTCCCGATGTCTCAGCCAGCCAGATCTGCATCGTGCTGCTCAATTACACAGATGTATAAATATCAAATCTATCGTGATATAATTACGACGAATAACACAGTCTTCAATCTCAGTAAAGTCGCAAATACGATGATGATTTAGGCAAAGTGATATTACTGACAGTAAAGTTATCGAGAAAAGAGATCACATGTATTATCGAATATTTTCATATATTATATATACTATCAATTAACATTGCTATTGCTTTGTAACATACCTTCACAAGCTAAAAAACTAACTACCAAGCTACCTAGAAACAAAAGTGTCTTCATTTTAATCATGTATAATTATACACAATGCATGCTATGCCCATAAGCTATAAAGGACGATATGAATACGATAAGATATAGAAATTATTATTTATCACATTACCTTTACTCAAGGTCAAGGTCGACGATTTATCATGTTTGACATACTTACTGTGTACCGGGTTATATTCCTTACAATTTCATATTCATGCTTTTTGTAATCGTGTCCGTCGGCAGATTCCCACACTTTAGCGAGTATTTCCAGTTCCGAAACAGAAATGAATAATCATAACCAATGGAAATGTTTGTTTGTTTTGTGTCAAATATTTTAGTTTTGTTTTTCACGACACTATTGATCAAAAACAACAAAATGAATACTGACAACATGTCTGTATTCATTTTGTTTTTTATCAATGGTGAATACATAACAGAAAAATAGGATAAACAACCAAATAAACAAACAAACAAGATCGGAATATTGATTTTAACCCAAATGTTTGGGTACCATAGCTAGGTTATTCAAGTGTCCAGGGGTCAGAGAGGGTAGGGAGGTGAGTTACAACACTTGGGCCTAAAGCTCAACTTACTATCTTATCCTTGACAGTATAGACTTAATTTATGCAGTCCAGCCAACTCTAGGTTCTGGATTTATAATGACCTATTTGGGATGTATAACTGTCATTTTATAGTATTACATGGTGCCAGTTCACTGCCTGCCATAGGCCCAAATTTATATGTGGCACATGATTTCTGAGCATGTGGGTAAATATCTATCCTCAGCACCTCTGGGACAATTATAAAATTATCACTTTTCGGCACGATATAAATTTTGATATGCTCCCTCTATATAGGTATATATATGTCTGTACGTGTCATTTGAAGAGGTACAAATGTTGAAGTAAACTGAATATCAGGATTAAGTTAAATATAGTTAGATCCGATTGGATGCAGGTCTTATTACATCTATATTCGAGTGACCATTCAGATTTCCATGAACACAGAACATCAATGACGCCATAGTGCTATTAAGTATCAGGTGACATGTTCCACATTGATACTAGATCTTTATGGAGCGGGTGATGATAGTTACGGATATATCGACGGTAGATATCTGATTGCTAGCAGCCAAGAACCTTGATGAGATGATCGGGAACATCTGACTGTGCTGCTGTTGTCGCAGCTCTTATTCAACACAAATGATCTGTGTACGGTGGATGTTTCAGTCTTAACTGGTTCAATGTCTGTCGTATCTTGACCATAAACGCATGGTGACTTATGGCGACATAATGAACGGAAAATAGAGGGACGAAGGACATCATATGGTCATAACTACAGAGATTCTTCTTTAAGTATAGATTTGCACTTATGTACAATTGATAAGCAGAGGTGAAGTGTCCTGTGATAACGTTAGTTTAGCCTCTGGTACTGGTCGATAAACGGGAACATAAATCTCGTGAAGCTTCAAGTTTAGTTTCGTGTGTGTTAGTGACTGTGTTGAGATGACAGGCATACCAAAATGTACTGTGTAAACCTGTCTTATATCTGATAGTCTATTTCCTCTCTATTATGTAATTTATAGACGGTAAATCAATTGTATTATGTTTTTCTCAACGAAAGGCGGTCAAAGTAGATTGAGATATGTTTCATTGTTTCATTCATTGTAACTGGAATATTAAAATAGTTTTTATTGCATTTGCCAGTGAAATATAGGGATTTAACAATGTTGTAAAATCTGGAGTGATGATATAATAAATCATATTGTTGTTCATATACCATTCATGCTATTGACCAATAAGAACGCTTTTTTTAAGCAATGCATTGAAATTCAACTCCAGTTGTTCTCTTATTTCGTTTATAAAAAACAGTTTTGAAAACTTCTTTTATCATATCACTACTTAAGGTGGTGTAATACAGCCATTTGTTCATAAAATGTTTGTGTCAGAGTTTTATTGCAAAACGAGCAATAAAGAGATATTACAAATGTTGGTGCAAAGACAAAAATGTGAAAGTGTATTCTACAGTCTTCCCCCAAGTGAAAAATGAAAAGACAAAATTTGTAATGAAATACGATTTAAATACACTACAAAATATTTCAAAAATTAACCAACGAAATCACAGACTGAATCAGTATGGAAATGCACATCGTGTTTGGTTCATCCAATAATCGGACCTGCAATGATGCTACCTCTGAAATCAATAAAACATGTCATTTACATCATACACTTCCGGTAAACATGTTTAAAGTTATACTTTATGTAAAATGTCATACATTAATGGAAAGGAATATCAAGTCAAATTACCCTTAAAACACTACTGTATGAATAACTATAACCCGTCGTTTTGACAACATCAAGGTGAAGACAAAATTATATAAATTGAAAACCCAAATTTTCGCTAGGAAAGTAACATTGCAGATTTCTTAAAGTAACGAAAATGTGCCACAGCAATCAGGACATTGTGTAGTTACTGATGGAATGCAGATGCTGTTTACAATGCAAGGGGGACTTAAACAGTTAAACAGAAACACCAGGCTACTAAAACTAGCCTTAAATGTGTTTGACATCAAAATAAAGTAATTTGCTATCCATGTAATTTGTTTGTGCTCTGTGTTTGAAAAAGATGTATTCAAGTCGTTACTGTTGTTGTAATTTGTCTCCACCATCATGTGTTCGTGTTTATAAAAAAAGTCTATTTGCAAAACCTTCACATGATACCATCAGCGCTACATCTGAGAGGGGTCTCCCGAAAAAACTGAGTGACATTGACATGACATTAGATATCGATTGTAAATATCGGGAAGTATAGAAAATACGAACAAAAAGTCAATGGTTTATCGTGATATCGCTTGAAGAGAAACCATTAGTTTATTTATTTACCTCATTTGACATATATAGTTCTGCTTTGTATTGCAGGGATCGTCAGCCATATCGTATGATAGTCCCCAAGTGAGACTCAAACAGTTAGACAAATTTCCATTGTTTGGTTGGTTGAGTCCCCAATGCACGTATGTAATGTTTGCACCAGTAGAAACCCAACGCCATGTACCTTCAACTTCTACATCGCTTCCATCGGTCCAAAACCCACCTAAAAGTGTTCATTTTCTTACACAAAGTCAACAGATACAGCCATGCTATACTAAATGAGTAGTTTACACTGCATCATTGTGTTACCTTAATAAATATACCCTTCGATGCACACACGAGGAAACTAAATTAACATTAAATAAGGCTTTGATACTTCTATAACTCCTTTTTAAATAGTTGAATATGTGATGTTATAGAACATCCATTTTGCCGTCAGCCATGCTTGAGTTAATGAACATAAATACATAGGTGCCTATTTTATCTCAAAGCATCATTTCACCTAGTTCACCTTTATCGTATCAGAGATTGTCATGGAAGTACAATAACACAGAATAAAACAGAACTGAATTCCACTTCGTTACCATATAATAAAAGAACATTACCACCAACATGAGTACGGTTCAATTCTGAATTCAAGAATTCATTTTCCTCCGCAGAATTGACAACGGCAAGGTGGCTGTGAAATGCATTACAAATAGCCTGGAACAGAACACGATATAAACACATCTTAATACCATACACGAAGCCATGTCAATTCGTAAAATACCCAACAGCTGAAAATATTTTCTATGATCTATGCACATTTCTTTGAAAAGGAACGAATACATCCTTAAGTGGGTTTCGTAGTGAAGAGATTGGAGAAATTAGATAATCTTCTTAAAGATATGTTTTAGAAGAGCCCGTTAAGCCCGTGGATGTTTTTTAAAACTCACAAACCATTTATTCCACTTCTTGAGTATCAAAGTAAGTCTGTCACACCGATTTATTAGTACTAAGAGTGGAAGCAAGATTTTATGTTTTTTTTCTTTTGGTTTCCTAATTATCATATGATATGGAATCTCAAGAGAGATAATCCAGGTACCAAGCAGGTAAACGAATGTCGGGATTATAACAATATTTCATTAGTTTACGTTTCGATATTTCGATGATTCTGTAGCCGTAAAATGCATTTAACCACTTAGCTTAATATATGCATCATAAGCCTTCAAATAATTTGTTAATTTTGTATTTTGGCTTTTATTTTACGTCATTTATGCATCTGGCAATAGAAGATTTGTCCGTTGCATTGTAGCTGGAGAGTATTTATATCTTTGTACTTTCCAGTGATATACAAGGCAAAAGACCATGGAAGGACCCCCTTTACTTCGTGCAATTAGAAAAAGTTAGAAAAAATAAAAACAAATATCATCTCAAATTCATTTTTTAGTCTTAACTACTCACATCAACTGAGTGTTTTTTCAATTTTTCGACATATTTCACTATTGGATCTAGCTTGGTTTGGCAACCTCTACCCATTATTCTGATTAGGTATACTTATACACTATATATGTGTTTGTTTTTCCATTTCGATGAGTAATGTCATTACGTAGATACCGTCAAATCGTTTCATGTCCGTCCACCTATCGTTTTCAAAACACTTAACATGACGTTGTAATTGCTTTTTGTCATGGTAATATGTCATTGCCGGCGTTAATTGAATTCGAGTCTTGTCCATCAAATGCTACAAATGCTGAGAAGGAAGAAATAAGATTAGAAAGAAAAACTTACCGCTGATTCACCCCAAGATGCCTCATCTCTTGAAAACAAGTAGCAGTTGTCATGGAATCTCAACCATCCATCCCTGCATTGTGCTGGTCAATTACACATAATCATTCTTATTACTTCCAGCATGGTATGATAACTACGAATAACTGGACGATATTAAATGTTTATAATTACATAATATTTGGACGTTTCTACACTAATAAACGGCTAGTGTTATACCATTACAAGTGGAAGGGAAAATGCCGATGCAGTAAATTTACGGACAATTTCATTTCTCGAATCGCTTATGATTACATCAATATGACAATATGTTGCAAAAATTAAGGATACACGCTTGAAACAAAATGTCCTTAACCAATATCAATAATGCAAACGTGAAGTTTTAGTTGCTAATATGCGCTTCGCTGTTTTACTACGTACCATTCAATGATGAAAAACAAACCACCACGCTAACTAAGACAAAAATGGATTTCATCGTGATGCAGATACTATAATACTGTGCATGACAGGTAATGCGCAATGCTTATATACGGCAAAAAAACAGAGATAGCACACGATAAGATAATTGTAACAACTGTCATTCTTCCCAATCACTATGTCAAAGCAAGCGATACGTTATGTCATCCAAACAATATGGCATGATCAAAAATAAATCCTTAATACAGATAAAGGACATAGTCAAATCATTATAATGTCACTTTGAAACCAGGTCATGGTCTCTACCGACAGTTAATGTCAGCTAGTGAATGTAACCTCAAACCAGGGGACAAAGTCAATGATATATTAAATCAAACGGATACATAATTAATCACTCCATCATTACCGGTGATCAAGTAGAGGATGTTTAACTACATCACTGCCTTTATAGTACATAATAGAAAAATGGTCTGGTTGTTTTTTGTACTACTTGGCGAGTACATCTGCTGGTAGACTGTTTTGTCCATGGAAGCACTTCTAACCCAGTAGCTTTTTAGCCTGGATAAGGAAATAACTAATAGCATACTGGTTGAATCGGTGCCCAGTATAATTAGTCCCAAGGCCTATAATAAGAATACAGAGTACTCTTCGGATAGTCTTCAGGGATTTTAATGATTTTGCGCATGGCGCTAGTAGTATTTTGACCTATACAAAACTGGACCACGTAGATACCACCGTGCAAAATTAACCTTAAGTATTTATTTAGTCAATCAGACACTTTCTGTTTTCACCATTTCGAAATGTGGGACAAGAAACGGCAAAATTAAAAGCTAAGAAGAAAATTAATAGTTTCCTGACTAATGAATTTTGTTATATCAAACGTTTTGAACCCTCATAAGTTTAAAATGTTATTTATGGTATAGAATGTACTCTGTGTTGTTTGATACAAGTTGGTGAAACAAACGACAGTTAACACAACATATCAATGGTCATCGTTTATCAGTAAACCGCGGAGAGAAACAATATTTTATCAAAATTTCAACTTCGTGGACTATTCTATATTGTCAAAGAGTGTCCATATTGTGGAAAATACTACTATACAAAAGACCCCACACTGAGCACACCGTACCGTAGACAACAAGAGGAACACTATTTAGGCTCTATGGTACTGCTGTGCCATGTAGCTACAGTGATCAGAGAGGTAATTTGTCCAACCCTGGATGCAATAACACTAACGTTATGGCTTATTCACTCATCAAACTAGACTTAACCATACACACGGATAGAGACACTTGGATACTTAACTTCGCTTCCACACTCAGTGACATGAAAAATTCACGTGGAGTCAGCTAATACTGCTCCCGGTCAACTGTGAAAACTAGTTTGGCTGTTTAAACATGTCCTACGATGGCCATGATCCTCCAACAAGTCGCCAGTTTATAAAAGTTCACTTTTCAAATAAAGGAGTGGATGCTATGAACATTGCAATATTTTACAACAGATGTTTGTTAAATTTGACATTCCACCATAATTTTAAAGCAAAAACACTCCTGTCCGTTACTGTCAGTTAATCCAGGCCCATTGCATCCAAACTTATCAACTACAACGTTGCAACACCTGAATGTGGATGACTTTAGAACTAGTTCTTATAGCTATTGTCCATGTGGAGACATAGTAGCTGGTGATTGAAGCATTACTGAAAATGATAAGCCACGACAGTTTTTGATTCACTTTCTAAATTAGTCAAATCCATTCGCTCCATTATTCTTAAAAGAGTTTGCAGGTTGAAATCTAAAACTAAATACGTCAGCTTTCTTAGATCTGATATCCAATCAACACCTTGTTTTTATTAAATCCCTTAGCTTCACAAAAATCCACGTGGAATTAGTAGTATATGTATTCTAAAGAATGCCATTGAGCTATTAACCAATCTTCAACACACCCTTCTTTAAGAACAGTTGATTTTTTTTAACCCTCCAACCTCCAAAACCCAGTTTAAACTTTCTACTCCAAGAAAGGTGAACGATTGTAAAAATATATGGTGATGAACTATACTGAAGCGTATTTCGTGAAAAGTACGTCTAAATCAATGAAGAAATATACAGAGGAGGAAATCATAAAAATAATCGAATTTTTGGATAACAATATCTTCGTCTTCTGAATCTAATGAAAAGCTAATCAAAACAGGTAACAAAGAAAATGTAAAGTCATTTAATTTCACTGTCAGATATATGGATGAAGTCTTGTCTGTAAATACAAGAAATTTATTGACCACGTCCATCGTATATACCCACCAGAATGAAAATCAAAGACACGACAGACTCTTCTACATCAGTTGCTTATCTTGATCTTTTCCTTCACTGAATCCAACATGGACATTTATCCACCAAGCTGTATGATAAAAGTGATGATTTCAATTTCTCTAATATGAATTTTCTTTTTCTGAATAGCAAAATCCTTGCATAAACAACCTATGGTGTTTACTTGTCGCGGTTGATTTTGTACAAGAAGTCGGCAACTGACAGACAAACTCGTCACAAAGGTTTCAAAATATGCAGGTTGATGAAGATTATGTGGAAGTTTTACTGTTTTTTTTTTTTTTTTTTTTGTTCTTTTATATCCTGATCTCATTTGAGAACGTGTCATTGCTTACTTGGATTGACCAAGGTTTATATGACTTGTGTCGTCGATGGATCAGATTATTGTAATATGTTGGTATTTTCTTTTGTTTTTTGTTTTTTTCTGAAATATGATAATCTCAATTTAAAAACAAGATCGGTGATCTTTTTAATTTCCGTATCAAAAAGGTAATTCATTTTCAATGTAACTTTAAATTGGAGATACAATATATGGCTTCCCTGTTTTATGTTATATAAGAGGTCTCGATTAAGTATACTACACCAACATATTCAATACGTCAATGACTGATAACGCTTCTTCACTCAAAATATTTTAGAAAAAACACAAATGAATAGCACATTCTAATGAAATTTAGAATTAGATACAATAGAGCTAAACAATGGATTAAACATCATCATACAGCTGTTTCATCTTCTGAACTATTCAATCATGCTAAGGGCCTAGATTTGGAAACGACTGAAGAACATCAAAAGAGGCAGAAAAATGTCAAAATATTCTAGAAACGAATATTTCTGAAATCCAAATGCATCTTCGAATATCTACCATATATCTTAAATCCAAGAACAAATTACATTTAAGCACGCAATATTATCCCAGGGACATGGTCGACGACATGCTCTGAGAAGTATAAAATGATGATAGAGAAAGATTAAAAATCAAACACGTGTATGAAGTAAGACATTTTCAAAAGACGTGCTTGCAGCTCCTGTATTATCATTCGACTTAAGGACACACGTCCTGGACAATTGTGATTTCATGATAAGGTATACCATATGTTTGCTTAATGCGGTTCTCACATAGCCAGTAGATTATACGAAAATGTATCAGTTGTAACAGTACACAGTGCATCCTGTTAGGTGTAAATCCTCATGCCATTTGATTTACATATTGCAAATGAGGTAATGTACTCAATAACAGTTGTGAAAAATGATGAAGCTGAATATTTTATATGAGCAAATAAATATTGGATCAGAGTGGGATTCCAGCGCCTATCATCAATACCTGATTCACTCTTTGACAATAATTGTCCAGCTAAATATAGATGAGAACAATTTTGATGGTCTACGTTAAAAATGTATATCTACGCAAACCTTCCTTTAGATAAAGAATTTTAAAATAATGAATAATTAATATAAAAACATATCATGTTTAAGTATACGGCTATCCTTGGCGTAGGTTGTAGGTCACCTTAGATAAGTTTCTCTTATGACTTTTCCACGTCACGTTATACCTTATAAGCAGACTCGACATTAATTTGTTTGGCATGAAAGCCATATTTGCTTTGTTTGTTTTCTTTTACATTGGTGTTTGTACAGGTAAGTCCATGTAATATATTTATCATTATAACTAGATATTTCATTGCGATAGCTCGTTTTGCTAGTATAGGAAATAGCTGTGATACCGAAGCACAAGTCACATTTAAAATATCGTGAATAGGTCAACTTGATTTCTAAAAAGTTGAAAAAAACTGTGATCATCTTTTAAAGTCCATTTGAAAATACTTTTTATCCACGTATAGTGCTCCATGACACATGATTATATTTGAAAACAGATCTGTGAAATTCAGAACTTAAATATGAGTTCTCACCTGAATTATCACCGATTCACTATACATGTAAACTTATCCTTACAACAACATTAAGACGGATTCTCATTCCTTGTCCCCTGAATTTATTATTATTACGTATTGATTTAGGAAATCTCAATATAACAACACAGGTTTATTGTCAATAAATGTTTACAGGAACGGGACCATGTAGAGACGGCTGGGTACCATTCAGTGAGAACTGCTACTACTTCTCACACAATCTCATGTCATGGCCACAGGCTGCGGTGAGTGAACTAATTAATATGCAGTTTTGTTCTTTCCATTACTCTGATTGGCTGTCATAACACAACTTCCCATGATGAACAAACGAGGTTTGGACAATTTGTTATTTAAGTTATCCTTGCATCCTGAGAATAGGAAAAACCATTTGTTGTAAAGAAATACAAATTTAGACGGCGTATTTGCTGCAGTACTTATATCATTTACTTCTGGGATATATTCAGTATTGTTAGTGTTTTCTGAATATAACCCAACACCATACGATTATCACATCAGTGGTTCTGCTAATATTTATCAACGTAATCTGACATTTGGAATATACTGGCTGCTTGGTATTTAGGTTGGGAAAGCCTCATCATATGTATTTTACATGGATATAAAGACTTTGCTATTGTACAATATATTACATAATCATAATGATTAATTTACACGATGTTAGGATTACTATTTAGATGTGTAAAATTTAGAACTGTCATTGCAGTGTTCGACCCGGGTTTTTATTGTATTGCTATTACAATCTGTATCATTTATACATAACAACTGAATACACATTTCATTTCAAATAGCATGTCACAAAACATTTTGATTTTGGCAAAACTAACTTGGTGTAAAAATATTCACCGAAACCATGCACAGAAACCGTACATAAAGATTATAGACACAAGTATCACAATAAGACCAAACAAAAGTGTCCAGTGATTATTGTGAATATTCATATGGTATTAAATAATAATATCTTTTATACACTTACCTCTTCATTTATGTTGATATTTTCTGCTGCTAAGCAGTCGTTATATGTATATGCAGGAAACATGCGAGGCATTACACAGCACACTTGCTACAGTTTTGTCAGCTGAAGAACAGACATTCTTAAAGACGACTCTATTGAACATACATCCTCATGGTAAGAAAGGCTTCAACATAACTCAGTCCATTTTCTTTTTTTCTTCTTAACAGTACTACTGTTTCTTAATATATCTTAAGCGAAGTACAAACTATAAATAGAAATAATTGACACTGGCGTTTAAACATGATACAGAATTTAAAAAAGGAAACAAACACAATTAGCTTCCATGATGCCGTTTAATGTAAACCACTGACTTAAGATTCATACTCACATAGATGCTGCTAGTCGTATATATTGGATTGACGGCACCGATCTGGAAGTTGAGCACGTGTGGAGATGGGCGTCCACAGGAGAAATATTAACCTATACGGACTGGAGTACGGGGGAACCCACCAATACCGGAGCTGAAAATTGTCTCCTTCTATGGGGTCAACAAAATTTCAAGATGGGTGACAATCCGTGTGGAGCGAGCTGGAACTACATCTGCAAATCTAGGTCTTTATCGATAAAAAACGCATGTTTTGATAGCAACGATAGTAGATATAATATCATCAAAGACAAAAATGTATAATTTTAACAATATAGCACATTATCGAAAGTAACCTTCTATCGTCATAAATCATCCATTTTACAGTTTTCATTCCGCACAATATCGTATAACATAATCCGCCTAATATCCAGTTTTTTCGTTCATGTAAATTTCTGTATATATGTCACTAGTGTTTCATACACTAGGTTGTGCCGCGCCGATCAGAAATCGATTGGGTAGTCACAATATCAACAATGACTTTACGTCATGAGCTGGAAAAGGTGCAACAAAATGTCTCCCTCTGCTTTATTTTGTCCTCTTTATTTCAAATTCAAAACAAATCAAAATATATTTTTCTGAGTCATGTTGTGGCAAACTATCTGATTTATTTAGTTCCGAGCTTTTAGTCTGAGGCGTGTTTCATTAAATTACATGTAAATTGGAAACTTTTTTTTATTGATCTGTATGTTTCATGTAAGTTCTTACAATATTTATTTCATCTTACTTTTACAGCGAAGAAAACACTGAAAACATCATCGGCTGAATTATCTCAATAAACTAAGATTTGAGAACACTTGATATTTTTATTATTTGTAAAATGAAATTTTGAAAGATCACTGGCACTTGTTGCTTGTTTCACTTTATCAATAGAGCAACTATTGAGTCGAACTGAATGTATCTCTTACGGTTTTTTTTTTTTTTTTTTTTTTTAAAATAAACATTTTGTGAATTATAGTATCGGTAATTCGCATACCAGAATTAATCATTACTACAATGTACCTATCAGGTATTCAGTGACCTAGCTAAGTTCAATTTTTATCTACTAGGTACAACTAGTTCCATTCGAAATAAAACGTTCGGAGTGCAATACACATAAATCATGTCTGATTTTTATCAACTATGAAATACCCGGCAAAATTACTATTGACTCTTTGTACCCATTCATGCACCTCTACAGTGGGGCTAAGTCAGCAGTTTGCTAGATTTAAACTCCCATCTTCATCCAGCTGGGTTAGTCTCTTCCATATTTGATCAAAATCAGGAAGTCTCCGAGAAAATGCTGATTAATATTGAATATTAATATGTGCCGGGACCAGGCCCTCCTGAGTGATACTGAATCAGCCATTCGACAAGTATAGATCCATTGTGGTCATCAGCATAGTTGTCATGTTACTTATAAAGTTTGAAAGTTGATCACATATGATTCATTTGACCGTGACTTAAATTTTGACCATTCAAAAACAAACGACTGCAACTCCAACACCCAAAAGGGGGAGATAAGGGATGTGAACAAAAATAAAATGAAACATTTTTGGCCACCATTTTGGGTCATATTAAAGTATAATAGATCATAATCAAAATAGCCTTGTTACCGAAATGGTGTCACTCAAATATGTCCCGATACCTATTTGTGAGCAAAGGTGACAGGTCATGATTTACGCTACATATCGGTATATTAAAACTTGATTACGTGGAACTGTTTAGATAAAAGGAAACAAGTCGAAGAATCAGAACATAGGATCGTAAGTCGGTCATAGTACGTTTACATATGTGTACATCTCTGGAGACGTGTTCATGGTTAGCGCCGCATTTCAGTATGAAATTACATTTTGATATAACATTGAAGATAATTATATATCAACCCTATGGGTTATTTAGTGCTCAGTAATGAGCTGGTATGATTTTGCGCTGGTTAAGAAATGCTAACGGATATGTAATACTTCGACAAAATCGCCTAAATGTATGTTGACGTTACATGACCAGGATATAAGGACAAAACAACTGTATCATGCTGTTAAGTACAGGATGACTGACAATATACTTACAAAAACAACATACCATTAGATATGACTGTCCTATTAATTAAAACAGGGAAATATTGAAACACGTTAATGTTGTAGTTAATGAAATATAACGTTAATGAAACAAATTTGGAGTATACTTGCCCTTCTAGTTTCAGTTTTTGATGATAAATTGTTTTAATAGCGAATAATGTGTTTTATAACCGCATTTCTGAAACGCGGACGTTTAATACGCAGTTTTGGATATATATAATATAAGATGCTTACTCTTTGTAACGCCCTTCCACCAACTTGCCTAACACAATATATACGCTAAAGGCAAATTTACCAACGATCTTTTTATTTATATATATTTATATATATTTTTATTTATTTGCGGTTTGGACAAAATCTTTAACATAAAAACGGCATATCACAAAAACGTTCCAACATGTAAATCCCAGGTATCAAAATCGAATACATCGTTATTTATGATTGAGGGTACTTTATTTTGGAAAATTCGTAAAAATACTGAGAATCCAACTGTAAAATAAGTTTGATTGACAAACTGTTTGCTGGAACTCTATGTAAGCATGCTGTGCTCTCTCATGACGTACTTTTCATGCAATGCTGAATTTATCAAGGTGGTTATCAAAGTTGGTCGAAAATACTGTACTAAGTCCTTCAACTTTAATTTAACTTGGATCGACAAGATATCAACAGGTGAAATATTCTTAATTGGATTGAATTTATTAAACAACTTTAATGTTAGTCAAATTAACGAACTTCCACATTCACATCTTCAACTTATCATGTTTTGGTATTGCAGTATTGACACCAAAGACATCCGCCCCCTCCCAACAAACACACAATTTTATCTGTTTCACAATTAAATTCCAGTGAACAATTTTTTAATATTACGACGAATTTCATTTTTTCAAATGTCAAATTTGCCAAATGCTACGCATGTTTTAATTTTCGTATTTACATTTAATTCGCAGTATTGTTTAATACCTTAAAGTAGGAGTGACACCAAAGCAGTACTGGCATGTTACCAAAGGTATATGTTTGCAACATGAAGATAACAGGAATATGGAAATACGTTAATTGTTTTTTTGTTTATGAAACTGTCCTACAGGTACATAAATGTATAATCAATTAGAAAATTGAGTTTAATAAACAATGGACAAGTTTGAAATACTCTTAGGAAAGGATTGGTAAACAAATGGTTAAGTGCAGATAAGCGTATATTGGGGTGACAAAGTTTATTCCCTATCTGATAGTTGTCTTACCGGAAGCTCTAGTAATGAAGCTCGTTGTCGGCATTGTATTGCTTAGTGGCTTCATAACATGTATATGTAAGTAAACGCTGCGAAACATGCTGTTCATTACAATTCCCTAAGCTTGATATCGTATCAAGTTGTTTTCTAAATATCTTTAACTTTTTGTCTTCCATCTAAGTATCAATTTCGCCGTTAATGCTATTTAGAATATTCGGTATTATTTTATCTTGAACCAACATCTTTGTAAAACAAGATATCTTTTTTACAGTGGCAAACTGCAGAAATGGCTGGGTAACGTTTGATGAGTGGTGTTATTTGTTTTCTCACAATCAGCTGACTTGGTCGGAGGCATCTGTAAGAAATATAATTAAAACTGAAATAAATAAACATGTAGAAGGTAGTAAATTACGTGTAGGTGATAGTAGCAGAGGAAGTAGTAGCAGTAGTGGGTGTTGGAAGTAGTAATGGCGATGGTGGTGGTAGTATTGGTGATGTTGATGGTGGTGGTAGTAGTGGCGATGGTCGTGGTAGTAATGGTGATGGTGGTGGTAGTATTGGTGGTGGTAGTATTGGTGATGGTGGTGGTAGTATTGGTGATGGTGGTGGTAGTAGTGGTGATGGTGGTGGTAGTAGTGGTGATGGTGGTGGTAGTAAGAGCGATGGTGGTGGTAGTAATGGCGATGGTGGTGGTAGTAATGGCGATGGTGGTGGTAGTAGTGGCGATGGTGGTGGTAGTATTGGTGATGGATGATGGTGGTAGTATTGGTGATTGTGGTGGTAGTATTGGTGATGGTGGTGGTGGTAGTATTGGTGATGGTGATGGTAGTAGTGGTGATGGCGATGGTGGTGGTAGTAGTGGTGATGGTGGTGGTGGTAGTAATGGCGATGGTGGTGGTAGTATTGGTGATGGCGATGGTGGTAGTAGTAGTGATGATGGTGGTTTTGGCGGTACTAGTATAAGAAGTAGTCGTAGTGGTGGTGTGGTGGTGGTGGTGGTGGTGGTGATAGTAGTAATAGTGGTGATGGTGATAGTAGTAATAGTGGTGATGGTGATAGTAGAAATAGTGGTGATGTAGGTGGTGGTAGTAGTAGCAGTAGTAGTAGTGGTGATATAGGTCGTGGTTGTGGTGGTGGTGGTAATAATAGTGGTGATGTGGTGGTGTTGGTAGTAATAGTGATCATGATGGTGGTAATGGTGGTAGCTGTAGTAGTGGTGATGATGTTGGTTGTAATAGTAGTAATAGTGGTGGAGGTTGAAGTAGAAGTGTTGGTGGTGATTGTGTTGTTACTAGAACTAGTATTTGTGTTGTTGTGGTGGTGGTGTTGTGGTGGTGGTGGTGATGGTTGAAGTAGACGTGTTGGTGGTGGTATTGGTGGTGATGGTTGTGGTGGTTGAAGTAGAAGTGATAACGGTGGTGGTGGTTGTGTTGGTGGTGATTGTGTTGTTACTAGAACTAGTATTTGTGTTGTTGTGGTGGTGGTGGTGGTGTTGTGGTGATGGTGGTGATTGTGTTGTTACTAGTACTAGTAGTTATGTGGTGGTGGTATTAGTATTATTATTAGTAGTAGTAGTAGTAGTAGTAGTAGTATTTGTTGTTGTTGTTGTTGTTGTTGTTGTTGTTGTTGTTGTTGTTGTTGTTGTTGTTGTTGTTGTTGTTGTTTGTTGTTGTTGTTGTTGTTGTAGCAGTAGATTCAGCAGTATCATTAGTAATTTTGGTAACCGTCGTCGTCGCTGAAGTCGTCAACATCTTATCATGAAAACTAACCTCAGTTTTGTAATGTTTTACTTGTGCATATCAAGAATGATCTAAGTGATGAAGAAGATACCATTCATGTTACCTTTTTAATAAAAGTGTTTGCTTTGGAAGAAATGAAACAAAAATTTCACGTTCAATTTTCCTCCATACTTTTATAGTGCAGATAACATAAGTAGTACTGATCCATTAGGATCCAACAAGTAGTATTGTTAAAGTATGAAAGTCATATTAACAAGCAATCAAATGACAAAATGTGATAAAACAATAAATATTTTACTTTTTGAACGTTTTTCTTAAGAGGAACTGAAAATATTAAGATGTTAATACTAATATTTTTAAAATGTGTTTTCATTTAGGTTTAAAATATTTTTAGTAGAGGCCTTCATCGTCTATGACGACAATCATAAAAATACCGATATATCCCCAGCTAAGTAAATGGGTGGAAAACTATTCATACAAAATATGCTAATTCTGACTCGTATATCGACTCGTGTAAATTCATACTGTACTCATTGTTACTATTTCTTTATTACAGATAAAAAAAGTTCAGTTCTTATATTGTCACCTTGCCTGTTGTACTATTGTTCAAATCTGTTTTCGGAACAGGAGACATGCCATGCCCTTCATTCCCACCTGGCTACTGTGTTATCAGCAGAGGAGCAAAATTTCCTGTCAACTCAATTACTTGAATTGCATAAAGACGGTAATGATTTTATATGAATTCAGAATTGACGTGCATTCGGTACAAATGTTTCAACATGCACTAATCAACGATAAGCTTCAATAATTAAATTTACGAAAGTTGTTTCAGATCTATTATGTACACGTGTTCATCATTTTAACCAACCTATTTATAGATCCAAAGATATCCTCAACACTTTACTGGCTGGACGGGTCAGATTTAGAAGTTGAACACGTTTGGCGATGGATGACAACAGGTGACGTCCTCACATTCACCGACTGGGCGCCAACTGAACCCAACATGGCAGAAAACGAGGATTGCCTAATCCTGTGGGGGGCCAGTAAATTCCAGATGGGAGATAACGCATGCTCCAATAAGCGAAACTACATATGCCAACAAACGTATGTTCAATTACAAGTATTTTCAAGCGCGAGTATACTGCAAAGGGTCCTAATTGTGCACATTCCAATATTGTTGATTTATTGCATTTTGACAAATTAGCGCAATGATGAATTGGTGTACAGACTATCTTCTTCATTTATATATATACTACAGAAACCTCAATTTGGACAATCATATTTTATTAATCAATTTAATATTAACGCTAAAATACATACATCTACGATAAGTTTAATTCCTTGTACAAAATCTTCTTTGGCCCAACAGGCCATATCACTTTGCGTAAATTGACAAATGTTGTCTTATTTCAAAATACATTTACAGCCTACAATTTCGCTTCTTATATGGTCCTGGTGATAATTTTCTGTTTAAGCATTTGCACAAAAATCTTTCTTCTGCCTTTTTTAAGGTTAAGATTATTTATATTTTCAGTGTTGACACGGACTATGGAAATGAAATAATTGGTTAACCTTAGAAGTTACGACACATAAGTTTTGTGTCACGCGTGAGAACATAATGTGGTCTATCTTAAAACATGGTATGCGTTATCAGATAATAAAAAAGTATAAAAATTGTGTTGTTCCTTGCAATGATATTTCAAGCAACAATTCTTTTTCATATTGATTATTGTAAATGGAGCAAAGAGAACAGTATTACAATCACCTAACTATATTTTAATCGGTTGCTTTTGACTGCTCGTATTGTATGTTTCCTGTTTGTTCTGATACTGTTACTTTATTGTCCCATTTGCATTTTTAAGGGAACCACGTATAACGTGTCTCTCTCTCTCTCTCTCTCTCTCTCTCTCTCTCTCTCTCTCTCTCTCTCTCTCTCTCTCTCCCTCTCTCTCTCTCTCTCTCTCCTCTCTCTCTCTCTCTCTCTCTCTCTCTCTCTCTCTCTCTCTCTCTCTCTCTCTCTCTCTCTCTCTCTCTCTCTCTCTCTCTCTATATATATATATATATATATAATATGAATCATACTAATGATCATGTTTCACATGATAAAAAACAATGGAAGGTGATAGGTTCCGTTTCGTCTAGGAAAACAGACTCCTCATAGCAAAAAGAACAGGCGTTTGGTAAGAGTGAGGAGTTTGCTTTTGTAACGTGTAGAGGGATTTCGTTATTAGTAATTTCTCGGTATCACTGCATTTGAGTACACAATAGATATGTTTATCTATAACTAACCTAGTATAACGCCTTAAGTACAAATATATACAAATATGTCTCAGCTTATCCGAGCTATCAGTTATGCCAAATAACCACTATGTTTAACGTACAAGAATGTAAAGAATGAATTACATTATAAACGAGATGATACAATAAGCAGTAACACTCACCAATCACTGAACTATTTACAAAGAGCTGTATTATATGCCGAGTTGCGCATTGTACCTAACACAACTGTACAAAGGGGCGCAACTCTAAATTTCCTACACACTCACACTTCTCAGCGAACCTATTTTGCTTTTACGCCCCGCGGTGTCAACGAACGATGGAGTTTCCGTGTGTTAGAATGACCAACTAAGCAATGAGTCGTGTCGGACAGAGAACCTGGCCGAGATAAGGCACTATTTCAGCTCCATCCTTCAGCACTGCTCATCTGCACAACTATACTTCGTCTTAGTCACCTAACCGCTTTAGCTATATGACCGTAAACAATACAATTATCCAAGTATCTATTTGACACCGAACATTAACAAAACACGGAAGCAGATCATAATCGTAGGTAGCATCTATGTTACACTTTACCAATTTTTAATTTGCTATTTCTAGAGAGTAACATGCCAACTCGACAACTTAGGTTATGTACATGTCGCAGATTTTCCGATATTTATGGGCTTCCCCTGATATCATGGTTTTCGCACAAGATGTCAACAGCAGTAGGTTGATGACCATTATTAGAACGGTTTATTATCATGACATTGAGATGTGTTTCATTCTCTTCGATACCTGTAAATATGCCCGATGATTCCGTCGCTGTTTATCTTCTTCACATATGGGAGCGTGACATCACTTAACTTGAATTAACCAAGATTTGTAGAGTGTATTTCGTCGAGGAGTCTCCGTGTATTTTTTCCGCGTAGAAATATCAACATTCGGTTTGAAATCAGATTCTGATAACATGTCGGTATTTTCCTTATCATTATTCTTACTTGGCGTTTTGCCAAATCCCTTATGTATTTTTAGTTTCTAGCAACATACACGTTGGAAGCATACTTCGATGAAATGGTGTATCATTGTAGTAACCGTTTATTGTGTAATGTATTTTTGTGAAAAAAGTCTAATATTTTTTGTGATAACTTGTTCCTGATCAATTTGGATGTGGAATGAAAAACTGTAGTCAAACTTTGATTCCACCAGTGGATCCTTTCATAGGTAATTTCACTTAATCAGTTACATTTTATTTCGATTGATATTAGTGTTATGAATCAGCAAATCGAAAATAAAAGACGTTTCTATAGACTCGTGATTCATTAAAAACAAAAAGAAAACATGATATAATTATATTTGTTCTTTAAATTATCGTCGCTCAAGTAATAGCCATGTAAGGCTTGTTTCAGGAAGACCAGCATGTTTCAAACTGAAGCATAACCTCGCGAAAACAACATAAATACCCATTTTTGGCATATGTCTCCATATAGATCATTTTGAGTTAACTGCAAAATAATTGAGAACTAACCTTTTATTTTGTTCCATTTGATTGAGCACGAGACATATTGTTTATACATGAACATGTACCAAGTGATTCAGTAAACAAAATGAATGGTTCGACTTCATAGTTCAAATATCTTACCGTTCAAAGTGTCAGGTACATTACCTTGTGAAATCAACAATATAAATAATTTCAAAGCAGTGTTCTTGTATGGGAAACATCTGTTCATAAAAGCTGTTGACCGATAGCTAAATCACATCCATTTTCTCCGTGACAAGAACAGAAAAATGGTCCTGCATTTAAGTAGTTTTATTCATATAAAATATCTATGTTGTACTTGTTAAAATATTTTCATAATTGGTTTAGCAATTAAAAGAATAAATCAATCTAAATGAAAATTAGGACGAAATACCTGCATTGAAAATAAAGGAGGTTTGAATTATGCGCCAAAAGGGAAATACAGAGGTGGTGAACTGGGTCAAGTTATAGAGTTACTCTCGCTTTTCAACACAGAAAACAGTGGCCGTTCTAAATGTTTTACTCTAAAATGTTTGTAAGCATTGAAGGTCATCTTACGGAAGCGTATTCCGGCCACGTTGTGTTTTATTTTAATCTGAAATTTTGAGTCAGTAATCCGAAATTTTGAGATATTAACCCGAAATTTTGAGTTAGTAAGTCGAAATTTCGAGTTGTTATCACAAAAATTCGGGTTAATTTCTCATGATTTCTATAACTCGAAATTTCGACTTACTAACTCAAACTTTCAGATTAAAATAAAACACAACGTGGCCGGAATACGTTTCCGTAAGATGAACTTTAATGCTTACAAACATTTTATCTCGAAATTTCGGGTAAATATCTCAAATTTCGGATTACTAACTCTAAATTTCGACTTACTAACTCAAAATTTCGGATTACTAACTCGAAATTTTGAGTTACTTAAATTTCGAGTTGCTATTTCGAAATTTCGAGATGAAATAAAACACAACGTGGCCGGAATACGCTTCCGTATCATCCTGAGATAAAGACCGCATGCAAAGTGACAAGGTAGACAGAAGGTTTCTCTTGATTTTAAATGTTAACAGACAAAAGGACGTTGGTGATGACATATCTTGTAAAATGGTCTATATCCAGATAGAGCAGGCATAGATAACAAGTTTAACATATTAGATAAGGCTGAGTTAGTTGTGTCACTATGACGGCTTTGGCCTTGTTGTTGGTCGTATCCCAGCTGTATATAGGTATGTACACAACTAAACAATACTATAAACGAGAAATAACTGCAATCAAATCTTACTGCCATTAATAAGCATGAGCACGAAAATTTATGAAGGAAATTAAAATTACTTGTGGTTTAGATATGCAACAACCAGAAACACTGTTCTAACCAATTTTAAGATTTTCTAATTTTTTTCTGTCATTCGTGTAGCAAAACAAATGTGAGCTTCTTTTCGTCTTAAGTATTTATTATCATATTTTGAAAACCTTTGTCAGTTAATCATTTATATTAATTTATTCGTCTCAAATCATTATGAGACTTCTCACTTATCCTACAATGTATAGTCATGCCGAACTATAATGAACACCAGTCACTACAGAACATTTCACCATGTATCATATGTCAAATCCTCCTCCATACAAGCCTGCATTACGTTATAATATGTGGACAAGTATTGTTATACGAATTGACAGTTAAATAGTGTTTCTTTAAAAAAAAAAAAAAGCACCTGATCCTTCCTTTATCTATAAAGAGAAGACTTTTTAAAGAAACTTTTTTCGGTTGAAATTATTTTTTTATTCCATAACGAATTGAAAAAACAAGGTTACTTCAGCTAAAACTTTTTTGTCTATTATATTGACAAATAAAGATTTATTACGTAGTTCGCCGTTATTCTGGATTGAGCGTTACTTTCGATAATTGACAAAAGAAATCTAAAAGCATCAAAACCACTCAAACAATTGTCGCAGCGCAAACTTCTTTTCTGTATCCTGCTATCTGTTTCAAATTTGTTAATAATAACTACAACAACCTGCTAGGGCAGATGTAACTCGCAGCTACTGTTGATCAGTAATAAGTAAAAAATTGGAGCTGTTGCCAAGAGGTCAAGACGCAACTGAGCGTTTTTAACACTAACCTTTCACATCTGGATCAAGGCCTGCGTGGGTACTTTTTGCAGATTGGTGGTTTTTCCTCAGGAACTCCTGGTTTCCTTCGGAAGCCAAATCTGAAATAACCCTTGCAGTTAATAGGACATAAAGAAACAACAAATCACACCAAACCGATTAATCGGACAGATCTCCATCAAAATCTCATTAATCACCGAACAAACACATTTGTCTTTTAAATAGTGAAACTGCTCCAACAATCAGCTTTTATAGTATTGACAGAATGTTCTGTATATACATCAAAGTCATTAACATGCACGTAGAGCAAGGCATACTGGGTAGCTAACAATACTGCTTTAGAAAAAAACTCTTTTCTTATTGTACATACAATGGAAACAAAAACGTCCTTTGTTCTTTTATACAACAAACATTCCGTCGTATCTTAACATTAAGTGTGATGTTTTCAATATACTAATGTGGTTTCGATCTCATAAATGCGATATCTTCTAAAATAAATGGATTTGTAAGTATCAATTTTTACAGGCGGTTCTTTTGTCATTTCCTTTTATGTCACTTAGTACCATTACCTTTAAATGACATAATGAAACGAATATATCATGAACAAAGAAATAATTAACAATCATAATATTCAAAATAAAAGACAATGAATGTTGTATATTGGCAGGCATCTGATTGTATAGTACCATCGTAACCACAAGTTTAAACCGATAATTTTTTAATCTAAATCTACAGTGGGTTTTTTCGCAGCTTTCGGTTCCTTAAACACAACTTCCCAAGGAAGCTGCAGACATGGATGGATTAGCTTCCAAGAATCCTGTTACCTCTTTTCACACACTATGATGTCATGGCCTGACGCTGAAGTAAGTACCCGATAAATAGGCTATACATGTATGGATTGTTACTGTACTTTGTCTCTAATAGATAGGAACCCAACTATAAAACACTCTACAAAAAATAATTTGCCAAACATAGACTACGATATAAGTATTACTTTCGGTTGTTCTTATTTCTCAAAAAAGTCATATAATTATAAAATGCATAATTGTTACCAAACTTTTGAAAGGTTTCACTTTTATATCTTAACACACTTATTTACCACTGACAAAACTTCTTTCATCAAATTAATGTGAATCCTATTACAGGAAGCATGTGAGATTCTCCACAGTAATTTGGCAACCGTCCAGACAGAAGAACAGCAACAGTTTCTCAAGTCTTACTTGAATACAGTACACGCGAAAGGTGCAGTTTGTTACTTCAGCTTTCATAGCGATATTGTTTCCTAACTTTTGTAAGGATTTAATTAAGAATAACCTAGACATAATTCTAAAATGGCACATGAATGTTTCCCATTTCTTTTTGGTTACTTTTAAATTCGATGGTAAATAATTGGTTGATCATCCCATCCCAACCCATGTTTCTACTGTGTAATAACATTATTCATATGCTATCTAAGACAGAAATAAAAGACTTTAATAGAAACGTTGCAAATGATTCTGTGAATCTAGTATTGATATTGCTTATTCTCTGGCCATACTACGGACGTTTAACATGTATAATGTTGACGTTAGATTATCCGCTCTTCGCATACTGGATCGACGGGAACGATCTGGAGTTTGCACACGAGTGGCAATGGTCTTCGATTGGTCAACCACTCAACTACACTGACTGGGGGCCTGGTGAACCTAGCAAGCTCCCCAACGAAAATTGTCTTCTCCTCTGGGGACCATTCCATTTTAAAATGGGGGACTATGGCTGTTACAATCTTCGACACTTCATTTGCCAACAAAGGTAACATCATAACTAAATGGTTGTTATTAACGATATTCTTAATGAAATTAAGAGAGTCGATTAAGTTATATTGTGTTCAACACTTTCATGCTTTTGCGAGTTAAGTATGGAAGGTTAAGCAGACTTCTTAAATACAGTTGTCGATTACATAGTCCAGCTTTCTCCCAGAATTGCGATGAAATAAAACATTTTAAAGTCACAGGAATCGATATGAAAAAAGCGCTGTCCCTTTTTATCATGGACTATTCGAATATTCAATAACAACTTTCAATGTCCAATAAATAATACATAAGCATTGTGCCACCATATTACTATAACGGCATGACAAAAACCTGTACATTTAACATGCACTCTCAGTCTCCTGCACAATACAGTGTATATGGATACTAGTGTTTTAGCCTGTATCAAACATTTTTCTCATTTTGCCAACATGAATGTTATACTTTTCAACGGTCACAAGGACAATATAACATTTTTTTGCTGAGATCAGTTAACAGATATGTCCGCAAAGCAGCCACCAAGAAGCCATGCCCACGTGTGGGTCGTACTAAAAGCATCAACTGACCTTAACAGATGATATGTTACATACGAATATCATTTAATTATTTGAATGACTCATGTGTATCACGGTTAATGCAAAATTATTCTGCTTTAGTCATAGAAATAAATCGTAATTCAGAACACAGGAAATATTAAACAGCTTGGTGTTGAGGAAAAGAACATTTGGACATCGATAGGTTTTAGTAATTGCATAGATAAAAAAATGAATCAGTCTACGTGACGAGGACACCGCGGTAGCATTTACTTTGTTTTTTCTGAGTTACTAATGTTTTCTTGGTTTTTAGTTTTCTTTTAAATGGAATATATGATGCTGATGGTGTCACAATTCTTGGACAAAAGTTTTTGATATCTGTAACAACAATTACCAAGAAAATTTATGATATAAATACGTCCATGCTTCCATTACCATATTAAAAGCAATAAGATTTTTCAAGAAGATCATAGACTTAGGACAAGTCGACGATGTCAAAAGATAACTATAAAAATCGGCGAAATTTCTGACGTATTGATGCCCTATACTTTAGTGACCACGGACCTACGGTCAGGATGACTCTCGTATAGTGAAATGGTTTGTCAATCGACTTGTGGGTTGCACAGTGAAAGAAGCAGAAACATCAACATTAAATACATTTAAATTGTAGACCCGAAATCGATATCTTCTTTGAAATATATCGATTTCGGGTCTACAATTTAAATATGTTTAATGTTGACTCTTCATCAAATTATTGATCTGCTTGCTTTGCACTAGCGGTGGGTTAACGAGAAATACCTCACAGGAATATCGATTTAGTGTTAAGTGTAAGGAGAGGACATTTGACATTAACTACGTTGAATTTCCGAAGTCACTGTAAGGGGACAGAACATCTTATCTGTCTCACATAAACTAACACTCTCTAGAAAGTCCACAAGTAAACGCGACTCTAAAGAAGACATTTAAGAAGAATATTGCCCGGGAAGAGAAAAATCATCAAAATTTAGTCGCATTTTATGATCAGATGAATAAAACTGTAGTCACTATTTTTCTACCTGAAGATACCTTCGATCAAATGCTAAGTTACACCTTCAATTTAAGTATCAATAATTCAAAGTTAAACGAGCATTTGACCTACACAATTATATTTTACTTAAAGTAATTGTATGCATGTATTTTCTTTCAGATCTCCCGTCGCACCGCCAACGAATTCCATCAATGGATGGGTTGCGTTCGGACGTTGAGTAGACATAGTTTTGTTCGTTTGTGCCCATGTTATAAAACATCTATCCTGTGAGTTGTGTTTTATTTCAATCCCTTTCTTGCACAAAAGATAATCCAACAATACAGAAATGACATTAATATATCATCAATCGATTTAATTTCAAATCCCAACACCAAACAAAAATACAGGTAACTTCCAAAACAAAAATGTATAAATCGATGTCTTAAAGCAAGAGATTATAAAATTACTGAATGGGCTAACTTTTTCAGATCTTTCAAGTGGACCTTGATATAGTAAATGTTGATTCCTCTACGTCGGTAATGTGTTAGACTTTTTCACTGTAGAGAATGGTGAATATGACATGAAAAACAAGTAGATCACTCACAATAAAGACATTGGACATGATTTCTACTTTGTCATTATGTTCAAAACCATGTCCCTGACAATGAAATACTACGTCACATCTCTGATTATAACAATGTATCAATGATAGTATATGATGTTCCCGGTATACACTATTACTTAAGTTTATATCATGAGGTTTTGTTTTTAAAATAACAAGATATTTTTGACCCGACCTATTGTATACACTATTCAGAAATCTGACACAACGAATTATTTTACATCAGCTGACTGCTTCCTGCTTTCATGACGTTTGGGACTTTCATCACTGCAAATGCCACAGGACAATGATCGCGTTTCTATAAAGAAATATTGGATTTTTTTTATATATTCTTCGCAATCTCTCCCATCGCGTTGACGACAGCAAACATCAGATGTGTGCGCAACTATTGAAACAAGTCAGTCATCTTGATATAAACATAGTCTATTATTTCCATGTGCATTAGTAGAGTCTGCAAACAGATCCAAAAAGGATATGTTTATATAATGATATATAATGGTATTTTATCTCCTTCAAACATTTCGGGGCCTCGCCATTCCCTTAATGCGTGATTTAATGACAGTTGTAACTTCATTGGTATCAAAGCATGTTTGTGTCTAAGTTTAGCGTGCTTTTTAATCTGTGGATATATTTAAACGACTGATAGCTTCACTTCGAATGGCCTTTTTATCAGGTTTCCCGTTCGACAATGAAGGGAACTTTTCAAACTTCAGGAAGTAAGCAGGCATTACACCAAGGCCATCAAGTGTGCCTTCAGCGAAAAGGGTTTTCGTGCAGAAGTCTTTGACTTCCTCCGTAGTAAGTTCAGACATGCTCACAAAGCAGATGCAAATTTCTTCATACAACCTTTTATCGGGGACGGGCACAACGCATACATACTTGATGGCTGGAATTTGTTTGACCAAGTCTTCTAACAGACCGGGATATATCTTTCGACCACCTCTAGATATGACATCTTTTTCTCTTCCAATAATAATGAGGCTCCGATCACAGCTTATTTTACCGATGTCTCCAGTTTTAAACCAAGAACCGTATGAAAATGAATTCGCCGTGAGCAGCTGATTTCCAAAGTATTCCTTCGTGGAATAAGGACCCCGCAACTGCACCATCCCAATAGTGTCCAAAGGTACAGGGTGATCCTTCTCATCCACAATACGTACCTCAACTCCAGGATAAGGCTGACCGACTTCTCCTGGTATCAAAGTGTCCCCTCTGCTTAATGGTCCGTACATATTTGCAGCCATGGCTTCTGTACAGCCGTACACAATGACAAGATGTTGAGAGAATCTTTCCATGATCTTTGTATATAGACTGTCGATAATCTGGCCCCCGGTGGAAATGTGATTGAGTCTGTAGCCATCCTCAGTATTACACAGTGGTAGATCAAGAAGATCGCGGATAATGTACGGGAACAAAAGAGCATCTGTGCATCTTTCTTCTTTCATTATTTTCCACAAGAATTCTGTGTTTTTGCCATTTATTGTTGCAAAAGCGTCCATTAAAACTCTTGTCCTGCGTAGAAGCATATGAAAAACGGGAGAACCACCTATCCAGCTAAAAGGTCTGTCGTTGTAGTCAATGATTTCATATTCGACATCAGGAATCCAAGAGAATGGATAACAAGCCATATTGTAATGGGTATGGACAACCATCTTGGGTTTACCTGTGCTTCCAGATGTGGTGAAAATCACAGCTGGCTCTTCTGGAGATGTATCTGGCAACATCATTTGTGTCAAGTCTATTGCTGCAACGTTTTCCAGAGTCTCCGTGTGATAAAATCCATCTAAATCGATAATGCGAAGCAGTAAAACTTTTATCTTGTCACGTACTTTCTCATTATCTCTTTGGATACTAGGATGCTGTAACATAACTTTAACAGCTGGAAACAGTTCATTTTGTTCTCCTGAATCTGCAATGACAAGTTTTGTGTCCGTTAATCTAAGAATTTCATGTGCATCCTTGGCAGTTTTCGTATCAATGTTAATATTCAACACAACTGCTCCAGCGCACAGTATTCCAGCATAAGCAATAACCATATCCAGTGTATTTGGACCAATGAGAGCGACCCTGTCACCTTTCTGTATTCCTGTAGAAACCAGGTACCTGGCGAGCTGGCTTGCCTGGTTGTGTAGACTTGTATTGGTAAGGCTTGCCCTGGATCCATCTAGCCGCCTTAGGATGAATATCTCTTGGTCTGGATGGCTCTTGGAGTTTTCTTCAACTACTCGCGGGACAGTCGTGTAGTTGAACGGCTTGGGTGGGCTGGTGTATAAGTAGCTTAAGCGTGAATAAGACGTCATATTCTTTATCTGAAAATTAAAAAAGAACACAAATTCTAAATGATATTAAAAATACCAGGGGTTAAAACAGGATTTGATAAACTACATGATATTGCCCCCTGTCTGGATATTGGTGGCCTTTGTGGCATATCTCACCATTTCATAATATTTTTTTCATAACTGAGTAAAGGGGAAAGGATGAAGTTTAATGTTCGGTTATTCTTGTGTGTATTGGCCAGTAGTGGTGTCGCCAAAATAAAAAGCGATATACATAACTTCTTTTTCTTGATATAAAAACCAGAAGACGAGTATATAATATTACATTTAAATTGCTTTATTGTTACAAAAAGCACAAGTGAATTGTACCTTCCAATACAGTATGATAATTGCAACGTCATTTTCGGGCTGTTTCGTCTTTGTAGAGAGCGAAAGTGATCGTAACCCCTAGAGTATCGAGAAAGTTTTCTCCCGTATAGATATAAATACAAATATAAAAAGATATATAAATTTGATATAAGTGTTGTCTTACACTTTCAAAGACTTGCAAGATTGGAAAATTATCTTATACAAGCGACCAATCAAAACGCTTCGTATAAAATAAACAAAAATAAAAAATGAAATAGATATGATTAATAACGTTTTTTGAATAACAAATGTGTGGTTAATATTTTTATAGCATTACTTGTACTGAATATGAAATATGAATAATTTTACTGCAAACACTTTTAAACAGTCTCTATTGATTGCTTAAGAACAGATCATGTGTGTGTGGAATCATATCACATTTCATCTATTCTCAGTATTGGTAATTTTTTGTTTTTTTTTGTTTTTTTTTTTTTTTTTTTTTTTTTTTTTTTTTTTTTTTTTTTTTTTTTTTTTTTTTTTTTTATTTTTTTTTTTTTTTTTTTTTTTTTTTTTTTTTTGTTTTTTGTTTTTTTTTTTTTTTGTTTTTTGTTTTTTTTTTTTTTTGTTTTTTTGTTTCTTTTTTTTTTTTTTTTTTGGTCTGTATGCTAGACCGAGTAGTATAACATACCCATAGTAGTCAACGTCATCATATTACTTTTTCGGAACTTTAAATATGTTGTAGATGTAAATACAGGATTCAACGGAAACGTTAAGCTACCTAGCATATTTGTAAATTTTGTACATATACGGAATTATAGCAGTTAACTATAAACGAACAGTGCAGGTAATGAGAAGTGATTGACTACCTTTCAATAGAATGAAATTAAAACTAATCAATGCATACTTGACCTGAAAAGGTTTGGGGTGGTGTCCTATATATAGAGTACAGCTAGTACAAAGAAGGATTAAGCACCGATTTGCCCCACTTAACATTTACAGACATGAATAATGACATCCTATTACTGAAATACTACCTAAACGTTCACGTTAGATATGATATGACTGGCATTTAACACAGAATTGGGTCTGTAGGCTGTTACAGTTACAATAGCAAGACGAACAGGGTCGTAATGTGACATGCTAACATAGCCTTGATGGAGATATGACAAAATACGAACAAACAATTAATAAAAGGACTCCTACCAAAAAAGTAAAAGGAGAATAAGATCAGGTATTTTCGAAAGGCAATCGCTATCTACTTTATCGACAACGGCCGCCATAAAAGCTTGGCCAATCCAAGGAAGTAATGAAACGAGACATGAGATGTCAACAATAGATTCAGTAGGCATATTCAAAAGCATCAAACTGTCCAATTCCATATCGCACAAAGAAATGGTGTAATTCCCAATAAGATAACTGTAACGACCGTAAAACTTCACACAAAATTTATCAATCTATTTCTCTCGGAACCCTGTAATGTGAGTTTATATGGTAGTCGTTGGCATCTTGCACGAACATCGTGATATTTGGAACGGAGCTACGACTTTTAAACACAGGAAAGTCGCTGATTCCAATTTCATTGGTATGCTTTCGACAGATTTATCAGCTAGCTATTGAAATTTATTAGCATATTTAATAAATTAAATTAATTTAATTGTAGAAGTCATCCTCAATTGCCTTAAAACGTGATTTGTGCATTTGGTATCTCGTCCAGGCCCCATAAAACCACCGCCACTGAAGATGGGCCTGCATGCTGTTTGAACTTGTATATGATATATTTGTTTGTGTTCGCTTAGCCATTAAATTACAATTGCCATTATGAATGTGTTAACACATGTTAATCCAACTGATAAATGTTACTAACTCTCATATCAATAAAGTAACACGTTCATACACCATCGGGTGCCCTCCACTTGTTGGACAACCTACTTCCAAATGTTTATATAGTTTAAGGATTCAGGCGTTAAACCATCGCCTTTAACATGATTAAAAGTTCATAATTCAAAGATCTGGCAAATGCTATCCCAGAACATGAGAAGACAATTAAAACTATACAATCACCATATCAAATTGAAAAATGCACAATTTACATGCAAAAGGCTACGGGTGGCGTCCTACATGTAGAGTGCAGCTAGACAAAAGTAGGATAAAATATACTAAGTTGTACACCGATATGCTTCACTTAACAGAGGCTTCATAGCGTTTTCGCTTTACTCAACTCAACTCTACAAATTATTACACATTCATAAATTGCGATTATATGTATATACACATCGACACACCTTCTCACTCAAACTCCTTTACGATAATTATGAACCAGTCTTTCAGTTTAATTATTGCTTGTGTCGTTGATAGTTAAAGCAATCTAAAGTATTTATGATGACATCCTGGTGGGATTGAAAAAAGACTTGTTGGACAATAAACCTGCAAATGTTTATATAATATATACGTTTATAAAAATAATTCTTTTTTAAAGGCAAGAAAGGAGAATCACACTAAAAATATTTCATTTTTTTCATAATGTGGAGGTTAATAGTAAATAACATTCGAAGATAGATGAGGATTATTCTTAATCTTTAAATAGATGCAAAATACAGGTGAAAGAAACAATTAACGTATCCATGAACCTAAATCTAGATATTATCCAAGTCTGATCATGGCTATTAAATCAAAATCCAAACTTTATCAAAATGAATTTGTAATATTTCGTTATGTTGATTAAATTTCAAGGTATATCAATATCATTTTTACCGGTAAAAAAAATACTACCTGAATGTGATATAAACCTTGCAGGATAAAATCCACCAGATCGCTGGTTTTGTTTTATGAAATTGAAGCCCCGTGCTGATTACAGTATATAATGATCTGAATTGACACCTTCTTCTGATGCCTGATCCGGAGACTGTCTTTGCATAATAACAACAAATTTGTAAGCATAACATGTCCAGTGATCGTGGATCGTATAAATATGCGGAAGTCTGGCGATCTGTTTTCTACTAACGATGTAGTAATATGAATTATTTAGTAATAATATTCAGGCTTGCAACCCTTTCTTACTGCATTATCATTATTAACATAACCAACAATAACAGTCACATTAATCACATCTCTTCAGGTTTATAAAAATGGTTTATTCTATTTTCCAATTTCAGGTTACCTACCATATGTATGCTAAATACTGCTCACCTTACCACTATCTTCCGCATATCACCTCTAAACTATTGTCATTGTATTGTTGCGAACTTGGTACACTTAATAATTTCGAATAACATACCTTGGGTTCCAGTGTTTTATATTCGTCATTTTTCAGCAATCGCATGTGAGAACATCTACGTTCGTTGAGATGGTGATCTCGGTGTGCCAACCAACACCTTTTTCTCAGCGACTGTACCGATATGTACTTTAATGTATTTGCGCCTCTTGGTTGTGGGACCAATGGCTTGCCTTATTCTGTTTTTGACTTCCTCATTGGTTATGTGGTCTTTGTAGGAGATGCCAATCAGTCTTCTAAAGCATCTCATTTCTGAGGCCTGGATCCTCTTCTCTAATTCTGCACTCAGGGTCCATGTTTCACAAGCATACAGGAAAACTGAGTTGACAAGGAAACGCATGAGTCTTATCTTTGAGCTGAGCTTGATTTGTATTCATCAAGTAGCGAATCATAGGCAATGACGCCTGGCGGAGCCTATCCCTCTCCAGGCCTGGCCACGGCCGACTTCCCCTAACTCGGAGACTCGCCCTGGCCACGGACATTTAGCCGTTGAAATGGTTTTGAACCCCTTCCGCCCTGGCCGGTGATCTGCTTCTTGGAGATCCTTCGCCCAGCGGTGCAGTGTCAACACCACCCCCTCACTTGGTTTAGCCCGCCAGATGAAGCGGTTAGCCGGGGTGTGACGCTTGGAGTCAGCACGTGAGAGATTCAGGAGTTGGGTGAGAACCAGTGATGCCCGTCCTCCTAACTAGGTGGGAGCAGCTGCCGAGCAACAAGGGTACTACCTCTATCCAGAGCCCCCTACACCCCAGCACATCAGTACTTAAGATAGCTAATTGATGAATTGTGAACCTCATATATAAGAGTTTGACTTTTGCTGGACATATTGCACTATTTTCACTATAATCTCCTTCAGTATCTATATATCTTTGCCAGCGATGTTTCAGGGCCTCAATGCCACTTTTAAAGAAGTCCTTTTCTTGGCCGTTACGCAAGTTCTCCACTGCATGTATGACGTTATCGCCTGACTAAACGTGTGAACCAGAAATGGCCTTTTCAATATTAGACGGGGATGCAAAATAGAGACAATCTTTGATGGCTGCGATGGAAATGACATACTATTAAACAGTGGATACTGTCCTGGTAGAACAACACACCTTTACTAAGTTTTCCGCGGCACTTAAGTGTAATATTTTCTTTTAAGTGCCATTTATTGTCTGTTCCTTTTGCAGATGATATATCATCAGAATACCATCAGCATCCCAGAAAACCGAGGCCATTACTTTTCCAGTTGGCGCAGCAGTTTTTGTCCCCTTTGGTTTTTAATTGAATCAGGGGATTTCCATTGTTTAGACTGTTGTTTGATCTCTGAGGTGATTGATCGACTCATATATCATCCATAGTCACAGATCTCTGCAAAAAGTAAGCAGGATCTGCCTCAAAAAGGGTCAAACTCCCTACTGCTGTTACCATATCAGTATTGATATCCCTAGGTGCTAGACCTTTATTATGCAAATATTGAATCACTGCTGTTTTAGCGATTTTTTCCATTTTCATATTTTTGTTTAAATTAAAGTGCAGCAAATGAAACCAGTCGTCGGGTCACGGACTTAAATATTCAGGGAATAGTAGATATGCCGTCGTTTTGGTACTCATGAAACCACTTAACAATTGGTCTCAGTGTTTATATCATCTTGAAGTACCACAGAAAGATACTTAATTCAAGCTTAAAATGCTAAAACTAGAGCACCATACGAATTAAAGACAGATAAGACAAAAATACCTTTGAAAACGTGTACGGAAAATAAGTTTTTGTAGGGTAAGCGAATTCTATTGCATCGATGATACTCCCTGTGTTATTACAGTTTAGGGATCGCTCATACCGTCAGAAAGGAACTTCTGTTTTCATTACTTACGTATCATTTTGTAAACAAAAAAATATATGCTCAGATAAATCTTTAAGTGTTGTGTTATTACACTGGCGACCAAGCCGATACGGATCCAGACTTATCCCGTTTATACCCGTATGCAGGCAAACTTTTGTTGCCCGAGGCACCATTACTCGTCACTTTCTAAGGTGTGACACTATATACGATGAGAAATATTAATACAGGTCAAATGTTATTTCTTCAGGAAAGTTTAATTTTCAGTCCGTAATATTAGCCAACCATTTTTAATCAAACTGCACTAAATGTGCAATCCTATCGCACATTTATGCGCACAATTACGCATTATTTTTTCTCTGCATTTTGTTAATTGTGGAGATCTTGCAAATCACAAGGAAACAATAAACTGACAAAAATATTTCATTTATGAAAATGTCTTCAATACAACATTAACATAGTGGGTTACATTTATGTTTCATTGAAAGATTTCAATATTTACAGTTAAAATACTCGAATACCACATAACTGTAAAAAAAAAAAAAAAAAAAACACACACACAAGTAAAACATTTCGACAAAATATCTCAGAAATGCTTTTTATCCGAAACTCTTTTGCGTGGATATCACTTGTACACAATGCATACACTATGCATTTATACCATCATAAAAAGGACAAATTTTAATACTTGTGTAGCAGTTTAATAATGTATATACATACATATATATATATATATATATATCGGACGTTCATAAATTCATGGTATTTAACAGATGCTCAATGTGCTTGTACAATTCATCTGTTTTCTAACATATAACCAAGGTATAAGTATTGTTGTCCTGTCTTATAATACAAATTGTTATACATTATTTGCTTATAAAAGTATTTGTGGGTGTCATTTCCTTTGTCATATCAAATATTAAGAGCTACGCGCCTTCATATTCGGTGAAGAAGTTTGCAGAGTGGTTTAACAGCATAAATCCTTCTGTTCCTATCACAGATGAAGTCGAAGAAAATCATGCATTCATAGCTTCGTGTTTCTTAGAATATCTCCGAAAATATCATTTTCAGAATAGCTATTATATCTATTTGATTTTGGTTCTTTTTAAATTTAAATTTGTTCATTTCTCATCAAACTTAGCCAACTTCTTCTGCAGTGAATGCACTTCATAAGCATATCAAGGATCGGCGTAAGGATGATGGGCATGTCCTTCAATTGATAAACAAACAGTTCCATGTGCCTATTTTACAGGTTTTCGTGTCCTTGCTTAACATTGCTGGTTTTGGTAATTCAGTTTTAAAGGTAATATTTTCCATATTGCTCAGATTCTTCTTGGGTGCAAGAAGGCATGTCAGACTCAGGAATTCGTTCTTGTTATAAGATATTTTTGATTTTTTTCATTAATCGATGTTATATCAGCCTCTGTGAGGGTGGCCGTCAGTAATTTGAGCTGTTAGCGAGAATGTACATAAACACACACTACTAAGTTAAATGATATCATTTAACAGTAACAGTGTAGTCACTAATCTAATTCTAACCTCCCTTATCAGGACAAAACTTGGAGAAAAACAGCGCCCATTAGCGGACTTCAATTCACTGGAGACAATGCATACAACCTCGGAATACGATTACGCATTTAGTACAAACGTAATTCATGAATGTGCCTGAATACAGTTATCTTGTGTTACGTGATTGTACATCGATAAGCATCATAGCTTCTGACAAGCTTGGGACACATTCATGTATAAAAAGTATTTCCACATTTTGTGTATCGAGATGAAATAAAACTAACCAGTTTATATCAATCTTTATCGAACAGCCAATTAAAATAAGCTATGTGAAAGGAATAAAAATGTCATTATGTGCTGTATTGCCGATTATTTTCGCTCGATGAGATTCGAGGGGTTTCTTTGCATGAAAATGACGACGATGTTCCGAAACATCTTGGTAACGAATGTGTTGATCTATCATCACCAATGTTGACACATGTTCATTCTTGTCCTTTCTGTTCTTTATTTGCTTGCATTGTATATGCACCAACGATAACCTAACTGTTTTCTGTCCATTTACGATAAACATACGCAACCCCTGCTGGTCCAAATAACTGTATTCTCTGAGTAGGCCTATGTACTTATTCATGCAATATAACAAGACAACGGGTACATGCAAAAGTTGCTTGTAACACAATCTAGAACTCTTCATGGTATCTATCTACTGTGGCCTAAACTTGAGAATATAATAAAGATATTCAGTTTGATAAAGGTGGACGGTTATTTGACACGATTTAACGCAAATATGAACATAAACCTTACAGACAGGTAAATCCTATTCAAATGTATTGTTTGTTGAAGTCATGTGTTTCATTCAGTAAGGTATATGAAAATCATCATGTGCAGGTCATAAGATCTTAAGAATCCAAGAGCATGATTCTAAATAACCGAACTGTCTTTTACTTCAAATCGGCCAGACCAATACCGATATATTGACGTATAAAGTATACGATTTTTACTTGCCCTACTACCAATTAGAATAAACCCTACTCCCGCTGAATGGACCCAATTGGCAGGTACGTCATAAGTTTAACGAAGCTATAGCACCGACAAGGAACGAACTGGTGAGAACAGCCATAGGATACGAATATGTTTTTTTAAGTTTTGAGGAAATCAGATGCTGGAGATAGCTTTATGTAAATGGTATATAGCTATAGGAAATTTAAAGAATTTCCCGGCAGTGAGTTTATTGAAATAAAAAACAGGACAACATTTTGAATACTGATGAGAAACTTGTCGAATTAACGAGATTTTAAGGAAATTAAACAAAATAAACTATAAATATTGTTAATAAAAACGAATTTTCTTTATATAGCTGCAGTGTAAGTTTGCAGACATATTATTTACTCTGTAGCAGGAACCGTTAGTCCAAATCATGTCATTGAACAACGATATATCATGACCAGTTTATGTGCTAGATATTACATTATCTTTTAACAATTTACAAAAGGGGTTAAATCTGTGACAACTTACCTTGGTTCAGGAATGACTCAAAATGTCTTTTGTTTAATAACTTGTTGTTTTTGATTAGTTATGGCATATTTATACTCGAATTTGAATTCAAATACACATTCCGTACACATAATCTTTATTACAACACTTATCTACTGTAATAGTTCAAGGGCATTGTTGCTAAGAGATTATAAAATATATCAATTTAAATAACGTATTTCCGGTATACATTGTAGTTATATAGAAAATAGAAATTAATTACGAGAGTCTAGTTTCTCTCTTTATACAAATTATATACAAAAGTAACGAGTTAGCATCTCGCTTCATCAATGAAATCCTCTCGACCCCCTCTCACTTCGTCTACTTAGGTATAAATGTATGTAAAGGTAAATAGCACTAAATATCTGGTCCCAGTTGTTCAAAGACTTCTTAAGGATGATCAGTGGTTAGTGAAAAGTTTCAAATGTTGAAAAAAACAAATTTGCGTTCATTCTTTATCATTTCATAGCTATAAATTTGCTGAGACAACTCACATTGAAATTTTTTTAATATCAAGTTTGCTTTTGAAGTCAGTGGCAACAACTGCATTTTTTTCACTAACCAATGGTTAACATGAATTAACATTAGAGCAACCGGGGTTTGGTATTCAGTGGTAACAGCAAGAGACACAAGTCACACCGTTATATTTGTGTTCATTTATGACACCAAAGAGATGGCAGCTTCATCAAATGGATGTAAGCATGTTGGCAAGGGAAAACTTGAACTTAGTATGTCGATGAGTGTATATAACGCGTCTTCCTATGTTCCAATGTGCAAACCTGATCAGGTGGTGCGTTGATACATTCTTATCTTTGTGAGATTT